ATATACATTACGAAACTATATGCACGATACAAATGTACAGTACAACACTACAACTACAGCATCAAAAAAAAAAAAAGTATCTTTTGTTACCAATAAATTACTGTGCAAAAAGGAATTACACGAGTGGTATCTATATCTTCATTACCTCAGCTAACGTGTTTTTACTTTGGAATCAAATTAATTTCAGAATCGCACCTCGGCCCTAAGTTAATTTTTCGGCGTATTGATAATATACGTGGATGCTGGCCGAAAATGTCTGTTGGTCTTTCAACAGAAAAAATTATAAGAGTGCAGAAGTTGGTTCGACGAAGGTCTCCTTGAAGCGTAAAAAACCGCTTGCAGTCAACGGTGTCGTGCCGATCGATTGAGTAGTCAATTAAAGCAACGCAAAATGCGTTTGAGATATGTATTACAATACGATGTGTTCTTGACGAATATTCTACAGATTGATTAAATCGTTCATATAACAGACAAAAGACGTTGCTGCTATTCTGCCTTCCCGATATTGTCCTGTGGCGGGGGCCAGGGGGAGGGGGGGGGGTAAACGCTGTTTCATGTTTTACAATAGCACAGGAATATCAGCCAATTTTATTTCGACGAATGCAATGAAACAAAAGCATCGCGCCTCCAGCCATATTGAAAACTACAATTACTTCATACACTGGTGTATTTGGGCCATATATCCATACAGGTGTAGGAAGAGTAAGTCCGAATCAAAACGATCCCTTAAAGAATACAGGCCATGCTGAGTATCTTTTTCGGAGCATCTGCGCGGTAAATGGAGCCGACTAGGCAAGTTCTTTCGCCCTTAGAGATCGGAAGTTTCTTTTCTCAGTTTACTAATTTGGAGATTAATCTTATCGTTGCTCACGAATGAACGAATTCACTTTACAAATACTAAACATTTATATATATTTTTGAACATCATATTGATATTGAACGGCAAAATAATTAGACAGCGGGAAGTTTTAAGTGAACGTACAGAGAAGTTCCTCTTACAAATTGATTAGACCAGTCTGATCTCACAGAGTTAATAAAAAAAGTATGTATTGATTTGAAAGTAAATCTTTGTAAATCAGTAAAAATTGATGTATTTTTTTAAACTGGATTTAATTCCAAAAACACGGCCGGTTTCTACCGAGATGACCGAGTGTGCGTTCGATCTTACTGATGGTAGTGGCTTATCCAGGCTATGGCTAGAATACATTTAGGAATAGGAACTTGTTCGGTTGGTTCTATTGTATCACATTGGATAAAGCTGTACCAAAGCTGTTTACCAATCGTTATAGCTATTTCGTGTAAGGACTGCACAGGAATTTTTGGAATGGCTTTTGTTCGACAGCTATCGACAGATAGTACGTTTAACATACTTCACTATGGTCATCAATCTTTACGTAGTTTTTCACGAGGTTTGCCAATAAAAATAGTTGTTTTCTTTTGTTTACTTCTTTGGCGCACCTGTTGCAGTTATACAGTTAATATTTCAACTTTGCTGCTATTCAGTGTTTTACGAAAACCGGCGAAAAACGAAAAACGATTTCCGGCTTGTCACGATAACGGTAAACACGGCCAATACCCCTAAAGATCTAACGATTCAGGGCGTTCAACAGCTTATTTGACATTTTGTAAAGTGCTATAAGGTTTTATAGGCTCGCCATATAAAGTGTTAACAAATTACGTAACAATATGCGAGGAAATGCGTAACAGTTCTGGTCAGTTGTGTAACCTTTTGGAGGAGATGCATGGAACGAAAACGAAGTATGGACATCTTGGAGAGGACACATAGTTTCTTAAGCTTGCATTTGTTTTGGACATTTAACAGGTCCCTTGAATAACACTTAACACGCTACATTAGCTCCTATCAAGTGTGCCGAACTTACTTTTCTTCGAATTCTCAAATATTTGGTTTCATGTCCAGTACACAGCTCAGGCCAAGTGGTTGTTTATAATCACACAGCTCATAAAAGAGTTTCGTTAGGCTAACGAGAGTACCATTACATAAGGTACTCGTTTATCGAGTAAAACAAAACAAAAAAATCCATTGTTAAGACAGTAACGTCCAGTTCCTATAAAAGAAGAAACTTATCGGTTACTACTCTAACGTCCGTTAAAGAGTGTTTGCGGACGATGATATTTCACTGCTCACTCGACATTTACGACAACTCCACTGACAGTAGAGTGTCAGTCCTCTTTCATGGAGCTTCATCGTCACAACGTAATCTCCTCACCTGTATATTGGCTTCGAAACTTTGCTCCGCCTTAGCCCTTGCCTTGACAATTTACCCTACAAAAGCAAGGCTAGACAACTAAACTGAAAAAAAAAAAGTCAAAATGTCGCACAAATTTTTCGCCGATATGTATCCAAGAGCATTCTTAAATGTTCTGGCATGAACCTTCAATTACCTTTTCATCAGCTTTAAATATGTAGTGTAATTCTGTAGTGTTTATCTCTAATTTTTACTTGACTGACCATTTAAATCTTTTAAGCGGCTGAAATTTTTGCAACGTAGAGTCTTCCGAGCATAACCTGAGTGATAAAATTTTGACGAAAAATCAAATCCCCTTTTCGTGGTCAAGGTGTAGCAGTTTGCAGAAAAGGCCAAATTAAGGTTTGAATCATTACTACGAAATACAATCTACATACGTATGTTTTACTGCTACTTTATGCTAAACATTTAAACCAATTGCGTCCATCGCATAATGCAATTGTGACGAAGGTCTCTTTGACAATAATCTAATTTCGTCATAACCCCGCGGCAAACCAGGATTTATCACCGTGTTCACAGGCGCGTGCTATTGGTAGTTGTTAATAATTGTTAGATGTCCTTTCTCGAGAATTAGTCAGTTAGCTTAAAATCCTATACGATTTGTTCAGTTTATTTACATGGTTCTAACGCTGCTGCTCGAAAGTAAACAAAATATTGATGACCGTAAAGCCGACGCATCAATCAAGAATATCGTAGTCATGCAGAATAAGGACCGTCGTACCAATTACAAAGTGCTGATTTGTAAAATATGGGAAATCAAATTTGTTGCAGCATTGATTTCATCTTTGCGTCGTTTCTAAAAAGATCTGCCTAAAAATTACGTATCTACACTAGCATATATATTTTGTATATCCGTTTAAATATGTACTCACGGTTAAGCAATGTACGTGCAAAAAAACTAAGTCAAAAACAAAAGCATAGGGGTAAAGACTCGTATTCAATAAACTCATGTACATACACAATGGTTCGATAATGATATCGATATTTACGAGAGTCTCGTTGCGTCTACGTGGAACATAAAATAATCGTCTTTAAGACGACTATATTATATCGTAGTAGTTTAAAGGCTTGTGTACATAGATCCTATATCAGGAAAAGGATATAAAATTGTTTTGACAGGATGCTAAGCCTGAGATACTGCTAGAGTAAAATAGGGGAGTTATATGTTTGAAGGAAGAAAAATGCCTAAGGCTGTGGATTGAGATTTAAACGTTGGCGCCTTTGACGCGCTTTCTGACGAGAAATTAATCACTATCGGAGCTGTACTCGCCCTTTCTCGGGGCGAAGGGTCAGCAATAGAATGAATGACAAATGGTGAACGAAGCCTTATTCCATGCGAGAACCGCATTTGCCAACAATAGCAGTAAAAGCAGACGAAAGTAAGAAGCAGAAACCCCCTTGTTCATTCCCAACCGAAAACAACAACAATGGTAACGGACGTTGGAGCAGCTATTAGGAATTGAGCGAGCAGATGAATGAATGCGCAGTAACACGGAGAATTAAACAACAGTAGCACAACTAGTGGCCGATGTCGCAGTGTTCCTGTCTCTGCTATAAAAGTCTCCAGTAGTATAATAGTGGTGGGAGAAGCGCGAGTCGTTGCATTGGGCTAAGATTTAGACGTTGGTACTCTTGCCTCTCCGTAAGTGTAAGAAATTGACCACTGACAAATTGATCTTTTCCTTTTCCGGGGCGAGGGAATCAGCTACAGGCGGAATGGATAATATTGAACGGAAGCTCAGTTCGAAAGCCGCATTTGTTTACAGCAGCAAAGAAAGGTGGAAAACATCAGCGGAAGTTGCCATTCCTAGGGTAGTACAACCTGTTATTGTTTAAATGACAAGTTTTAACGTTTTTGTTTTTACGGTTGCTGATGGTATTGTGGTTGCTGTTTAAGCTTTTGTTTTTTTGACGATGACAGCAGTGGTCACTAGGTTTTGTCAGCTGTTATCACCGCCAAAGCGATATCAGGGTTAGTACCATGTGGAAAAAAAATGCATGTCGTAACAAGACAGTTAAACGAACAGAACAGGCAACTATTACTAGACGACAACAGGGAGGAGCGCGTCTTGTAACCCAACAAAACAGAAAATTTACTGAACAAAGTCCCGCAGAAAAATCTCACGAGGGTCAAAACAGTGAAACAGAGTTCACTGTAAATAGGAAAGAAGCACTTAACGACAGACAAACGGCCGAATGAATGTCGGAAACAACAGTAGTTGTCTATTTTGCTAACAGAAAAAACGTAAAGGATGCATTATTAGAACTCAAATCACACGAGAAACTATATGTATTTGACTTTGGTCATTGATGGCCATATCATTTTGGGTTAACGTTTGGGTTTGGTATGTGACAGCACTGGATATCTATAAAAGAATTTGTTTGTGAGCGAGTACGCCGGTAAAGGTGGCGAATATCGTATATTTTCACACGCGATCATGCGTTGAGTTTAAGTAAACTCATTAGGACACTGCACCTGTTTAACCCTCGATTAAATCATTTATGGCTTACCTGAAAGCTCGATTGGCGCAACCGCATTTAATAAATAGTATCTGTTTGATATTGGTTTAAAGCAGAAAAGTTTGTGACATAACGATTTACAAAACCGTAGTCATCTTGGACCTGTTGTTTTGCGAATAACATTTTGTTATATAGTATTCTTTGAAATGAGGGCATTCAAATAGTCTTAGTGTTCGCAATGGTGGCGACAGGGTTTCGAATTCGTGAATGTCTGCTTTCACGTCTAATACACAGCTGAGGCTCAGTGGTTATTCAAACCATAATATTTGAGTGCTAAACACAGCTCATAACAGTTTGGCTAGCGAGAACGCCCCCGCAGAATTTAGGTTCAATATATTCTAACTTGATATCCGCTAAAACACAGTCAAAAGATTACTATCAAGGTCATGGTGCTGGTAAAGGCCAGCACTTATAAAAAAACAAGTTTTTATAGATGTTATCTGTCAATAAAATTTTATAAGCAAACTCTCAGAATAACATTCTCTAAGCACTAGAAAGTACAGAGGTCCAAAACTTAACCTTCTAAACGCGAGTTTAAGAGATTTTCGCCCCGATATATTAAAGAATGCTCATATTTTTTTATATGACTCTTTTAGAAAAGCTCATACTCCTCGTTACATTGATGTCGTTCCTATCGTCTTTGTGATTGTACCGCCTCAGTTAATAAACACAGCGCTGAAGCAATGCCTCAACGAGTGTTCGCCTCTGCGCGACTTAGGACAATTCGTCGTTCGCGAAGTTTTATTGTGCCAACAAAACCTTGCCTGTATCTCGGTTTCAGAGTTTCATCTCGCTCTTCCTCCGCGTCGATGTTTACGTCATCTGGTGGCGCTGCAGTTCCGTCATCACGTCAACCTTCAGTATGAGCTCAAGTCGTGATTATAGTTGACTTAGTTTTTTCTACCTTTACCCTGTTTTAATGGTGGTCGTACTCATTGTGAGTGCTGCTTGTATCTCTCTTGCTCTGTGCGTTGTGTCTACTTTAGCATCGTTGTGCGTTCAAGGACAATGTTACTTAACCGACTCCATCAATTGGCGTTGTTATCAGTTTGGCAAAGCCGACGAGCCGTATCCATCAGCCAAACGAATCTTCTTTCAACGACAACTATCACGGCGGTTCCTTACAATACCTGTAAGAGGCTCCTCTTTCGGTAAATGCTCGGTAACTTAATATGCAAATATTTTCAGTAGGTACCATATATTCCTATGGTTGGTTCTATACCTCTCATCATTATCCTCTTTTAGCGACGACGTAGTAATTGAAAATGAAGGCGCCGCTAGTATAAGTGCCTTTCACGAAAATACGATTAGTAATTTTAAAATCATGTTTATGATGATAACCACAGTTTAGAAGCACGCAGAACACGCAGGAGTTATAGCGCAGACACTTCACCGGTAGATTATGCAAATGCAGCTGAAATTGTCTAAGGTAAAAACCATTTGGCTTGACTCTGAAGTATCCATTATGCCTTATAATAAGTGTCCAAAGACTCTAAAAGTCCCAAATACACATTTTAGCGTGGTAAGTGGTACGTCACTCATATCTAATATGATGACGCCGCTTCATTGATAGGGTAAGTTTCTAAAAGTTTACAGCTGTCCACGATGTCGTTTTCTGAAGCAATAGGAGCGAAAGTGTTTTGAACGTTACATAAAACATAACCAACAGCAGATCATTTTTAGAAAATTACCTATTGAAAAGTCCGCAATAGTTTTTCAATGACTTATTTTAAAAGAAAAGAAACCAATTAAAAAAATCTAAAACTGTTGAGAGCTTAACTTTGAACCTCACCTTTATGTTACTTTAGTTCGACCTCTTATAACTTGGAAAGGGTCGGCAAAGGGTTGAGGCACTGAAGGCAAAAAATTAAGGAAAATAATATATATATATATATCGAAAGAGAGAAAGAGAAAGAAAATAATTTACCTTTTTTTTTTTGTTATCTTGTACTTTGGAACAGTCAACTATTCGATGAAAAGAGCAGCACCTACACATATTTATTGGCGGACAAAAATGTGAACGAAGCCCTGCTAATTGATCCTGTTCTTGAAAAGGTAAATATATTTCCTAACATTGCAAGAGCTGACACGTGTTAGTTCATCTACAAATATAAACTGGAATGATGGATAAATTTGCCTTATTTTTTTTACCCATTTAGGTTCACTAAAACCCTATTTACACCAGGAAATACTAATGGCATCATTATATGCTACTAGTGTAATGCTGATATTTATAGTATCTGTTTTCTTCAGCCATTTAGTTTCATGAAACGTACAATTTTATTTCTGATATATACCACTGTAGTAAGGAGAATTTGGTGATATTGTCCCCTTTAAACAGCTGTTTTCCTTGCTGGAGTTCCTAAAATCTAAATTTATCAGAATTCGTATTCGTCACTACTGCTGATCGGAAAATTTTGAGTTTTCGATATTAAATAGCGAATTAACCATCCGCTGATTAATGAATCACACTGTATTTTTTTTTGTATTTATTGTTCTTTTATAGAACAAAGTTGAAGGAAGAAGCTTTTTACCTTTTTGTCGTTGCTTTTCTTCACTGATTTTTTGAAGCCAATGGACCTCAGAAGATTTCACGTGGAGACTCCCATCATTCTAAAAACTAGTCTTCCTCAGTTTTTTTTTATGTGTTGCATCTATTTTGTACCGGCGAAAACCACGTATAGCAGCGTGGAATGCTTAAAACTTAACGCACGTTACTTCCCCTGGGGCCAGTAGTTAAGGCGCAAAAAGTTAGTTATAGGTTTGCTTTAAACAGCGTATGGTGTGTAGTTACATCTCGTTGGAACAGTTGTCTGTGTTATTGCTCTATAGAACTATGAGAGCCATAGACAATTGAAAGCAGTAACAGCGAACATGTGGGTGCTTCGGGCTAGCTCGACTTGAGACACGAACTTAAGGATTTACTTAATTTGCATATTTTGTACGAAGCGTTGTAAGTTACTCCGTATTAAGTTGATTTTTCGAAACCACTATCAAGATATGTGTCATTATTTGTACAAAATATAATTTATACCGATAACGATAGTTGCGCTCGAAACATGAGGAAAAGACTACCCTTCACTGGCTTGTTCATTAGACATCGTATCTTTACGTGCTACTAATGTGCCGTATTACAATGTAAAGCAAACGTGTTAAATTTGAAAAAGACCATAAAGACACGCCTGTCGTAGCTTGGAGAAGCTCAAGATGATCAACGATTTTCAATTGGATGCTATGCATTTTAACCGTTGGTCAGACACCAAGTGTACGCTTTACTAACTCGGTGCACCTGAATGAACTGTGTGCTTCAACAGGTAGACCGTGATCTTAAACTTGTCAATGAGCTAGGCCTAAAATTGAAGTATGTGCTGAACACGCACGTTCACGCTGATCATGTGACCGGCTCGGGATTGCTAAAGAAACGTACGCCTGGTTTGCTTAGCGTCATCTCTCTATCTTCCGGAGCAAGCGCAGATCGACACGTGAGCGAAGGCGACGAGGTGAGTACGAATGACCACGTATATGGGCTACATTGTTTCGTGGCGCTTCAGGAAATCTACCGCTATTATTTTTGCTGTTGACCACTAGCTGATAGCATTGTGAAAAAGCCTTCTACATCGGATCTGTTTGTCCTGCTGTTCGAGGCAGATTAATGTATATTTACTGATTACTATATAAATGTATTATTTCCACGTACATCTGTTTCAGGTGGCAATCAGTGAATATTTAAAACTACAAGTGTTAGCAACGCCGGGCCACACAAATGGTTGCTTGTCATACGTGGATAGTAATATGGGGTAGGTTTACAATATCGTAAATGGCCAGATTTCTTGTAATACGTTGCTAAAATAGTTAGGAGTTATGTGGGACCTCTCGTCACCCTGATCTCGAGCACTGCAGCTAAAACTTCGTACGGTAAAACAGTGTAAACACGGTAAATAGTGTCGGTATTAGACTATGATAGCCTTCGGTTACTGTTAGGAGAAGGTTCCCGCAGTTCGTCACAGACTGCAAACAAATGAAATATGGACACTGACTTTTATGTAGAATATAATAGTAATCTATAAATACGAAGTTATTTATACCGCGATCTCGTGTGGGACCCCACGTATGCGTATGAAGATTTTTATCTTGCCTAAATCAGTGAACTACTAATATTATTACTATCAATTACAATTATTAACGCAATAACTAACAAAAGTATGGTGGATAACCATTTAAAGCTGCGTGTTTACTGGCGACGCACTACTGATCCGGGGATGCGGACGCACAGATTTTCAAGAAGGATCGCCGCATCTTCTTTACAAGAGCGTGCATTCAAAGATTTTCACCCTACCTGAACACTACACCGTTTATCCTGCTCATGACTATAAAGGTATGTTGTGACTACCCAATCCCGATAGCGCTAATTCTAATTGATCTATCGCGCTAATTGACGCATCATTAACAAGGTTCTTCTTACGGACCAATCGCAAGTAAAATTGAATTATCGCGGTACAGTTCTGGAGTCACCAACTTCGACAGTTCATTTCCAAAGAATAATAAACTGCACTCTTTCACAAACATTTCGATGTTTTCAGACTTCGTTTTTTTTTAATGTAAATCTGTAGTCGTTATATACGATGATACCCGATATGCCTTTCAAAATGATTCCTCATATATACAAGGTCACCGCAAAATATGTTAATTATTTCAACACAGAAACAAGTCAGAATTTCATTATCCCCTGCTTAGATTTCCTATCTAACTAGTAGTAAATTTAAAATAGAACGTCGCTTAGAATCTTCCATGAGGCAATCACGATTTTAGCGATATTATGTATATGTTAAGTATATCTCTCTTGTTACATGTTAATTTGAATCTTACAGGAATGACGAGTTCCTCAATTTGGGAGGAAAAATGCTATAACCCGCGGTTAACGAAAACCCTTGATGAGTTTGTCGAAATAATGAACAATCTCAACTTACCGTATCCCCGGCAAATTGATACAGCTCTCCCACTAAATTATGCCTGTGGGATTCAAGGACCCTGATTTCCTAGAACGAAAGTAGTCAAGTAGAATACTTTGATTCAAAGATGATGCGTGTCACAGAGAGTATAACGACCGAACAGACGAACTGTGCTTACTAGTTAAAATAAATAGTGCAACAGCCATGATATCGCGTCTACTAACAGTAGTGTTGAATTAGACTAAGAACCGGTTGGCTTGCATATATATATATTTATAATAAGAAACAAGCGCACCTCACAGCCACTCACTTTGCACTTATATATCCGTAGACGCATGTTTATATTTAGTTATATATTCCTTGCTGTGCTAACCGTTCGAACCTCACAATGCCAACTCAAATGAAGCCTCCCATTCAATTTGCTTAGCCTTGTGAACTTCGATTCGTGCCCACGGGCCCTACGCATTGATATGTTTCCTTTTAGAGCAGTGATGCCGATGAGTTCTTCTTCTCGGTACGATGCACCTTCGAAAATGGCCGTCAAGTCTCTAACTAACTCAAATTAATTAATTGGCTCTAGCCGCTGTCAGGAAGTTAGTGAAAGTAATCGATCTAATGATGTAACGGATTTTTGCCAAAAACAGGCTAAATATGGGCTTGTCTTCAGCTCATCCGGCAGAGTTTGTTTCGAGCAAACGATCATTGAAACGTCGCCTCGTTTCTCCTACAGCAAAAATAGAACTGTTCTGTCTATCCGACCTCCTTCGTAAAGAAACGATTGTACACCTTCTCCTTAAAGCAATCTTGAAGTCAAACCAGGCGCAGGTTACTTCTTGCAAACGTCGACACAAGGTTTACTCCAATGCGCTCAGAAAGACAACGGCAAGGTCTAGGGAGAGTAACGTGAAGCTACACGGCGCTAAAGTAGCCCAGAATGAGAAGATCCAGTGAGATAAGTGTGGCCGAGTTGTAACGAAAGAAATTATCTATAAATAAATATGTCTTTAACTATATAAAATTAGAGCGAATGACTGTGAAGTCTTCATTCTTGTCAGCCAATGACAGGGTTATATATATATATATTACTTATAGGGCCATAGTTGAAAAGTCCTTGCCAGTTGGTAAATTACCGTACAATAACTAATGTACTTAGAAAATCTATCACTGTTGTTACTGTCACTACCGAAAAAAGAATTGAAGGCTTTAATTAAATGATAAGCAGATTACAGTCATTTCTAGAATTAAATAAATTATTTCATTGTTCATGGTTGCCTTTTCAATAACACCCTAGATCTTCACTTGAGTTAAACGGATTCTTGAAACTGATTTTACTACAGCAGACTCTATATAACCCAAACAAGCAGCCAAAGTTAATCAAGTGTAGTCATTTTTACTATACACCTTTAGTTTTATGTATTTCAGTTCAGTACTTGCCTACACATTTACGTTCCCAAATGTTCAGGAAATTGCCATTGAATGATCTGAGACATAAAATGGATTTGTGAATTGATGATGAATAGCTCATTAAAATCATATTTATTTTTTAATAGGATGTAGGTCTCATATAAAGCCACGCCTATTCACTGTGTGTGGTAGTAATCATAAGATGTCCCTCAATATTAAAAGTCACATTTACCGCTTTTTCCATGGTGAACAACAATCTGGCGCTTTTTGTCTTTTGCCAAGTTGACATTCTTTTATTAGGCAAGTAACTTTACCGAAGACTTGCTTCATAAATTGAAACTTCTTGCTAGTTGGAGGTAAACCAGGATATGTTACGTGAAACACCGCAATGCTGCAATTAATTAAAAAAAATGTTCCGAGTTCGCTCCGTTTGCACTGAATATTTAATATATTCACATATTCATTGGTGGAGCACTCTCAGCCACCTCCTTTCTCCCAAGTCTCTTTTTGTTCTTAAGTAATTAATCCTTAATATAACTCGCAGCTATGATTGATTATCGTTAATATCGTTGTATCTTCTAGCTGTTGCATGTACAAAACGACCGTTGCGGCGACAAGAATAACTGAATTTCAGCTCGGCTATCGTTTTTGAGGGGTCTCAATTTTAGCAGAGACATAAATGAAGCGAAACCCCAAGGAATAAACAGTCGTCTCCTTTAACAGCCGGTTTTTAATTGTCGTTATGACTTGCGACGGGTATAAACTTATCAAAGGTTATCAATTAGAGATTTGTTTAACTGTAAGCTGTAGTTGTTTTTATTTCGATGGGCTACATAAAATCCGTACATTATCGAAATATGTTTATGAACTGAACTCTTCACGGGCTAACGAAGAAAGCAAAAAAGGGTTCGTAACGTCAGCTCAAGATAAATCACTATTAACGTACTATAACAACAGCTACATTTGCATGTAGCAAACAGATTTGTGTAACAAAGCAAAGCTTGAATTTGAATAAAGTCCCACAGAATCCCCGAATCTTCTGCATCTCCATTTATTCTTACGTCAACAATTGCTGCAAGCTTTTATCTTCATACTTGTTAATATCACTAACTTCTATTTAATTAACAATATGAATATTTTGAACATGCTGAAGTCCCTATAGCGTAGATTCTTCCGAGCATTAGTCGAGGCATAAGATTGTGGCAAAAAAATAATAGTTTGCAGAAAAGGTTAATTTTATCGGTGACTTATCATAAAACGCTAATAGTTATTACAAATTTTATTCTGATCTAGTGCGATCTAGAGCTATCGTATCCTTTGCGTGAGTTTCATTGCAATGGGATTGCTAATTCAGGGCAAACAGTTAGAGAAAAAGCATTAACTATGTCATGCGATTGTAATGAGTCCTAATCAAAAATTGCATATTTACATAAACCTATTTACTTTATATACTTATTCAAATATGTATTCTTAGTAGTATAAGGAGTATACGTACAAAATATAAATGTAAAAAACAAAGGAGTAAGAAAACGATATAAACTCCCTTGTATTTGATGAACTTAATTTTTTAAAGTCTCGTTTTTTGCTAAACATAAAGAAATTGTCCTTGTAATGTTTATACTGCATCGTAATAGCTTAAAGGCTTGCGTGCGCGGATTGTATGTTTAAACAAAGCATTTTTTTGACAGGATGCTCAGCCTAAGATCTCTCTAGGGTAAGAAGAGCAGATGAATGAAGAGAGATTGAATAAAAAGCGATATCTGAGGCCGCGGATCGAGGTTTAAACGTTGGCGCTTCTTTGTCTCCACAAGTGTGAGAAACTGATCACTATCGGAGCTGTCCTCACCCTTCGTCAGGGCGAGGGGTGAGCTACAGGATGAATGAGAAACAGTGAATGGAACCTGATTGCATACGAAAGTCGCATTTGCCTATAATAGCAGCAAAAGCAGACGAAAGTAAGCAGCAGAAACCCCCTTCTTCATCCCCGACCGAAAACAACAACAATGGTAACAGAAAAAATAACAGAAGTTGGAGCAGCTGTTAGGAAATGAGCGAGTGAGCAAATGAATGAATGCGCAGTAACACGGAGAGTTAAACAGCAGTAGCAGTGGTGACAGTACTTTACTAGTAACCGAAAAAAGTAGGAGTCAGTGTCTTGGACATCTTCAGCGCGTGAGGCTGTTGTTATCGTTCAAATCCTCCATTTGTCCTCTTTTTGCTGTTGCTGTCGGCGCTCGTAGGGGCTTTCCTTGTAGTGTCAATGGCGGTTGGGGGCATTACGATAGTGATAAAAATCGCGATAGACGCAAGGGTTCTCCCTTCTCGTTGTCGTCGTGCTTTAGAGTAATTTGCTATGTTTGGGGTGGATTAAGTCCTTTTAACAAAGAGTTTGCTTGTTGTTGTTTTTCCGTGGCGGCTACTGTCTGTGTTGTTAATGTTTAGGTTGTCCTTCTTGTGCCGGTGACAGCCGTGTTTGTTCGATTCCGTTAGCTCTTGTTTCCACCAAAGCAATATCAGGGTGAACGATGCATAGAAAAGCGACAGAGACGGCCAAATGAACAGAATAGGCGTCTATTACACTAGGCGACGATCGGTGAGCGCGCATCTTGTAACAGAATAGAATGAATACAACTGACTGAACAAAGTGCGGCAGACGAAAAATTTCACGAAAGTCGGGACAACGATGCATGGACTGCTGTAAACAGGGAAGAGGCTTGAAGGCTGACTGAGTGAACGTCCATCTGACAGACAACTGCCTAAGTAAACGTCGGAAGCAGCAGTATCTGTCTATTTTGCTAACAGAAGAAACGTAAAAAAGACACTGGCGGAACTCAATTCACACTAGCTCAGCATACATATAAAATATCTGTCGGAATATACTAGCGATTACTATTGACTGCTGTTCGTTCTGGCGTTCGTATTTGTAACAGTAATACTCGACCACTTGTCGACTTTACCATCACAAAAAGCAGAAAAGTCTTTCTGCTCAATCATCAGAAGAAAAGTCAGTCTTAGGCTCACCGTTATTATTTGGCCGCATGAGTGAAATAATGCATTATCTTTTTTTTTGAGGAGACATAATCGACAAACCCGCTTTATCATTGCTGTTACTACAATTACTGTAGCCACCTTTCGCATTCAACGGCATCGTTCGCTACTGTGCAGATTTTCGAAGGAGATTGCCCTCATTAAGAAGGAAAACACCGAGGCGAAGGAGAATTTTCGAGGAAGAATAAAAAACGACAGGGAAAGCCAAAGAGGAGTTTTATAGGCCGCGCCGCTCACACACATGGTAACGAGTCTACTAATAGCAGTCTAGTGGCTAATCTACGGCTATATCTTGTCGTACTGCTTGGCTGTCTGTGTCCGTATCTAAAGGAAATGCCCCTGCAGGAATCTGCGAACGTGCCAACATAAAGCTAATTACGGTAGCGCATTTACTATTAAAAATGATGACTGCGACAGTATCCACTGGTTCGCGCTTGCGACTAAGCAGCGGATACCAAATTGTTGTGTGTGTTCGATATATACGTAACGTTTCGTCGCATGCTTGTTTCTCAGCAGAAGGCTACTGACGACGACTACTGGAAGATTGTAATTTGTGTGTGACCATGCAGGCCTGTGTTAAAAGCGTAATTGTTTCAAGTTCATGTTGCCGGTGAGCCTTCAAAGACCTTCACTGCGGTTTTTAGGTAACAGGCTGACACTAATGTATACTAATAATGTAAGAAAGGCATATGTGCGTAAGACATGCGTCCGTTCAAAGCCTTACCCACTGTAGATGTTATTAGGCGCTCTATTACAACGCAGAGCTAAAACAGAGAAGTAAATGATCACATAATTAATGCAGTCCGCAGAATTTAAATTTGTGAACGTATGCTGCAGACGGCAGCAATCAACAAAAACATACGTTTACGAATTCGAAATTTATTGTATTTCGAGATTTATATAAGGACAAATATTTGTAGCCAAATGATACGCTAAAAAAAGTTTTACTTTTTAACATGCGTTTTTAACTTTAAAAAGTTTCTCGAGAAGACATTTGCAAAACTAAGATTAAGATGACTAAGCTGCAGCCCTGCTCAAAATAAGTCTGTCATACCTAGTAGCAAGAGATTTACTACACAAGTGTTAAATTTTTGTCTTACCAAAAAACATATAGCATTATGCCTATAGTTTATCTATTAAGTTTAGTGGTTTGTTTCCTGTCTTCATTTTAAACTTGGAAACATATAATCTTTAATGAAACTGATCATGGTTTAAAGTGGGCCGTTACATATTTTACGAACAATATTAGAGTAACAGTGCTCACAATTCGAATCGTAACCATGGAATCTACCGGCAAAAATGAGTCTAACCAACGTTCAGAGATCGTGTATTTTAAATCGTGGACGCCATTACTGTCGTTGATACAGTCATCCGGAGTCCGAGCGTCCAATTTGCTGTATCTGTAACTTTGGTGCATGAAAATTCATACCATATATCGACACTTGTCTTGATTGTCCTATCACCCGCAAATTCGGTACGGCTGTCGTTTATACTGACACGAATTAGCCGGATTGCGCGCCACATACTTGATAAATATGTAGCCCGTATTCTAGACTGATGTTTTAGAGTTCTTTTTGATTGGTAGGGCCGTTAAGGACAACTTCAGGCAAGTATAGCGTACTCTGTGAGCCTATTAGTGTTTTTTTTGAAATATTTATGACTCAGCTGAGGATAACTTGATGAGGTATCATTTATATGTGCTTGCCGCGGCTGACAGGAGCCTCTATCAATCCGTTGCCATTATATTGGGTAATTTGTAATTAAGCAACTTGACAGATTTGCCATCACTTACAGTAAGCGCAACTAGTAATAACCAAAGGCGCTGTAGTAAAAATACTGATAATCGTATGTCTCTTGCGTATGGTTATAGTAAAGGCTAGATATCTGGGAAGGATCTTGAGTTGCGTTAAAATGTACCTAAACATTTCCCATCGGTTCGAATGTTAAGAGGGAGGAAAATGCCACCTTCAAAGCCCTTAAGAATTTGCAGAACACCGAACGAAATATGATAGTTGCTTAGGCCTTCGAGCTGTACTCAAAAGAAACTTCCACTTTCAAAAAAAAACGGTAGTTCCCATTTTCTTGCATGAATTCGAATACATTGTTCTACATGGTTGGCTTCAGCAAGCGATCGGGAGTTTCTTAAGAAGATCTGTATTTTCTCCTTGCTTACTTATTTGATTTCTTAGGCGGTCTAATATTTACGTGAAATTTCGAAAGTCAAAATATGCTAGTGATATAGCGGAATAACCGCCAGGTGTTAAAAACCGTTGAAAGAACACAAATGGGTTGAGGCACCAACTACAGATGGCTAGAAGATAATGGGATAACAAATAAGGGTAACTAAATAATCAACGCAGTGCAACAGTCTTATTAGAATTATGCAAATAAGTTGCTAAAACAAGAGTTGTTATGAATGAATCGGACGCGGCTTCATATAATAAACAAGTAGAGAAAATTTACCTTGGTACCATATAATACACAGACGAGTTCGCAGCGTTAAAAGAATTTTATTGTTTTTTTAATTGAATATCATACTGAAGTTTTTTTTTACTAACTAGTTACTAACCTAACCGTAAATACCCTATTGTCTCTAACGAAATAATGATGTTGCTAACCTAAACCACAACTTCATGCAAACGTCATTTCTTTCATGCATTACAGGCATTCATAGTTTAAATATTGCAGGCTGTAGAACGAGTCGAGACGTTCGCAATAAATCGCCGCTACCATTTGATCGGTACACAAGAAGGCTTCGCGTTTTCGTATTATTTCTTTTTCCCATTCTTCGTTTGCTTATTTTGAGTGTTATATACTGTTGGAAAAATATTTGCCCCTTAAGGGCCTAGTGTCATATTTGGTTCAGATCATAAAATATATCCTTCCATCAGATCTAAAAATAGGAATTTCGGGTGGCAAGAATACCATTTTCAAGAATTTTTATTTGTCCTCAATGGAAGTAAAAGAAAGACTGCTAGAACAATTTAGAATAGATCTGGCGGGTATGACGAGAACTTTATCACAAACAGGGTCATTTTTTACCTTGCATACTTTTTTGTGAATTTTACGATCTGGCTAAAGGTGATAATGGTAGCTAGGAAGATTTTCAACAGTATATAACTCTAGACAATAGACGAATGAAAAACTAGAAAAGGGAGGCAATAAACTAAAACGGCTATTACTTATACGCAACCCAAAATCCTGCAGAATGAGTACATACGCAAACTGTAAATATAATCTAATATACTTTGATAGTCTGGCCTTTTACAAGCAGAGTTTAATTGCAGAGTCAGGACATTATTATTCCTAGATCTGGATAACCGTTTAACAAAACAATAGCCATGAATTCCGTCTGGCTTTGCTTAATTTTACCTTGTATCGTGTGTATTGTTCTTAAAATCTACTGATAGATATCCTATGACCATATATATTAGGAATGTTTGGTACATCACGAAATGGTGCAACGACATTGCAGAGTTTATGTTCATCCTGCTAAGAAACGTAGAAATTTAATTGTTTCTATTTCGAGCTTAGAATTTTAAGGCAATCATGAGAACAAAATGTTTTCACTTATTCAGTTGTCACCTTACGTAGTTACTAGATGTTTTTGCTTCTAAGAAAACGTGACACTTTAAGCATCTAGCACATGCACAGAGGAACTACCCTTTCAATAGCTTAGTTGAGACAAAATAAGCGTTCCACTGTGGGTGCATGTAATTTGGAAATGATTTGCAGCTATAATTTTCGCATGATAAACAGTCTTTCCTATTACCCTTCGATATTCTTTTGAAGATAGGAGGAATTATGTTGGACTTGAATAAGCGTGTTTTTTTAAAAATCGAAATACCAGCAGAGCAGCCATATTGTTACCTTTCACAGCTATTATTTTTGACCTTTCCCCTTTTTCATAAATAATTTGTTATTTTCTGTTAACATTAGGAATTTAACCAGCGCAAACCAACATGCTGCCTCCCATTGCTCATAGTTTTTTGTGCTCGAAGTTTTGATTGATTATCCAGCCAAATGCCGGATAAACGTGGGATAAGTGGGTAAAAAAAACGCTAGATGCTCTTTTTACATGTGTCAGTCCTAACAAAGGTGAGTCGAGTAAACGACATATTATATTAGATTCTTAAATCAATGTGTCTTCTTTCATGATCACGATAAGGAAATCAATATTTAATGAACCTTTATCTTATCGTAGTGTTATGTATTAAGTTTATCAATTTAGTGATATTTTCTGCACTGCAGAATTTATATCATTTGGCTAAAATAAAGCGCTCAGTTCTTTATAATTTTAACCCTAGTCGGCTTATGTGTCTATTTTAAATTGCTTGTTTGCAACAGGTAAACGTTTAAGCTAGATAGAATGCGTCGATACTGTAGTTACATTAACTTTTCGCACTCAGATTATATTAGTACCTTCGTATAAATTCATGTTTAGATTAAATCTTTAATTCGTTTTAAATAGATTTGTTTGTCTTGAAAAGGATTCTGTAATTAGTATATTTTTCGATAAATGGTTATTTTGAAAGTTTTTAGTTGAAATCCTGTTTTTCGTCGTGGGGCTTTTAAAGCTCGTTTTTATTTTTAGAAATGTTTTCTAAACTCTCATCGCCGAGTTAAATTCGAAAGTGACAGTAACTCATCCTACTACAAATAGTACGGAACAACGCGGTACTGATTGAGTGCTTGAGCATGTTCAGACAACTAGAGCTCGGTTATGTTCTGACTGTAAAATACGTATGTATGTATATTTATTTATTTACTATATCGGAAATCCCTTGTGCCATCATTTGTATCGATTCAGAGTACCTTTGGGTTTTGTACCCAGTAGGTTGAACAGTGTATTATTATAACAGTATTATATCAAAACCTGGGCGTGTGAGACAGAATGAATCACACATACTGCACCAATCTGTTGCCTTTCCTAGCAGAGCACGATATCTAGCCTATTTCATTTAAATCTGGAAGCCTTTGTCGACAGGTTTGTGAGGCTTGCCATAGTGTTCCACTTTTCTAACATTTTGCAAATCTTGTCTTTCTGGCATTCATCAACGGCGTCTTTGGGCCTTGTGGATAGTCACAATTCTCCCGTGCTAATTCGTTCAGTTGATTAGGTAGTTATGATTGGAGCAAAATTACGATGCCTTTTTACAGGGTTATTAAGCAGCTTGCTACATTTTTAATTTCACTAAAGTAGTTCAACAGAAAATTGTAAGATTCTGCAATAGACGCGATTTTTTAATGAGGCATTCTGGCATGCCTATGATTTTGGTAGCAATTTAAGTATTTTTACTTTAAGGATCTAATAAATATAGTTGAAGGATGTCTTTAGACGAGAAAGCTTACAGAACAGATATACTGACCATTGTTTTTTCTAAAATATTTTGAGTCTATATAGCTATCGAAATGGGAGGTAAGAAAGGCGGCAATGCATTGTTAAAAACGACTGACAGTTATTCTGCGAATGTTGCTTATGAAGTTGCGTCAGCGTATGCATATGTTCTTGTCAATTGTAAAAAGCAACATGAAATAAAGGATCATATCATAGCTTATTTTAAGCTAACTTCATCTGCAGATAAAGTTAGTTCGCTACAACTATAGGAGAAAAATCGCGACTTGATCTCTGAGGAGTTTTTCATTGTATTCAAGCTCATCTAGCAAATCTACTTTGACTCGTCTTTCCCGTGGTAAAATCTAAATTTCAATTTTATTGCAATTTCTTTTTTTTTTTTTAGGTTTTATTGACACCAGTCAATAGATATCGAGCAGCTGAATTAATTAATGCGATATCTACAACTAAAATATTTTTAAAAATCACGAAAACCCTATTAGTCGTATTGGTTTGTTTATATAATACTAAAGTGAAACTGTGTTTCGAATAGTTATTTGAGCGAATCTTTAATACATGTTAAAGCGGCAATGGCAAACCTATTTTTTGTGAAAAAACGTTTTTAAATCATTAAAAAAAATAATAATTCCAGAATATCAAATAAATATATGCACCTATTTGGTGACAAAAAAAGGACACAAAAAAATTAAGCCTTTAACGTTTCAGGAACAGAGTCAATACATCCAAGACGTATCAAATCATCCATCTTCATTTGGTTTACCATATGCAACTATTTATCATGTCTACCCTTATGTCTTAGTGATGTCCTAAGAAAATATAAATACGTAGATTTAGAGGAACATGTAATTACTACCCATTACAATAACTTTAAACCTTGCTGATGTTCTCAGCGTCGTCTTATTAAAAGTATCGATAGGTTAGTCGACTTTGTCAGTGGGTAAACCTATTAAAAGTCGGTTAAAAGCTGAGACCTCAGCTCTTGGCCGATTTTATTTACGTGCGTTCCGGAAACAGAGACATTCTGTTAACGCTGAAAAGGCATCGTAATCAAATAGAATAAATGTACCAAAAAGCAAGATATCACAAGAAATACAAATATGGCTGAGCTCCTTGCTAAGTATGGCCCATAAAACAAGCTTATGAAACAATTACGGGTAAGGGTTTACGTAGAGCAGAATAATTGCAATTGAACACCTGTTGGTTTATATTTAAGATAGACTATTTTAGTCTCGATGTAACATAGTTAAATCAGGTAAATCAACGACAAGACAGCTCATGGTCCGTTTAGTCTATGCACTGCTAAAACTTCGTGTCTGTTTGTTTGGTTGTTCCACTCAAATCGACCCTTCAGAGTGATCGGATTGGGTTGATTTTGAGCGGGTCGCTGGAGTTTCATCTTGGAAAGAGCTGCACGTAACATAGAGCGAATCGGATGAATACCTTTTCCCGGCGGAGGAATTTATTCCATAGAGAGTACCGCTGATTTAGGTAAATTGCTTGTTTTTTTTTTACCTTTTTTTTCTACATTTGTTCTTCTTTTGTTTTTTTTCTATTTTTTGGCTTTTTCTTCTTTTGCACATATATTAGTAAAAATTGTAGAAACAATTGGGCTATCTTCTGGTGGGACTTTTGTTGAAAATCTTTTTCTATGACAAAATTATGGCCGAATGTTTATATGTTGATGTTCGTATTTACATATTGATGGGGTCACTCTTCCAATCAGAAACTTTCGCTGAGTTGAATCAAAATGCAATTGACTGCAATCCAATCTTAGCTTTCAGGTCGAAAATGCCGTCCGAAGGGTGAAACTTTGACATGGTGTTCTATAAAAAAAAAGGTTTCCTTGACGTCAGTCGATGGATTCCAACGAGTTGAGCAAAAATGCAGTGTACGTCCCTTTATCTAAAATGAACATTTTTGAGTGAAAACTGTATTAATCGTACTGGTTTACATATCTAACAAGGGACTGAAAATGCGCATCGAGTAGTTGTTTAAGAGAATATGTGACAAATGTTGTTTGGAAAGTTGACGCGGCAAATGTAAAGCTGATTTCTGTAAAAAAAACTTTCATAATTCATTTCCAGAGAAAAATGCCAGAATGTTAAACACATATATGGGATCATTTATTTATAACTGAAGAAATCAATAAATAAAAAACAGTCCTTAAACCTCAATGGCATTCCAGAAACAGAGCTAAAGCATTAATCGAGAAACATCAAAGCATCATAAAAGATTTATGATATCTTCATCTAATTATAATGAAGGAAGGATGAAAAATCTCCAAGCTTTGGAACAGAATCAATCTTGATTTTCTCTATGATATATATAATTATTTCGTACAAAAAAACAAATAAAAAAATTCCATAAGCTACAGTGAAGTTTTAGCAATAGAATAGGTTACCCGACTTTGTCGATGACAATATCAATAGACGTGCGCAGCATCTAATCGGTCATCGATTCACTTGATTTACATACGTATCCGAAAATAGGCCAACGGCCTATTCTATTTACGTGCATTCCAGAAACAGAGTTAATGAACCAACACGAAACCCTTTACAGTGGTTGGATTGGGCTGATTTTTGCCGTACTGTTAAGGTTTCATCCTAAGAAAAACTGCGTCTAAAATGAAGATTGATATTTTTGAGCTAAAATTGCGAATACGCGATTGGTCAGTATTGGTTTGCTTATGATAGGAAGAAGTGAAAATTTGTTTTTTTAGTGCCTTTTTAAGTGAATTTTTAGTAAATGTCAATTGAAAAGTTAAAGCAGCAAGTGAAAAAAGATTTTCATGAAAAAAAATTCTAACTTATTTTTAGAAAAAAAGGCAAATTTTAAATAAATCAATGTGAATATTTACTATCAAAACAAATCTAATAAGAGATAAAAATTCTTAAACCTCTGGTAGCGTACCAGAAACACATTCAATATGCCAAGCAAGACAGGTTAATTGCTCGTGTTTTCAGTTAATATAATATCTGTAATTATTAAAATTAAATACTCGGATGCGTTCTGAAAATAGAGTCAGTTAGTTAACATTAAAAAACCTCGTAATCCAGTTGCGGAGATGCACCAAGAGGCAACATTTAATGAGCGAAAAAAAAAAGCCTACAATTGGCTAAGCCCCCTGGCGAATATATTAGAACAAGCTGATGGGTTAGGTGAGACAGAGTAATTGTAACGAAATAACTGTTAGTGTATATTTGTTCTAAAGTTTTCGTTAGCTTAGGTACACGAATTGGATTAGTTAAATTGATCAACAACCAAGCAGGAGTGAGTAAGCCTGCGGCTTTCTCTAGTATGATTCTAAAATTTAGAATTTTCACCGTGCTAAATTCATTTCTAAATCTAACTTAAGGTTTGTTATCCAAAAAATCGCACGTGCTGTTTTTAAACTAACAAATTTTCTATTGTTTGCAGGCCTACTCGAACGCTGAATGTATCGAAGCTAATCTGTGGGAACATCTCTTCTAACAAAACCATCATTATACCGTAAAAGCAACTGTTAAAAAAGTAAGCACTAATCAAAAAAGTCTATCAAACAAAGTTGAAAGCTAATGAGATAAATAGTATGTGATTTGCAATCTTGTAAACTGGTGCAAGCCGGAAGCAAAGAGGGCATCCAGAAAAACTGCTGTGGCCAATTTAAACACTGGCTGGTGATGAAATACCGTCACCATTAAAAACAACTTTGAGCATCTTCGGCTATCGTCTACGGATCCCGATGCGGATATCATCAGGGACGATGACGTTGCGGCTGCGACATCCTTCTCCACCTGTATCTATTACGACTATCCTCTCGTCTATATCTACGAAGTACCTTTGGGTATCCGTGCGAACAATTGCATTGGTTCTTCTCTACTATAGCTTCTCTATTGGGATTACTTTCTACCAGAAATGGTTCATTAAAGTAAGTTGAATTAGTAAAAGTATCAAATACGATTTAGTCCTTTACTTTCCCTTAATGCACGATTATATATATACTTCGGATGCCAACGGAAGTATCCAAGATAAAAAACAATTCTGGTAAATCTACGCAATATTTAAAATGGTGCCTGCCATTTATGGCTAAAGTAATGCGGAAAAATCTTAGCCAGTTGGCAGCAAAAAGGAAAAGGTAAAGGTTTCATTGGGTAAGATATCTATATGTAATAACGTATAGTAGATTAACTAAATTCACTTTTTATAAGAATCTTTTATATAATGCAACATAAAGTGAGTACTGTTTCTTTACTATTTCTTAATTCTAACTAGAGTGTTGCTTGGTATGAAAATAAAGACGTCAAACGAATCAGTAGCTGCAAAACTTTTCAACTAGGTATAATGTAAGATTGGCAAAAATTGACGTTTTCCGGGCGTCGTATCGAATTTAGCCCTTCTTCATGTAAGACGATGAATAACATCGTTGCAAAGAAAGCTTGTCGTTTTCATGACCTTAGTAAGTAGTGCTTCGGCTAAGTTTTAGGAACTCATTGAACTCGTTCATTTGTCACTCAAGAATAAAAATGGTCATATGCTCTGGCTTAGGACAGATTCTATGCAGTGTACTCTATAGCCCAATGGTTAAATGAAATCGTACATATTTAGATAAAAGTCATTATTTTAGGTGATTAGTTAGCTTGAACCCTTACTAACCAAAACACATTTATATTAAGAAAATAACAGTATATATCCTAATATCGCACTCAATATTTTTGAGCAAAATATATATTTAATGAGTAAGTTAGAGATAAGTAATTTTCGTACGTTTTTAATATTTCTTATTGGATTTACGTGTTTAGTATCTGTTTGGTTTTATTTGTGAAGCAAAACTGTTCTCTCTCTATTCTGCAAGTCTTCTTATGAATTAGTGGTACACGGACAGAATTTAATGGCAAGTTCAGACTTTAAACGAAAAGTTAAATGTTCTAGCTGAAAAAGATTGTTTCTTTAAGATCAGTCCTTTCTTGCCTCCCACTGAAGTCAAAAGCTTTGGAAGCACCCTGAAATATTTATGATCTGTACAGCAAGAGTTCTATAATTCAGAAAACTGTTTGAGGAAACGTTTGTTAAGTTCAAAAATGAATTCTTAGGCCTAACGTTAACCCGGCTAGTCATCTGAAATTCTCGACCATCGACTCGTTAATTAGCCGAGAACATACCCATACTATTAGCCGGCATCTTGAATAGATGTAATTCAATAGAAATTAGGAGTCTGCGTGTGCTATGAGCTAAGTGAAGCGCGTAACAAAGCAAGGCTTTTCACTGACCCTCAACATCTCGCCTGGCACAAGGCAGCACACACAATGACACCTTCCTAAAGAGAATTGTCACTAGATAAGAGGGATATGCACGTCTACATGAAGCAGAGAAAGGAACGAGTAGTTCTGGAAGATATGTCAACGCTCAGAGTTCAGCTGAATCTTCATTCCAATTATTGATTTCTGGTGGTGTGCCAAGAAAAGTCTTTGACAGTTAAAAATGCTTTAGAAGAACGGTCAGCAGAGATGTGTATTGTGGACCAGTTGCACTGAACGAACGAACGGGGCTATCCAACAGAAAAGGCCGGATCGACAACTTAGTCATGCTTCTTAACAACGATTTCCGTCCCTACATGGCAAAGGTTTTGCAAGCCGCTGTGCAAGCATTTAAGTAGAATGTTGTTTTTCACGTTCTCACTTGGTACTTCCAGCATATGCAAAAAAATTTGCTGAAACATAGAGTTTTAGAAGCAAAATATAAGAAAACCTCTCAAATCAAACGTGCCATATATATATATATATATCCGCGGGATGATCCGCGAGTGCTCTGTCACGTCTAGAACTTTTGATCGTTCTTACTTGGCTTAAAGAGGATGAAGCATATTTGCTTATAGGCAGAAATTTCGACATATTAGAAATTGTTCCATATAATGTAATCTAGGCAAGAATTTAGGCTAAAATAGTCAATTAGCAAACTAGCAACAACAATTTATCGAGGTCTCTACAAATAGAGAAGATAAACTGAATTATCGTTTGTGAAAGGTACTACATAGAGGAAAAGCACGATTCCAATAGAGCTAATTAGAGTGCGATTCCAATTTCCTGTTTTTGACCATGATGTTCTATAGTCGGCCATAGTTTGCATCAATTCAGTTAGGGAATCAGCAGGGTAACGGGAACAGGGAAAGCAGCATAACGATAAAACCTGATATCATTTGATCTGTCTCGTCTAATAGGCTTTAATGAAAGAATGATCTTTCCCCAGAAGAGATTGCATTTTTATGTCTTTCATTATTACTTCTTTGTCTTATCTGACTTTCAGGAATTTCATTTTCCACTAATCGTCGTCACGTGTCATCTTGTTGTCAAGTTCATCCTTTCGTGGCTCTGTCGAGTGGTCAGTAACAAATAATGTATTATTATTGTTAGTAAAGTTTATATATAAAACGTAAAAATGATGTTATATAAAGGGCTTTTTATTACGTATCAGATGTGATTGTGTAAGAGAACGATCATTATCAATGTACATCGTTACTTAGGTGTACACTTTGTTCACTCGTCGGACGAGGGTACTACTGCCATGGAACGTTTACGTCCGTCATTTGGCTGTTACCGGAGTTGCATCAGCTCTTGATATCGGCTTCAGTAATTGGAGCTTTGAATTCATCACTATATCACTGTAAGTATAATAACGGATGGATTCATGTAATGTTCATACTCATTCATACTGAAAAACTCTGAACTGCGTTTATTGCAGTCCAACTTTTCACTCTCGGATTGTGTGTATAGCGAGTCTTCCCAAGCCAGCCATACGAAATCTATTTTTCAGAATTAGATTTATCTTGAAGCTGGTTTTGCGGCGACAAAACATTTACACGCGTGATTAGATGGTGGGATCTGTTTAATTTTTTTTCCTTTTAAGTAATAAATCAATAGCGTATCACAATATAGAATCTGAACTTCCACTATACAGCTAGCTCATTTTAATAGTTCAGATATTATCATAGTTATTGAACTTCTATGATGAACGTGCCCAAACGTTTTTAGTTGTAAACGCATCCTTGCCGAATGCGTGTCATCAAATATATATTGACTGAAAATAGTTGATCCCACGCAAATTAAAGTGGAAGTATATACGCACATTTAATGTATAATTGAATGATCTAGTTCTAAATATGTGGATAAACAGAAAGGGCGTTAAAATGTACTTTTTAATGTTGTGTTCCTTTTCGAACTTGAACAGGTACACAATGACTAAATCTACATGTATCATCTTCATTTTGGCTTTTTCGCTGTCATTCGGTCTTGAACAGCGACGACCATCGTTGATCGCGGTTGTTTCTCTCATCGGAATGGGTCTGTTTCTATTCACGTACCAATCGACCCAATTCAACCTCGAAGGATTCTTACTTGTGCTCAGTGCCAGCGCACTTGCTGGACTCCGATGGACGCTGGCGCAATTAGTTATGCAACGGAAAGAACTTGGTACGTTGTTGATTGCTTGGATTTGAGGGTTAGCGCTCATAGCGAATTTCAGCTATCATGATGATCTGCATTTCGACAGAAAACATACGTAAGCTTCTACAAGGATCCTGGTGACAGCAAGTCATACGGTGACGATTTGTTTCTCTACGAGACATGTACATACATAAGTTATACATAAGTACATATGCAGCAATGACGAGGTTCGATTTTCTGGTAGATGATGATTAACCAAATGGCTATAAGGTATTTTACATCCACACCTGTCCGGAACCGAAGATAGATTTATTGTTACTGAGCGGAGTGCCTCCAGCCTGCACCCAATCTTTTCGGATATCCCTCGGGTTAGCAGTGTGGTCTGCGTAAGCGACACGCGAACCATTTGGTTTCACGGCGCTCCATCCAGGCTCGGATGTGGGTATTAGCTTTACTTTCCGATGCAGACCCATTGCGTCGACGGGACTCGCCACGGATGTGCGTGCAAGAAAAGGTGATTACCCCCCTTAAACACGATATGGTTGTCACGGTGCATCACAGGCGTATTCTGTGGCTTTTCAAATATGCGTTCAAGTGTGTTGCGTAGCGACTTTTCCAGACGTTCTCTGTCAGGTTCGTTCAGATGGCTGTCTACATGGAAGTCAAGCAGCATATTTACATATATGGTATAGTAAACGAAAGGCCGTATCAGGGACTCCCGACCCGGTGAGCGGTAGGGACTCCTGAGCACGGCCCAACCTGCTACCAATTATTCTTCGCATAAGCCAGCCATTGTTAGAAGACAGTAGTCACTACCCTATACGAAGTCACGGATGTACTCATAGAAGATGTGCAGGATTCCATCCATCTGAACCGTGGCCCTAGGCAACCTTACGTGTTTCCAATTTTATGTTCCGCACCGCCTTCAAGCATATCATGAGACGGTTTCCAACGTGAAAGGAAACGTGTGTATACCCGCACTCGAGACCATCACGCGTTCTTAAGATCAGCAGGCAAATATGTGCCCACTAATATATTACGGGGACAGGCCTTAAACATTTTAAAGGTCGTTACTACTGATATAGAAGTATCAGCTGGCATTTCTTAGCCATCACAGAGTAAGGACAGTTCAGCACCTACCAAGATACAGAAGCCGTTTACTGTTTACAAGAAAAATTGACATGGCCTGGTATTCGACAATACACGACGATAAGCCTAAAGTGTTCTCATTCTCGACCCTAAGACCATACCTCGCCGTAACGATGGCTCTGTCTCTCCTAGGATGAAATTAGGTAGACCTAACCCCGCTAACTATCGGCCATTTCTCGTCGCGGTCCTCCGGTGTGTAACATCGGGGGACTTGTGCACCAGGGCATTATATGAAGTTGGGTTAGTCACCGCAATGAACGTCACAAAGGACATCGATTTTGCTATTCTTCTTATGTTGTACAAGAGGATGGTTTAGTCGCAATCGAGTCGTACCTCGTTTCAGAAAGTTTCTTCAACTTTAAGGAACGCCTCCCCTTTTCGTCATCCGCTCGAAAAATTCTTTTGGGGGTCGACCTACTCTAGAGGAGATCGGTCTTTTTAATCCTGTTTAAGTACGTCCCAATCATTGTCCTGGCTACGACCTTTAGATTAAACCGTACTAGGCCCAGGATACGAATACGGTCTCAAACGTCGCACCACCTGTGGCCATTGTCGACCTGCACCAAACGTTTCACTTACTTCAACTATTCGTCGGACAATTCCCGTCAAAGACTAATGCTCTGGAGCCTTAGCCTGCTGCAGCTGTCCACCAATCAGTGGATTAAAACAACTTGGCTTAGTCGTCTGAAATATTTATATAAGGTTTGATAGAAACATGCGCAAAATTTTTAGAACTCATCGGCTGTGTCGACGCAGCTGTGACATTTGTTTGTTGTTACGTTGGTACACTTATTCCATTCATAGCTCTATGCTGCTAACCGTTTCGGATAAAACGAAGCAATAGAATTAACTTTAGTCTTAATCATCCAATAAGGTGCTAAATTAAAGGTGTTGCTTTAGGCGAACCCTGCATAATCGAACGTTTACAAACGTCTTCAATAGGACCGTGAAAGGGTTGGAAATTACGAACGCTCTGGAGGACCTAGCAGATCAATAACGGATGATAACGTCCAAAAAGTGAAGGAAATAACTTTGGGCAATCGCCGATTCACTATCACAGAAGCTGCTGACAATGCTAGGATATCATTTGGCTGGTATCAAGCATTCTTTTTTTGGATATTTTCAAATGAATGGTTGCAAAGTTTGTTTCGAAATTTCTGAATTTGATAGCTTATCAGTACTAAATGGACTTTGCTCAATGGTACATGAATAAAGGCAGCGAGATCCCCGAGCAGCTTAAACGGGTCGATGAAAAGTATGTGTATGGGTATGATAAATCGTCCCAGTAAATGCTTACTGCAGAGCCGAACCTGAAAAAGACCGTGCGTAGAGAAGGCTCTAGATTTCAAAAACGTAGTTTGCCGTGACCAGAAAGCTCTACTCCATTTATGTAACTAGAAAAAGACGACTGTATTTGCAGGCAAACAATTCTTGGCAACTGCATCATGACAATACACCTGCATACACGTCACTGTTTCTTAATCAGTTTTTAAGTAACACAATTATGTTTTAGATTCCTTACACACGGGACATGGCCTGCCATTGTTATTTTGCAACCTAGAAAGACTTATAGAAGGACGACGTTTCGATCAGATTGAGGAAATTAGAACCGCCGAGGGGCTGAAATCCATAACGTAATAATCGGGTTCCAAAATTGCTTTCTGAATTGGAGAAAACGTTAACATAAAACTGTAATGTGAAGGAGAGTACATCGAAGGGGGCACAATTGATACTGACGATTTTTTTCTATCAAAATTGAATTTTGCGTGATTTATATCAAACCGGAGAAGTCTTCCGCTATCTTCTCGAAGGACCTTTTCGGAATCCGGGATATTCCGCGAGTCGTGATCTTGTGCGTTAGCTATACTGCTCCCTGGGTTACAGAACTTTCCTAGGTTTTCCTGGGTTTCTTTTCTTTCAACCGTAGGCCAGCAGAGTTCATAGACACTAATAGCTTTTGCAGGTGACGATGGGTATTTGAGTCAGCTGAGCAGATCAGATCAATGTGGCACTTCTTAACGATTTTATCCGTCAGTTTTTGGAACGTCGGGGCTACATTGGCAAGATCAAATGCCATTCACTTGAATTGGTTAAGCCTCTTTGGCGTGCAGGATGCCCAATATGAGAGACTTACCGTCGTCGAGGGTACAGAAGTAAGTCTATTCGGGGGTGCCAGCCTCATGAATCTATATTCGTCAAGGGGGGGGGGGGTGCGATATCCTACTTTGATGGGATTAAGTTTGCGAGCAATTACGCTGATCCCACACATCCGTGTTCGCAACGCTGAATGAGGATGCGTACGAAGTCTCAAGGTTTCTAGCCTGTCCGTTTGCAGTACAGCGCTAGAGTGGTTTGGACTACTACCGATATTGCTGCCCTCGTTGGTATAACATCCTCTTAAAGTGATTACGAGGCAGGAATGTTTTCGTTATAAACTGACACTTTCTCGCCAAAAACGGCTTTCCCAGAATCGGATCCTGCGTGAGGTTATCGGCGATTAGGAATGGCTTTTCTGGCCTATCGTCGATTACGACATGAATCACCCTAAAGTTGCCAGCGAGTGCACCGGACATCATACAGATATGCGTGTTCTGAAAGCCTTGCCGTGTCTGGCGAGTGTAGCTTATTTATTTACCAACTACGCAGAGATTGCGTTTGCATCCATCCCAGAGTCGAATATTGTAATTACCTTACCGCAAAGAGATTTGACCTTGAACTAAGAAAAGAGTTATTGGCGGTTTTGTTTATGCGACTCACGCTCCTGCGAAAGCAAGACTCCGGGCGTTGATTTTTTAATGATTCTGCTCAAAAATATTTCATCTTCGGCTAGTTACTGGAGGCTCATCGGACGACCCGTATGCCGCACCATTTACGGATTTGAGCGTGTTCCTTTTCGTGGGGAAGCCGCGCAAGCATTGGGAAAGTCCACGTAACCGCCCTGGTAAGACAGTCGGCAAAATTAGCGCTCACACTATGCTTAACGTTTTTTCGGAAAATCCCGGAGATGTACGATAGCCCTAGTCGAGGCATTAGAAAGCTTTTCTCGTAGATAGCTCCTGTCGTTTCTACAGACATGTGGGCAGCAAGTGCTTAGAGCATGGGTCCTACTTCCGATGCGCCCTTATCGCCTTCGCTTAGGCGTTTGCCATGGGCTAGTCGACGCTCGTTAGTTAATGTTGATTTTTTCTAGATAGAACTGACTTTTGTAGTACGGCGTAGATAGATAGATAGATGAACACGCGCTTGTAACGATAAACAACTCTCTAAATTTTCTTTTAATCTAAAAGCACCACTATATATGTATACATAAAAGTAAAGCACGCATTTCCTAACAATTTTCTTCATTCTCTTTTGGAATAATTTTGTTCTGCTGGCACTATAAGAAATTCTTAATAAAAAATAAATAATAAAAAAATCTTTCTCACTGTTCATAAAAACGTATTAGAGCAAGCACTAGCTCGTTTTACTTCCTGTCATGTCATTTATTGTATGAGACACATAGGCCATACTGGGTCACTTAGCTTTATGGATTATAAATGAATTTAGTAACAGCTAGCCTTTATGCAGTAGCTAATAGAGTGTATCAGGTCAGATTAACAATTTAGTAAGCGGACAGTACAATAATTATAAGCTTTGATATAAAATGAACACTTTACAGGTTTGGGCAATCCCGTTGACATGATGTATCATATCCAGCCGTGGATGATACTTGGTCTGCTTCCGTTGGCCATAGCGTTTGAGGGTGAGCTTAGTGTGGGCTTTGTCTCTTGCCTAGCTTAAATTGAGTGACATAAGAAGAACTGAATAATTAATAATGATCCTAATGCAATTACTTCTTTTTGTCCTTCATTAGAGATGCATATTGCTTACATTAATGTAAAAAACAGCAACTTTACGATACCATTGCGCATAAGTTTACTATAATTTTTAAAATATGTCTGCATAAGAGAAAAACATATATACATTAGCAAATACGATACAACACGAATATGAACGCAATATCGGTCTATCAATTATTAAGTTGCTTGAACGTTTTGCCCTACTTCGGCATTGGTTCAGAGTTGTCCTCCATGCTTGTTTACACTTGGCTCCCGGCGTAGGCCATCTGACGTATCTTTAGGTTGGACAGCTGTGCACGTTGCCGCTGAATTATCATAGGGATGCATTACGTACTTGCTTATTATTAAATTCGTTTATTTACTTTTGACATTACCAGTTAGTAACGCAGTTTAATGTTGAAAGGCTGATTTGCATTGCAAGCTTTGAATCAATTTATATACATGCCAGATGAATATCTCAATTATGGAACTTATCCAAGAATTACTCGAACCCTTACTCGGTGGCCAAAACTATCAAGATATTTACTTGAAAAGCGGTTCATAATAGTGCAAGATATGCCTACTAAACAAAGAAACCCTTTTCGCGTTCGTTCAGGCTATTCTCATTCGGTTAACTGTTTTGATCCATCCCTAAAAGAACTGGCCGTATTCAAGCCAAGATAGAAGCAATCTTTTTCTACTATATTTGAAAATAATATTAACTAAATATGCATTTTTTTGATCAATAACCTGTTTCCACTTTTCTAAGAACATGTATCACCATCCAGTCATTGTATAATGTCAGTGGTTTCTGGGAAAATAATTGTAACAAATCCTCCCATTTAAATTGAATCAACACCATTAAGGGAGTTTTGAATAAGTGTGGATTGATAATCTGATGATGCAAGACCAGGCTATACGGCAGATGCATTAAAACCTTTTGTTCAAGTTCTCACAATTTTTCCACGTAGCTAAAGTTGTATATAGTCCCGCATAAAGACGACGCCTTTTTTGTTTACTAGTTCCGGTCGATTTTTTTTAAATGGCTTGTTAGTTATTGATTGTAGAGATCCGAATCGATCGTTCTGCTAGGCGGCAGTAGCTCTTAATGCAATCCCACCGAACACTCAGCATCATTCTCTTTTGGATCAGTCTGAGCTTTATCCTAGCCTGCAAAGCAAACCTATTTTTTTTTTTGCATATTACTTTCGTATGTGATCCACTTTTCCTTCGTGATCGACTCCTTTAGAAACGGCGTTTCTGGGGAGCTTCGCGGATGGAAATAAGGTAGGGTAAAGTATTTCGCGTATCGATCTTACTCAACTTGCGACAATAATTTCATCAACGTTCGCCATAATTAGCCGACCGCTACGAAAAAGCATCTTGCACATTACACTTCCCGGAAAAAAATAACAGAACCACCAATTTTCAAGACGCTATCTTAAATTTACATGAATGCTTTCCAATTTTAGCGCGTCCGCTGTTACCGGCTCTTAACTTTTTAATGACACCGGCGCCGGCCCAACGTGGCTCATATCGCCTGAAATATGGGGCTTTGTGGCCGAAGGATTGTCAATCCATTGTCGACAGCCTAATCTGCTCTAACGATTTACTGCGTATTCCTCAATCTAATTGCAGGGCCTCGATTAGCGACGTCGGAAAAAATCTTTCGTTTCCATCCAGAACAAGAAGATGTCCTTCTAACCAACGTACTTCGTATTATTGGCGGATCTGTAATAGCTTTTCTCATGGAGGTCTCCGAATATTTACTTCTCAGCTATACCTCATCTCTAACACTCTCCATTGCTGGGATTCTCAAGGTAATAAGTGTCCTGTTAGGACTGCAACAGTGCGAAGGTTCGCCATAATCGTTTCTATCGGCACCAACGTAGGACTGTCAAACACTTTCAACAGAAGCACTTATTTGTAATTAATTTTTATCCTCGAAGTTTATAAATAACGCATTATATACTTTAACTGTTGTAGGAGAACCTAGTTGCGGCAGGTGGCGGCTGACATGATCGTATAGATTTTTACTGATAGGATTGATTCTATTCATGTTAGTGCTAACGCATATAGCGTCTCCTGATTAAACTGGAGAAACAGTTGTCGATTATTTCTAACGCATGCGCGCGTCGCATGAGTGCTACATCGTATGCATTTGCTTTTATGCACCGTCCGCTCTAAGGTCCTCTTGGCAACTCAACCTTTTTTTCAATCGAACGAACAGAGAAACAACTTACTGCCAGTTTAAATGGTTATACTTTAAATGGTTTTTAGAAGCGTTCTGCTAAAAACTGAGTTATCTGTATATAATGAATATATAAGGTCAAAGATATAATAATAGTATTATGTAATTTTTTAGGCCTTTATTCTGTTTTTGCTTACTAATCATATATATATATATATATATATATATATGTAAGTCTATTGGTTTCTATCGGTGTCTTTTAGGGGTCGTTCGTAGTATTACAATATTTAGACAATGTAGTTTCAAAATGATATGAAAATATATTAACGATAAATTACCCCGAACATATTTTGACAACTCAAAACTAAATGATATTCTTGATAAATATCACCAACACCCTCCCTTTAGTGTAACTAGTTAGAATACGTTAAAACGTTTTTAAAACGTCTATCTATGATTTGTAACGCTGAATAGCCTGTTCTTTGAATTTTCGAATGTAGGAAACATTTACGCTCTACCTGGCTGTAGTGTATAGCGGAGACATACTCAGCCCACTGAATATGGTCGGCTTGGTTATATGCCTCACGGGAATATCGCTTCACATTGTTTATAAAAGCATACATCAAACCAACGGTATGTAAGCAGTTGGAATACATGCCAATCCCTATTACATATGCAATCCTGCATACATAAAAGGTCTTTAGTGTTAAAACTAATAGTCTGGATCAGCCGTTTGTAATGATTCGATGTATAGACGTGGAAAAATGAAAACTTGGCTTGAAAGGATTTTCCTTTTGAAGTTAATACCTTGTATGACTGATGCAAAAAGTACCTCCGGCTGCGTTGTCTCAGCTCACCCGATCTTTTCACAAACGGAAAGGACAGGGATTCGAACATGTGGTGACTTGCTTTTTTAACCAATCACAATGCCGTCTGAATCACCTCATTAAAACCTGTTTTTTTTTTTTCTCGGAAAACCAATTTACTTTGCGAGAAGTTACACAGTTGTTTACATATTAGACCAATATTATAGCAAGCCTAGCCATATTTTAAAGCGCGAAGAAGCGAGTATTATGGATGTACGGCTTTTCTCGTCACTGTCGCCAATACAGTTGCTGAGATTCAGATAACAGACCTACAAATCAAGTAAAAATTATTTTAAATTGATTTAATTATTTTCCCGTTGATGACAAGCATTTTTAGGGCTGCAGAGGTATTCATCGATACAATTCCTAATGTCTTCATTTTATGCAGCCTATTTTGTGAGTATAAACAAGCCCGCGGATACATTCCCTGTAATTTTCGTAAACTAAGTTACTTAAAAACAATCCGCTTGAAATGAGCTTTGCTAATAAAGATCAGACCTCGCATAATAACCAAATCAGATACGTTCTAGCACTTCAGCGCAAGAGTTCTCATTATATACCATTATATCTATACCTCATGATGCTATCTCAAGTCCTTAACAATTTACGCCAGTTACTCATCTGGAAGAAAATAAGCGCGATTTCCTGTAGGCAATAACAGAAACATCGCATGCGCCCCGTTATGTATCGATGTAAAATACATTTATTTCTGTGATTTCGGGTACTACTTGTATTCATAACTCTATGTCCATGCTGCTTTGGACGTGTCATGGAATGCTTGAAATGCTTCTGTCTACTTCAACCTATTGACAAATCCGGTTATGGCGACCTTCGACAATTCCCTTTCTTCACTACTTAACTTCAGAGCGGCTTCCACTGCTTCCAGATTCGCGCAATACAGACAAGCTCCTATGAGGTACGGTTTTTGTAGGTGCTAACTTGACAAATACTTGCAACGTTCTGCTACAGGCAGATAATCGAAAGTTTTTTCGACGCACTTCTGGCCTGGTTCGGTAGTGGAATGTAATTGAAGTCGATGACTGGCCATTCATTAACAGACTTTTAGGATCTAGTGGTTACAAGTGAGTTATTATTACATCACAGAGTCTGGAAAAGTTAAGGATCCAAAGGCTGGCTCAACAGAAACGTAATACCACCAATGGGCATTATATGTGTAAAAAATCGATCAGTTGAGAAAACGATGGCTCTGTTGAAGATGTAGAGCAAGAGGATGCGATAATTCTGTTGGTCAAATCAACCATTTAAATGAAAGCGGGCCGTTCTTTACATATATTGCAGCCATTTACTTGACCTTTGTCGTGTACTGCTTCTACGAATGCGACTAGCTTTGCCACCATAAACCCCACCACGAGAGCGAATCATGAGTCGATTGGCCACCAAAACGGCAGTCGTTCGGTGCGCCATAAAGAATCCTAAAACATTTTAAATAAATCTGCTAAAGTCACTCGAACACCATGAATATATAATACTTGTGAAATAATTATTTATTAAGGTGTTAGACACTTATCCAGCTGAATGGATCTACGACAAAGGAGCTAACTATACTAGCCTGTTACAAAAAGAAAAAGCTATCTTTTTTATATTAATGATGATGGTAAAGATGAATGTTACACTTTCTAGGAATTACTAATAATTCCCAACAAGAGTGAGTTTCCCGCAGCGTCCTATACCTAACTGAAGGGAACCCACCATGTTGTTCCAAATATAAGCAATAGCCGGTAAAGCTTGAGCGATTTTTGAAATTATCAACAATCTTCTGCATTAATATATATGTATATATATATATATATATGGGTAAAAATTGCACTCCACTACGACTAAAAGTAGATATTAAAGAGCACGATCAAAAGCTTTAAAAAGCATTTATTTGTACAAGGTTGACCAGGTAAATGTTTTACTACTGTTTACATTGACTTGAAGACGTGGACGAAATTAGCAAAGTTACATCTTTATCAGGATAGAGGGTCGATTAACGATTCTTCCTTGATAAGCACAATGTAAAACGCTGTGAACGAATCGACTGCCACTGTTGTTTATTAATTAATACTCTGCTGTATATATGACATCTAGATTAGCTTTTCAGAAATTGTTCAAACTGAAAAATGGTCCAATTTACAGTATCTATATGCTTTGCTAAAATTGAAAACGACAAATTGCGCTTACGTTACGGTACATACACAAAATAGGAAAGGATCTGTATGCATTTATACATCTTCGATTTCATCGAGTTTCGTATATTTCACATTATAACTGATAGACTAATGATGCAATAGTTTTTAAGAAAATATATTAACTGGTTATATTATGCCGTATTGCTAACATTATTTCCTGTTCTACCGCACCGGCTATTGCATTTGTTGCAGATGAGGATCAGACAGGACCTTCAACATCTGAGAGGACCGCTGAACCTGGCTTTAAAGATGGCTCCGTGAGAGCCTGCTGAATTCCAACTCTGCCAATGAAAAGGCCTGATTACTTTCTGAGGAGACTCCTTAAAATAGAGAGCTATTGTTACTACAGATGTTTGTACAGCAAATTAGATAACTAAGTCGGTTGACATAACGATTGCTACTAGACTGTTTGTGCTCATTCGAGATCGTCATATCAACCACTTATAGTATTGTATATGGAAGAAAGATATGAAAATGCGGTTCCTTTTTCAAAGGTAGATCTTTATCCATTGGGAACTGAAATAACTCCCATGCAGCAGTATAGTTCACCGTTTTATATCGACTGCCGTGTGAGTGTGTAGTACGTTGATTGGAAGTAGTCGGCATTAGTAAGGTATTTTACGTTAGGCTAGGAAGTACCTAGAAGTGAATTCCCCACAGCAGACATTGTTCGACATATAGGAATTTTACCCTGCGTAACACCGTGCAAGCAACGACTGGCGTCGGATAGAATTGAATCATTACTGAATTTGAGTGGTTACCGTTCCACTGGATGAGTCTCTCGGATCTCTTTTGGTGCTTGAAGATCTAGTTACATCACAAATTAGGAAAATGATCTGTATCAGAATTGTTTTCCTTTACATGTCACTGGCTATTAGTAAGCCTTCATAATCCTCAGGATTGGGCCACTTCTCTCTGTTGGCTAGTCGTTAACCGCAATAGGAAAAAGAGGAAGGGTGGCTCTACTCGGCTGTGTGGTTATGTCACTTAGAAATAGTTATGTATAGTACGTTCGAATTTTGTTATCGATTAAATTGTTCCACTGTATATTTGTTTCTATCTTATGTTTTAGACTTTTTACAGTTCTATATCTGCGGCTCCTGCGGAATTTTTCAAAAATTTTATTGATCTGTGCTCATTTTAACTTGAGATCTATTTTTTTTTTTCATCTAGACATCAAAACGAAACGGCAGTCCATCAGTAATAGAACTTGACTTTTATAACCTTTCTGAATATAGTCACAGACTAGAACAAAGACGACACGCATGGAACACCAGAAAAGAGAAACGGTAGCGTAAAACAGGTCGAGCAGTTTTACACTACCCCGTTATTATAATATCAAGTGCAGTTCTATCATTCTATCTGTTATCTTTAAATGAACCTCGTTCTAATACCTCATTTCATATGTGTACGCGTGGTAATTTCTTACCTAAACAGAAATACTGAAGTTCTAGTCAGGTAGAAAGACGTTATGGCTAAACTAAGTTTATATTAAAACACCCTTCGAGATCGTCGTCGTGTGAACACACCACCCAGTCGACGAAGACGCATTTTGTTATGTAGGGAATGTAAGTATTGGCCAAATGTTACTTAACGCTAACAACGATTGTTAGCTAAAGGAAAAAGTACGGTTGCGTTCTTCTTCGTCTCTTCTTCGTCAAGGAACTTTATAAAAAATATCAATTGAAAATATCTATTGGATTGAGTCGATGGTGGAACTTTGTAAATTGCTAATGATGTTTTTCGAAGAAATCAATCATTCAACGAGCCTTTAGACTAACTGTGTATTTTCAACGGAAGAAAAGTTTTTGAAAGGAAAGGCAATGTTTCGCAATGATTTAGTACCAAGCTGTTTAACTCATAAATCACAATTTGCCTACTGCAGGTTCTCACGAAGTTCCTTCGGGAACACATCGTTTCACCTGAGGTTTTGCTAGAAAAGACAAGGTGGTGAAGTTGAGTTGTGCATAGTCCAGATACTAGTACATTCAGGTGTTGTATCTCGTCGATCTGCAGCAATTGCATGTGGTTTTTAATGCTGTTCTGGCCGCATCAAGCCTGTGTAGCTAGCGTTCTCGTCTGTGATCCTGGTATACAGAGTTGGCCATGTCGTCGTAATTTTTTTTCAAAAACAACCTTAAAAGTGTAGCATCTTAACTAAGACAACGCGATTATTTACTCTGTTTGACATATATACGAGAAACATTTTCGTATCAAATGAACTATCGATGGCATTCCGTTTGCCCTTGTGATGGGACATAATGTCCCATCCCGTCCTCTACGTGTTTCAATGTAGTGGATTTTGAAAACACAATTCGCTTTTATTCCGTTTGGAAACTGAAACAGGAGAAACTGTGCTAGATAAATAAGCTGGTACTTTTGCTTTTTTAGCCAGCAGAGGTTCCATAGACTGTCACAAAATGTTTAAGTGTACCAAATAGCTCGACGCTTTGAGCAATTCAAGTCGATATTATGCATCTTCAAAAGGCTCCAAGGGTTATAGAATTCATGTGTAAGGTCAACGTTCTCTTATTATATAAGAAGTAAAGCGACTGATAAAGCTTTTTGTTCCCCATATACGAAACGACGTTTAAATTATTATTATTATGCAGTGCTACCCCTGTGCAATGCACCTGTCGGAACAGAATTTTGTTTCTCCATGATCCGCACAAGAATATTGTACGCCAACCTTAACCTAACCTTATTCTTATTATTAAGTTATTATTCTTTGATATTTGTGTAGAATCCACTATCGTTTTCATCTCATGGCAGTTGAACTGCATGATGTTGAGTCATATAGTCATTGTTTTGGATACACCCATCATTATGTAAGAGACTTGCTATGGATGAGCTAATTACAAACTATTGCAACGAATGCAGCTTAAACCGCATCTAGCACGTAGCTACATGTAACTATAAATACTACCTAGAATGGGGCGCGTATCATTTCAGCTGGAGTTTCGCCAAGAAAGAAAGAAACAAAGACGATACGGGAGATCCGAGTCGGCCCAGTAGTTCGAAATATTGCAAATAATGATGAAAAATAAGCGTTATTTTTCTACTTCCTTATTCATTAGTCAATTTTTTTTGCATGTAGCTGAGCAAAAAATCAATTGTTATGTCACTTACGTTACTATAATTTTAAGCGCCATATATACGATGGTTAACATAATTATCATTATTTAGCAGGTATGCTAACTGGATACTGTGTGGAAGTAAATTATGTGATTTTTACCTAATGAGAGAAAGGCATGTGACATGCCTTTTCAATTTTTTTTTCACTAAATGTCCATGAGTGATGCGTAATTGTAGACTTTCTGATTTATAAATGATACGTATTATTTGGGAGCATAAAATGTATCGAGTACGTTTGCTAATCAAGTGGCACGGCTTCTGAAAAGGGGAGGACTCAGATACGTTCGGCTGGGTGCCGTAATGTACGATAAATGTTTATAAAGCCCAGGATTTAGTGGAAGCTTCAGATCTCTAATCAGTAACCCATTAACGAGAACGTATGTGTTATAGTTCTGTCATTTTCATTGGAACTTGAAACGTAATAAAAAATACAGGTTAGCTAAGCCGTGTTGTGCGCGCGACGTATACTAATTGTTTGCTTAGTAGGTCCCCTTGTTGGAGCCTCCACTTGCATGTATCCGTTTTACAGTACTTCGAAAAAATATAGGATTAGTGAACGCTGAAACGGCTCGCAATCGTTTAGTTTGCTTGTGAATAAAACTTTATTAAGACAGTATAGTTTTTATTACGAATAAGTTAGTCTTTTGTAACAACTTGTTCTGAACATATGCCAAAGAGAACGGCAGTTATGTCGTATAATATGATGCCGTAATCGAGGACCGCCTCTTAGGACTAAACATTGAAACGCCTTTGGAGAAATATTTGTTAATCCAAATTACTGAAAATTTACAAGATCGCCATTTGGCAATTTCTGTCCGTTCAGCTGGCGTCTATGCCATTTTGTCTCTATTTAGCGTTTTGTACCTTGGCATTTCGCATCTGTCTATTCTTGTTACTATAAGAACGATGAACAAAGAATAGTAGATTTGGACCGAGTTGTGTATCTTTGTCAAGACCAAGTTAATTAAATAATTGTAAATGTTTATTTATTTATTGGAATATATCCGGAGCATTAAGAGATTTGATTCAGTTATCTCTCAGAAGCAAAACAAAGAACGGTTAATCGCTTGCTGTACATCGCAAAAGCCACCGCATACGTAAATCTGGCACTAGTCACCAGTCTTTTTGGGACTTTGTTCAGAACTAGTAGTTGAACATTTGGTCCGATATTTGCGCAAATCCTGTGGCCGTTTGTACGTTAATTCAATATCTCTATCCCACGACGTGTACTATATGCACTTTCCGGCATAATTAAAAAAGAAAATGGCCATGCACGTATAAAGAAAAAACTACGAGAAGAATCTAACGGGCAGTGGAACTTCTCGTCGCCAAGTATCTTTCGTCTGGAGTAGACTGATTAAAACCGGTGACATGAGATGTCAGCAGTTTTCACTACTAGTATCTTGTACACGTATTAGACGCTCAACAAAAGAACGAACGGTTGACGCTTTGCGGACGGAACAGGTGAAAACACGAATCATGCCGGCGGGTTCATGCTGATGATGGGTGATCCTATGTCAATATTATGGCCCAAGCTGAATGAATAAGCTAAAAACAGCGTTATAATATAAGGCAAAAGAGGGGAGAAAAAGGTTTGCTTGTCACAGATGAAATATTAAGTAAATAAAGTACAATTTTTACATGAACTGCCCACTGTCTTTATTGGCAAAGCATAGATATTATTATCCGTCATTATTCAATTATATACGTGTTTGTGCTGTACTGTCTTTATAAGTGCCAGCGCGTATGAGCATTAAATTGTCTCGATGAAACTAACTATAGATGGAGAGTGTATTGCTCAGAACCTTATATTGACAATTGCCTGTTTTCGGGCTCGTTTCAACGTGTGCTGTACACTTGTTTGGGAAGATGCAAAGCCTACATGCATGACACTCGACCGATGCCTCACACCTGATTAGACTCACCGTAATTCGTCTTTCGTATGGTCCCATACACAGACTAGGTACTGTGCAATGCTTTAGCAATACCCATTCGGCCCAATTTATTCATTTATATCGATAGAAGACAAGATAATGTCAGCACATTTTATCCTCACGCTTGGCTTGTTCATAATCCAATACGCTACATATCGTTCGCGCATGCTGCTAAAACAACAATGCTTAATGTAACGTCGCATGTGTTGATTGTTAGTATTTTGTCAACCGCTCCGACTGATTTATCGGGCGCACTGCCTTACTTCATTTGTACTCAGGTAGAGGTTTTAATTGAATTATACCCGAATAGACGGCCACGTTCTATAACAAAGAATTAAGGCAAAATAAGCTAAAAATATCCGCGATGTGTCGCTGGGCCGGCTGGAGGATTTTAATGCGAAAATGCGAGGGGTGCATCTACCCTGATGAAGACCAGTCGCGGCTGGCAATTGTGGCGGTTCTTGTTTTATTTGGTCCCTTTTTGCGCTGCATATATAAGCAATAGATGCTTTATAAAGCAGCTGCCAATTAGTTAATGAGTTGAATCAATAGGGATCAAAAAACGTTATTAAAGAAAACGTCAACTATTAGCAGAGAAGATAGTCCTTTTTCATAACCTTAAAGTCAAGATTAAGCATGAACGTATAGTGGCATCGCATTGTTTTTGTGGGGTGTCTCATATGAAAGGTATTATTAACGTACATTTACAAGGCAGGAACGCTTTGAATAAATCTATTTAATCAAACTGGCTATTCACAAGGGGGAAGCTACCCTCTTTTCTTCAATCAAAGGAGATCGTAAAAAATCTCTGATAGTATAAGTTATTTTTTTTATAGTGCTTGCAGTCTATCCCTCTTATATCTGTGCTGATAGTTCCGTAATAGCAGCAACATCAAAAGTATCACTATAAATTATACCACATGAATTTCCGGTCAATATCGTCCCCGTAGATTACCTCAATTGTCCTTATCCTTGGGGATCTTTTTTGTATCGCCGCTATTCGCTGCATCATTGTTGTGTTTAATAAGACCTTTAGCTAACAAGTCTGGTACTTCTACCGCCAGCCAAGGGCCCAGTCCGAGAGCCATTGCATGAGCAATACCAAATTTCGGGACGTTGCGAGCCCAAAGAGGTTTAAAGTGGTCCGATAAACAGATTTTGCCACCTGAAAAGTAAACAACCTTTAGGAACAGAAAATTGGAAAACACCAATAATACAACCAACAAAGAAAGAACGAATATCTTTTAGCAAACAGTGTGTGAATCGCGCTTTAAAACGTAAGTTCTATGAGTAGATTCTGAATGCTTACAAGTAGCGTTTGCAAAAATGTATTACTACGCGACTGTATAAATAGTTACGCGTTACTCTAACGAGATTCACTGTTATAATGATCAGCAAATGTTGTAAATGGCTGTTGGTTCTATCGTTTCGTTGCGTCGGTTTGTTGATTGAGTCTGTAGTAATCTACATGACTACTGATCTACGTGCCAGGCCGTTCGCTTTCAAGCTGATCAGCCCTACTCACTTTGGACTATTATGATGTAGGAATAACTCGAACACTGGGCTTCTGTGCTGCTCATACCAACAGCAAAAACATAGCATGTCGGTATTATGAAAGGATAACACTACATGAAAGGGCTTTGTTCATAACACAGAGCTAGTGAACAAAACTACAATTGAAAACTGACTACAAGAGGTCTCGTGTTGACTTCCCAGCAATGTATGCTTACTTTGAAAAACCTTATTGCATCAATTATTACTCGCATGTTAACATGATGTCGTATTATACTGAATACGTCATAAATAAATGGTACCGTACGGCAAAGTACGTAATAGAAGCAACTACTCAAGGGACCAGTAATTACCAACTATGTGCCAATTTCCTAGGCATACCTCGATACATCTTTGCTGTTTTGCCATCAAGTTCTGGAATAGCGATTTCGGGCGCGGTTGTGGGGTACGTGACGGGAATATCAAACTCTATATCGAACTCATACTTCAGTAGTTCGTGAATGTACCAGCACTTTCCAAACCAGCGGGTACCATCTTTATTTGACTCAAGTCGGAACCAGTCATTATCGTTTTGCTGTAAACAGACAAAAAATAAACACGTTATTTAGGCTACCGTCTTCAAATTACTCTAAATCCCCAGACATCTTCCCTCACACTGAGAACCTTTACCCTATTGTTTCAATGATCAACCTTAAAGGAAAAACAATTCTTGGTAATTTATTTAAACGATCACCACGTTCATGTGTTCTCACTTACTATATGATCAGACTATTGTTGTCTACTTGATGTATTTTCTAGTATCTTATCGCGTTGCCTGCAATTGGTAATCGTCGTTTCGATGATACTTCCCAGTTTACTAAATGTTTAGTTAGAAGAGGGAAAAGCTCCTTCGATAGTGATGTTGAAACGAATATGTGAACAATATTTTTAGCAGGATGGCTGGTTGGTAAGAGCAAAGCGAAAAAAACCAGTGATAAAAAAATTGTGTGGCACCTTGGCTTTATGATATGATTTAGACTTTGTCGGGAAAAAGCTCATATTCGTGTATATCTACAAAATGTAGAATAATTATAATATCAATACCTTGTTGTTTTCGACATATTTGATTAAAGATTGATACTCCTCTTTAAGTCTGGTGACCCATAGATCTTTGTCTCGTGGCCCGGACTTTGTCTTCAGTATCGGAATAGCACACAAAGTTTTCTTTGTTGCCGCGTCCACCATTATAACACCTACACGCAATCACAGTTCTTTAGTAAGATATATCAACAACAAAATAATCCAGCAATAATTTTTTCTAAATCTTCCGTTTGTTTCCTAGTAGCGACACAGGCCACCAGATGGTGGCAGTCAGTGCTAGTGTATCATCATCGTCATGAAACGTTGCGCGAAGCGGACAGAAGGTTTCCACGTTTTGGCGGTTAGTTTCGCAGAGCCACCATTCTCATCGGTTTTTAACCACTAACAATTAACATGCAGTCGGAGCACGGTTATGTACTTCTTGCTTGTCATTTATCCAAATTAATAAAATTCCATAAATTGGCTAGTTTATTTATGAATTACATTAACTTTAAGCAACTTCGCCGATTAGTGATAACAAGCCTTCTGTCAAATAGTAATGTTTATCCGCGTAATAAGAGTTAATCGAACCTGTGAGAGCGGTTAGGCAAAACTTTTGCATTGTCACGACGTTTTTGGTGGCTGAACGGTGGGGCGTTCGTGAAGTTGATTGTGAATATCATAACATTTGATTGATACTGCTGACGGCTTCATCTGAAGTATGGGAAGTGTCAAGTACGATCGGGCCATTACGGTGTTCTCGCCTGACGGTCATTTGTTCCAGGTCGAATATGCGCTCGAAGCCGTCAAGAAAGGTGCTACTGCGGTATGCAAAGTTTTCACCCTATCTAATCATATTACGTACTAACCTTTTCATCCTTGTTCTGTTGTAAAGAAATTAGGAAGTGTACGTTTCGCACCTATAACTGAGTCCATGAAGCATCTATACGGAATGGCGTAGTCAAAGATCCCAACAGACAAGCCTCTTTTTGAAAAATTCGTTTGAGAAAGGTTTTACAAACGCCAGCTAAACACGCTCAGTGGCTAGAGGCGCATTGCAGTCAAATTATTTCCTAAAACATTTACTGAGGAAGGCCTGGTAAACACAATGGACAGGAGCTAATTATAACACAAACCGTTTCAGCATTTCATGTATTTCATATTATCGAGTAGTTAAGGTATAGATTTTTTAGGTTAGTGGGCTAAAAAGTTGAGTTGTCGCATTAGGTCCAATAGGTGATGCAAACTTTTACAAAAACTATGTTTTTGATCCCATTTTTGATGTTCTTTAATCTCTTTTCAGTATTGATATGATCTCTTAACTACATAAATTTCGCTTCCTTCACTTGGCTTGGTAACCAATGCATAAAAGCTGCTTTTGCCCAAATTCTAATAGAACGCTTTCTCTATGGTCCACTTTCTACTCACCTCCGATCTCTGACACTAGCTGCTGCATCAAGGCTCAAGGCATCAATCTCCCATTATCTGGAGTTTTTCCCTAACTGCCATATAAAACCCTGTTATTCTAAAAATGATATGAGTGTCTCTTTAATCAAATTAAACTAGCCGGTCCACTTTCTTTTTATTAAACCACTGCAACCTTACTAGTGATCATGAATATCACTTATTTTGAGCACGGCTGCCAGAATTACACCCGCTTACTGCAATATCTTTATAAAGTACGTTTGAATTGAGTTCCATAGAATTTAAATATTATTCAATGTCTTTTTACGAAGAGCTCTTTTAAGAGCGTAACTTTAATCACGTCAAGCAACATGTATGTAACATAACTTTGAATCCGTTTTTATAGCTGAACATATTAGCACTGATAATTCATTAATATTCCACCTTTTACTGTTTTTTTTTTTAAATAAAACTAAGCTGGTGTGCCTGATTATCAGGCAGAAGGTTATATTCTTACATTTATCGCGACCTAGTAGGTGGAGAACCTAGTGCTTCCGTCCCGTTTTTGTTATTTTTAGAATTTAGAGCTAGTGTGTCGTATGCACAAGTTCAGGGGCGTAATAATCAAAATTACCTACTATTTCTCTTAGCGAAGAGAATAAAAAAATATCGTACTAAAATGAAAAGTGAATAATGGACTGAGAAATTAATTTCGATGATAATTTAAGCGAACATTGATTTTGAGCGCTGATTTGCACTCTTTGATTATGCGTTGGTATTCCCTAATAGTGAGGGAGGTTCTATTTACGTGTTCTGCTGCTAACAGTGTATAGCCTTCGGATGTTATTGTGGTACTTCGCAGGTCGGTGTTCGGGGTGATAATATTGTCGTACTAGCGGTTGAAAAGAAGTCGGTTGCAAAGCTTCAGGAAGAACGAACCGTTCGAAAGATCTGCCCCATCGACGACCATGTTGTGATGGCATTCGCAGGTAAAGTTCAGTTAACTTTTGACGTATCTACCCTACATCTAGCTTAGACGATATGTAGCGTTAAAATAAAAAGGCATACCTTTAAAGTCAAGCACACACACATACGTTCCGTGGGATAGCGCCCAGATACAAACGCGAACGTCGAGTCGTGCAGGACGTTTTCATAATAATCGTATATTTACATATATTACTAATATCTATGTGGTTTATCTTAGTTCACACTGATATCACACGAATATCAGAATACGACCGCGTTTCTGCCGACATCAAAATCTTTTCAACGCATATGACACAGATGGCCTAATTATGTATATTTTTGAGTACATAGGACGGCTCCACAAAAATCATGTATGTTTGTATGTATATACACATGAATGGTGCAATGTGCCGTGTGTCATATAATATTGCTACCGTATTATTTCAGCCTCATACAAAGTATTATTGTTAGCAATCTATATGACCTTACAGGCTTAACAGCGGATGCTCGTGTGTTAATTGACCGCGCACGGGTCGAATGCCAGTCACATCGACTGACCGTCGAAGACCCAGTCAGTCTCGAATATATTACTCGCCATATAGCTCAAGTAAAACAGAAGTATACCCAATCGAATGGACGCAGGCCCTTTGGTATCACTGCATTACTCGCTGGTTTTGACCCTGACGGAACCGCTCGCCTATTTCAGACTGATCCTTCCGGTGTCTACCACGAATGGAAGGTAGGACGATTTTTGTTCGACTGGAAAGCGCTCGCAAATCGCAGTGCTAGCGTAGTTATCTATTGTTGACTGTGTTCAAAACTGTGTTTTATTAGCAGTTAAAAATCCTTAAGAGGGTGGATTTTTCAGACTTAGGCGTTTCAAATGATTTCGGTTTATTGGAAGTCATAATCTTAAGTGCACCTTCTGTAAAGAGAAATGGAAAAAAAAACTTGACATTCGATAATACGATAGAAATTAGCTCCGAGAAGAGGACATTTTGTTTGCAGTGCGTAACTGGGATACCCGGAATACGTCTTCTTGTTGATTCAACTCGCCTGAAAATTTGTAACAGTGCTAAAGAAAAATAAAATTATATATATATAAGTAAACTAACAAGCCATTGAGGGATTTGGAGGCTTCTTTGATTAATCTCGATTCTATTAAGTATAGATGACTTAGAGGATTTATTTGACAGGACCTTAGATAGAAATATTTTATGACTCGCAGAACCTGTGAAGTTTGGAATCCGGTTTGCAATTATATATTCCTAGGAAATTATAACGTTTCTAGTGGGCGACAAGTACCAAAGAATTGCAAATTATACATATTACAGACTATACCTTGTACGACTATTCATATAAAAAAAAATAATAAGAAGCAAATAATTGTTAACTACAGGCTAACGCGACAGGTCGTTCGGACAAGACGGTTCGTGAGTTTTTAGAGAAAAACTATAAATCTGAGGAAATGTCAGACAACGACAAGGTTATTCGGCTTGCCATTCGTGCCCTTCTGGAAGTTGTTCAAGGTCGAAACTTGGAGGTACGTGTGGTAAATACCCATATAAGCATATGTTTCGTCGAAAAATTTTCAATATATAACATTCCGGTTATGCCAATCTTTTTCATTGCTAGGATCAATACGTTAAACTTATTCATCCTTATTAGGTAGTACTTTAGTCGCTCGAAACATACAAATACATATTTTAACAACTTGGCATATTAAGCTTTATATGATGTCTAATACGATACATATGATCACTTTGCAGGCCTGATTAAAGCCAATGTCGTAAGGCGATTTCTCGAATGCTCGACTTAGGGTTGACAATATTGTTTATTTAGAACCTATCAATAATTGCATTATGATCATAGACCATGAAATTGTTCTTTGGTTAGTTATGCGTCAGCTCACGCAGACTGAGCTTACGAGCAGCGAAAAGCATGATACAGATGACAAGCTTACCTATACCTAGTACAAACATAATATTCATCAGGTCCATGGCACTCCTGTACTTTCCATTAGCAATGGTGAAAACCGTGCATTGCGTAGCACATCACTATATGTCTGTTAAATCAGTCAAGTTCTTGATAAACCTCTTGCATCAGGGCTCTCGTTTGATAGAATTCGGGATCGGCCTCCGCGAGTTTTTAATCCCATTTTACCAAGCCTTCCTGGAGTGCTGGCGTTGTCCATAGAATAGCGACGGAAGTTTTAGGCGAATAGTGACATCGTCGTTAAGTGGTAGGCAAGTCTGTTATGGGTTGTCCGCTGCAACTCCAAGGTTTTTTTTGAGGAATGAGGCCTTTATTCGACATAATTTTGAGACCGAAAAAGCGGGTAAGGACAATCGGTGGAGGACTCTATATTGAAGACGAAGATGTCAAGACCCTTTTATCCTTTTGTAAAATGTTGGAATGTTATTGAAGTGTTGGAAAAGTTTAACTATCACACCGGAACAGCAATCCACAAGAGAATGAATCGATTGACATATTTTAGCAGTCGGCCCGGGAGGTGTCGCGTGTAACGAACCGCAACCCTGCCACCTCTTAGACTCAACTCCGAAACAGAATGATGTAACCTTACTAGGGCTTGTCGCAGAGAGGAGCAACGGCTCCTGTAAACAAATCGATTGCATAAAGGAGAACTTTTATCATAATTCTGATTCCGCAGTCTTCTCAAGAGAATGGGCAAAACGGGGCTCAAATTATCACCTTGGGTCATACCTGTAGCCTGAGAGAACGCTGGCAGCTCTAAAACATAATCATCGAGTACAACGCTGTTCCTCTTAATTTTTAATTTTTATTAAATTTTTTAACATAATATGCTCAAGTATTATGAAACTATCAAAATTATAATATATTATATATTACTTATTCATTTGTAAAAAAAATGATAGTTCTAATGATCCGAACATAATAATTTTTAAAATTTAAGCATGATATTTTTTAAAAATAAAAATAGATCAGATAATCTCTAATCAAAGATTGTTTGCGTTTAATTTTCATTAAAGTTTCAAATACTTTGCAATTTCTTATGATCAGATTATTAAATATTTAAAAATCGTTACTATTAAGTTGAGCACATTCCCGGGAACCTCCATGTCAGCGAGTATGCTTAAGAGTCGGCAAGTAGGATTTTGCATTCTGATTCGGTCAAATGGTCCCTTCTAAATCCATGTTGCTCTTCAATATCGCGCTCATACTCTCTAGAAGTACGTTGTCTCTTTACAACAGATACGACAGAATTTTATAGCAGACGCTTTTCTTCGCGGTTTTACGCCACGACTTCCGTTGATTTGGGTCGTCTTTGCCTTTTCATAACGGAGAACGTTGCATTCCACCTGAAGAAAGCGATTCAGCACAAAGACTGCCATTAAGCAAGGAACGATACAAGCCCCACAGCGACTGAGATGTTTCTGTCTAGTCCCGTTGCCTTGGTTGAACATAAGATACCGAACGCTTGAGTGATTTCCACGACGGACAACCCCGGGTCCCGGCTTTCACGTTAAACCGTGGCCAATTCGTTCTATGCTGCATTGAGTGGTGAGATCGCATAATATACAGTGTTTCTAAATGTGAACGGTTCCAACCAGCGAAGTGGTCGATAAGCAACGGATCATGATGCAAGCTTGCGGGGGCCGTAGCATTTATATGGCTGACGCCCGGCCTCTCTTATCAAAAAATAGCCTTTTGCTATTCCTGATATATATTGCCCTAAATGGCATATCTCTTCTAGTGTATCACTTTGAATACCACGGTCAATGGTCTCTCTGCGAGTTGCAATGTTGGCAGCAGCGCAAAGAAATCCTGGACAGGGCGGGCGAGAGGCAATCCGATACGTCTAGTCCGACAAAAATGTATTCTTGGAGCTGTCCTCTTTCGCAGAAAAAGTGATCTCCTCTGACATATTTGATTTTATCCATACTTACGTTCCTCCCAAAGATTATTGGCAGAATTTCCAGCAACGCCGACGATGTTGGTAGTTCGACAGGGGTCACTATCCATCAATAATGTTTCACTAGTGTATCTCGCAGGGTTGACGTCTGGCTAAGGGTAGGTTTTCCCAGGCGCGCATTGAAGTCTCCCGCCATGGTTCAAAAAGCCTTCGATCGCCAATGGCGTGAGCTGCGGCGGTTTTATGGTAGCTTATTGAATCTATTGAAGAAACGAGGAAACGTGGAAAGGCGACGATCCTTCGATGCACCCCTTATGAAATGTTTTGGGCTGTTGTACTCAAGCCGATAAGGTAGACTCTCTCTTCGTGGATCACCGGTGGTACGATCAGATATGTCCCCATGACTCGTCTCTTCACCCCCTTCAGAGTTTTCTTGATCCTCGCCTCTAAAAAAAAATTTGATTCTAATTGCCAGGTTGTGGTGTGTAAACATTGTATGACACATTTTATCATACAACTCTAACGCGATCTGAGCTAAACATTATTGAATAGTTTATCCTGTGCATCGTATCTAATTAATGTTGTATTTTCCTCGACAGGTTGCTGTAATGCGGAAGAATGAAAAGTTAAAAATGCTAGATGTAAAAGAAATTGAGAAGTTTGTTGAATCGATTGAAAAAGAGAAAGAAGAGGAAGCTGACAGGAAGAAGCAAGCCGGCACAGGGGGCTCAAAAAGCACAGCCTAAAGAAAAGCAGAGGGACAGGTTGACTGTTGATGACAACCAGTAGGCTTATACACCAGTAGTCATCTAAAAACTTTATACACCTGCTTCACTTCATGTATGCATCTATATATTCTCAAGGTACGAACCTGAACACACGCGAATAAACGCAGGTTATTATAACTGCAACCAGTTTGCGCAAGTGGGCCAAACAGCTGTTGCTCGATGATAAAAATAACGAATAAAAAATAACACACGGCGACATGGACAGAATAAAAATAAACAACTTCGATTTTTTATTTAGTTATATAAAAATACTAGTATCTTCAACTATATCAACATACTCCATGTAGTAATAAAAATTTGTCGCTAACCTGTTTTAACGAGATGTTCGACTTATTCCCTATATTTGTTTTAGATATGCTCTTCTGATTCTTCTAAACAAGAGTTCCTCATCTAAAATTGTCTCAATAACATTAGGAATGCCCTCTAAATGGAAATGTTAATTTATTCCTATTATTACTATTAGTAGTAGTAGTAGTAGTAGTAGTACTAGTAGTAGTAGTAGTAGTAGTAGTAGTAGCAGCAGTAGTAGTAGTAGTAATACATAGTTATCAAACAGCGCTTTAGCAGAGGCCAGTCTAATAAATAAGCTACTTTCCGTCTTTAAAGTTTGGAAACCGACTAGGGCGAAATTCGTGTAGATTCATCTTTTCGCTGTGTTCGTCAATGCGCTGGTGTCATTTAGTATTCGCGCCATCTTGTTGCAAATCACATCTCGCCTCCATGCGATGTGCCTTTTGCTTGAACTCTGCTCCAAGACTCAACTACATCAACAGTTACGTGTGTGCTTCGCTTAAATACAGCCAAAATCTCAGTCATTTAGTTTACGTAGACGCGCGAATTCGGCTCTTTAATCAAGAAGTTTGATATCCCTTTGCTTTTTTTCTAGTGCGCGATGATCAGCGCGTTAATTAGAAAATAATTATTTCCGGCGTTCCCACCCTCTTTTAGACGGTGCCTAGCTGCCATTACAGAACATTCACATGAAACTTCTGACTTTAGGTTTGATCATTTTGAGGCTTCCCCCAGCATATGCCAGGCGAGCGCAGTCGTTGATGCCGCTTTTCTCACAAGTCGCTTGCGATCACCTACAGGCATCTCCCGAAGCACGGTCCTTTTGTAGGGCAGAAGTTCGTGAACTTGAAAGTAACTTCGCAAATCTAGAAGACAGCCCATGGCTTCTATTCGAAGATTCATTGAGGCAGGTCTTTGACTCCACCGTAGTAGCGCTGGGAGAAGATGTCCAACACTGAGCTTCAACTGAGAAAGACTTTGTCGAAGACACTGCACAAGACCTTGGCTAGATTCTGGCGGAAAAGATGGTTGTGACAAGCACCATAATATTACCGTTCCAAGCTGCAAAAAATAAGACGTAAGCATATTTTGGATCGGCGTTTTTTGAATTTTTTACTCATACAGTTAGCAAGTTAACCAAATCCTGATATTTAGGAGTGCAGTTTTAATTAATCAATGGGTCGATACGTGCTCGATTCACACTTTTTTACAGAGTGGTTATTGTTACTTTTACAATAATTGCCATGTTGCTATCAGAAGTCGATATATACAGGGAACGGCAGGGTGGAGTTACAAGGTTACGAAGATTTCACATTGAATGAGAAGTTAAAATGAGTCCGCGCACGAGAAGTGATATTAGAAAGTGCTTTATTATTCTACAACGATGATCCCACAACCCCGATTATTTACAGTTGCACGACAAACCATGAATGGTTTGTGAGTTGTGCAGAAGGTGTCCATCCATAAATATATAAACTTTCTAAAAAATACATGAACTGATTGAAATGTATTGGAGAAATTGCCTTTGGCAAAGTCAAAGGGATATAGGCGTACAGTGATAAAAATAACATTTTGGACTACAAATAGCAAATAAAACGTAAATCTACTTTTTTCGAGAGCAAAGCCGGGTTTTTTAATACGCAAGATCCATATATCAGCTACCAACCTCACTTCTTCCGGCAATATATCTCAGCAATATTTTGTGTATCGGGTAGACTGAGCTAGTCGTTCCTTAAATTATGCCCAAAATGCTATGCCATCTTGTTTTCGGGTAAAGGGTTTCCTATACGTACCCTTTCGTCGTTTATAATTACGTACGCTGTTTTGGTTCGAGATAAAACGTTCTTTCAGCATTTTGATATAGCATTAACGGTTCAACGTGATGCCATTCGAACTATCCTTGGACCATCAAGGCCAGCTTATACATCGTCTTTTCAATCAGCATAACATTTTTACCATTTCATAGTTATATAACCCCGGGTCTGTTAGCTAGTGCACAAATAAGTGAATGCGTCCATCTCGAATTAAACTGCATCTGATCATGATCGGCCTCAACCTTCTAGGCACTTTTTTAGGAATATCTATAAGACGTTACTTGTCCAGTCGATTGAGCCCAGACACTATATAGTGAATCCGCTGAGCTATCAACGTATCAAGATGTCCGTTGCATCAAAAGCTAAAAAGGTATTCCAAGCGCAAAGTTACTAAGATTTATTATGCATCGCGTGCTGTAACTTGGGGTCCACGCTCTCCTATGGTTATTACACGCTAATTGTGTTATCTGAAACTACCATGGAATTCTTGATCATCTTAGTCATTCATACCGAGCGGCCTTAAGGCTTGTATATTGGGATATATTATTTAAATCTTAAATCTTAACTGATTGTGATATTACCCACCTTTGATAAATATGGTTCTGCTATGTCTGCTGAAACGTGTTGGATAGTTGAGAGAATCGCCACCGATATATTTAACCGCTCTGCAAAATTTAAGGCAATATAATACAAATCTGATTTATTTGTTGAAGTGCAGTTAGGTCACCGTTTAAGTTCTTCTAGAAATAAGTGTAAAAGGAGTACTGTATTTTCATGATATCTTATACCGTCACTATCGTCATTGATTGTATAATAATAATATTTGAAAAAGGGATTCATTCATTTTAATTATTTACTTAAGGTGTATATGTCATTAACAGAATGCTACGACTCCAGCCAGATGTTCCTTGAATGACCTAAGCCCTAAGAGATATTCCTTAACCTCCCTTTTACCCCCGTCTACTCATCAGAAGTGCGTAATCTAATAATACTGGATGTCAAGAACCACTTATAAACCATAAAGAAAGAACCTTTAATAGGAGCGCCGATCCCGTTACGTCTCCCCCGTGCCGGCATAACTGTATAGTACTTTGGCACTTGAGTTCATAAGGGAGCCTGTAGGTATCGCAATGTCTCCTATGGGGCTAGCCTTAAGTATTTAGTCGACTGAGACAATTAAACCAAAATCACAGCAAACAGTATGACGCTTTTGCTATAGTAGATCCATCTTGTTGGCATTATCAGACGTATTCTATAGAAATCTCAATAACTGTCTTAACATGTAGATATGGATACTGAATTCAAACGGCTAGCCCAGAAGGTTCAAGACGAAGAAGGACTGATTTGCCATTTAAGCCAGCGATCACTTCATAAACCATTATTGCAAAACGACGTTCACCGAAACCATAAATATGTAGATATCTCTGTATAGGCTATGTTCATGTCTCCTATATACGGACTTATTAAAACAGCAAATTAAGATGTGTCTTAATGTATAGTGTACAGGCAATAATAAAAAAAAAAACCCATTGTTCTCCCCCATTCTGTTCGTGAAATAGAACCAAACCCACCTGCGTCATTGCCATTATGAAATAATTCGATGAGCCGAGGTACAGCAAACGTCAGCAGTCTCTGTGGATATAGCAGTCTAACGGCGCAATGTCCTTCTCTTGGAAATATCTTCGGTTCCGGACGACTTATTATGGCAAAGTTTTTTGCTCCATCAATAGACTGAGACGCATTCTTTAAAGCCATACTTAGAGCTTCCTCACAACGCCTGTGGCCACGCAGTAAAAGACCTTTGGCCAAGTATACGATTTTCAAAGTGTCTGTGCCGGACTGCTTCCTAGTGTCGTTGCATTGTGTTTTTGTGATCATAGAGGCTTCATCATCATCTGCAGTGCAACGTTCAAGTACTCCACTAATAACTGCCCATTCGGTCTCCGAGTTCTCGATATGTTTATTCGCTAATAATGCCACACATCGCCAAATAAGGTTTGTGGAGTCCTCAAATACAGACGGCGATGTATTTAAAGGCTCGGATCTATTTGGGTCACCTTCGAGGACTCTTTCTAGGTTCTCCTCGCTATGAGTTTTAATAGTAGGAGCTAGTTTCAGCAGAGTACCTACTAGCTCGGACCCGAGTTGCTCCGTTAGGCAACAACACGGGCAGTTAGAGAGAACGACACGAAGTTGAAGAAGTGGCATATTAAGGGCTGCGTTCGAACTAGCAGATAACTGGCGCTGAAGGCCCACTAAGATGGATTGAATTGCGCTGTAAATTCAAAAGAATGAAACAACAGACAGGCATATTGATCTAGAACCGTAGTGCCGTATAATCATGATTATTCTCATCGTAAAAACATATGTGGACATCCAACTTAAAAGACTCCATGCAAATATTATGCACACTTTTTTCTGATCGAAAAGTACAAAATGATGAATGAACCTTGAACCCCTTTACAGGATACTGACGAAATAAGGATTTGTAGGTTTCCTGTATAGACTGATGCACTCTTGGAAGCAATGGAGTAAAAAGGCGTACTAATACAAAGGGCTGACCTCTGACCGTAATGTGTGGATGCTTCTCGAATAGCGACGGTTAGGAGATCCTCGTATTCCTCAACATCTTTACGTGAAAGCTCTTGTATGGATAACAGTTTTTCCAGAACATTCGACGTCGTTTCCGCCGGATAACTCAACACGATTTCGCGAATAGCCGCAAAAGCTTCTGAGCCTAGTCAATACCAAAGAAAAGATCAAAGTAGAAATTGTATGTCACCAACCGTATTATTATTGCATTAAATGTGCTTTTTTCGAAAAAATATTGCAAGGTCTCCAGAAGTTAAACCGAAAAATTCTAGTTGCAGGTAGAGTTACTTGAATCTGTCTAATTTTAATATACTTACCCAACCTTATACAATCCAACTAAATGCTATATCTTTTTAATCAAATCATATCATCAATTCCATTGAAGGTGTTCGTTTTTATATTTTTTCTGCTTTCAAAAAATAAGCACAAAACCAACCAATTATTTAGTTAGTGTGTTTATTGTAATTCTCTTTTCTGGCATTAAAACTTTTTATATGGTTTATAGGAACACAGAATTACTAATAACACGTTTTGTTGAGTGCTGCAGATGCTAACGAGACCTACAGATGTTACCACTGTAAAACAAAAGTTGGCATAATGAACAGAGGACTGCCTAACCGTCCTCCAAGATAATCTCCAATGACTCTTTCATTATCAAAATCGATAAAATTGAAATTAACTCTAATAAAATATTACATAACCTTTTGAAAGCTGCCGTAGCTACATACCACCGATAGAGAAAAGCTCGAAACAAATATCCTTGGCGTTATTGCTAGGACCATCGCCCCTTTGAATCAAACTGGCCAGTAACCAAACACAACGGTATTGCTTCGCCAACAACAGAAGATCTGCGGTAAATGACTGTCCAAAGAAAGTTGAACAAGCCGCAACAAACCGCTTTAGGATCACAGATGAGACTGCTGCCGTTGGCGACGATTTCAAGGACTTCTGAACGATACAGAGTTCAATGAACCTATAACATAAGAAAACAAATTCCGTCGATAGGCACACGCTGACCTTTACGATACTTTCATAAACACAATTTAATATTACTCGTTAATAGTGGAATTCAATTAAAGGTTTCATCTGCAAGTTGAGCGTCACCGAATAGATCGATATTTGGTACAGCCGAACAAACTGATCTAGAAAGTTAATGGTCATTCTTACCTTCGGATAGCGTCTAACTGGCTTTTGTTAAGCGCATCCTCAATCGTCAACGCCACCTCAATAAGTCCAATAAGTTTAACTAGATGTTTCGAGCATGAGGGCTCAAGCAGCAGAGTGCATGCTTGTCCTACAAGCATTTCGATCGCCGGGAGAATTGTTGTCCCAAAAGAAACCTTTAATACCTTGCTTTCGTCTGCAGACTTGTGCAGACCGATGAAAACTTGGAGCATAGCGCACGATGCATCGAGCAACGATGAACTAATCTACTTACACATAACAAATCGACATTTATGCAAGAATTATGGGAAATGTAATGTGGACTTTGTTATACACGGGCAAATCTGCTAAGTTTAAAAACATCATCAAGTTTAACTAATGTATCTACTAGTTGATTGTACGAAATGAATTCTTTTAAGAACAAATGTAGGCATGAAGATGTTTGTAGAATATTTATTCTATGAGGAAAAAAATAAATCACTGCCACCCCACCACCTTTTGTAACAATAATATAAAGAGTTGCCTTCTGTAATATATCATCGAGAAAAAATTTACGATTAACAAACCTGATTTTCATCCGCAATCATACGAGTAACTTTGGCAAAGGCTTTAGGCAGAATTTTATTCAAACTTCTAGAAGACCCGCCCGCAAACGCCACCACAAAACGCCAGCCAGAACATTCCAGAAACGCTTCGCCTGTCGAATATGCGGAATAATTCGATAAATACCCTGTTGACTCGTAAAGTACAAGTCTCTCCCTAGTTCTTTGAAGGCAAAATGTATATATTATTAGGCATCCATCCAACGTCCACCGTGGAACACGCAAGCCAGAGGTTACAACTTAGATGAACCAAAAGATAACGGTTCACTAACTTGTCCAAGTACGCCTGTTTATCCATTTGCCGTCCCGCAAATTTAACTTTTCGCCTACCCCTATATAATGTACCTGTTGGGCAGGATTATGAACGTAAATTCAAGCTCATTTTTCGAAAGTCGAGAACGTCTTACAGTTTTATGACTGCCGTTTTTAGGACGCTGACGCGAATTGCGAAGTTAAATGGAAAATAGAATAGCGGCCAATTAAAGGGTGAGGAAACAAGGAGAATGATAACTAACACTACTAAAGAGATACGATTTATTTAGTTGATGCTATTGGCCCCGTTTGCTAACATATGCAGTTTTACTCACGGTCTTCGAAGTCTTTCCAAATGATGTTGGCAAATTGTTCCAGTTTGGCATCTCCATCCTCTCCATCGCCGAGTTTTTGAGCTAATACTGCCGTTAGCCTAAGAATGCCCTCTTCAAGTTGACTGTCCTCTCTACAATCTCACCGAATGCAGTATGATTATTTGAGTTATAGCCACAATATCTTGCTCAATTTTGTGTATAATAAGCAATTAAGAATGAATAACGATATACCATTAGATAATCGTACGTATGTTAAAAACTAGCGCAGCTCAAATTGTGTCACACGTTCTTCTCATTTACGAAACTCACATCCTACCTGTGAGCCACATAAAGCTTGCGTAGAAGAGGCCATATTGCCTCAAAATATTTGTAGCATACTGAGCACTCGTACTGCTCAACTGCTCGCCTCTGAAATAATTAATTTTAATTAGGCTAATTACCTCATTAAAAGTTCAGTAACGCCAGATAATGATTAGCCTTTAAAACAAATTTTTTCCCGCAGGTTATGAATTTCGTATTGATTTAATTCGTGGGCAACCGATGAGCCCGAATGTGCATGCGCCGGAATCTTCTTGCGTCATTATATTAAATTATTATCATTATCCAGATATAAGTATTTGTTACGAATGGTAGTTGTCAGCTGCAACTGTCGATTCAAGTCGCGTCCAAATCGTATCGATATTAACAAATCGTAAAGAGTTGCTACGGACTCATAAAGTGGTTTATTGTATATAAGCTAAATTGACACGACACTTACAAGAAGCTTTAGGGCGTCGATTTGAGCCTGACGGACATCGGAAGAGATTTTTTCCAGACACAACTTGATCACGTGTTGTGAAAAGGACGAATGAGCTAGAAGACACGCTTCCAACGACTCTTGGAGCTGTGTTCGCGTGACACCTCCGTGACGATCCGGTGACTGTTAAACGTTACGAAACCTAATTAGTTGGGTCAACAATTATTTATTTATTTTTTGTTCCTATTTACAACAAGTGTTGACAATTATCAGCATGTTAGATATGAACCATCATCTGTGACGGTTGCTGTCCCTATTAAACTGAGCTCAAACCAAGGTAATTTTCGCTTTCATTAGGACATTTTAGTTAACCATTAATTGACCGCGCCACTGTTATAGGAACAGTTGGTGCAGCTTACGAAGCAGTTTATAAAAATCCCCATTGCGAACGTTAATAGGGTAAACAAATAGGGTATACGAAGTGCTATATAAGCACATAGGTTTACAACTTACCCCTTGAAAATCGATCGGAAAATAGCCTGCAGGGTACTCGAACATGTCGTCCACATAAACGCCTAGAGGAATGTTTTTGACCACAGTTTGAAACATATCGAAGCAAATTAGTAAACACTGGGGATCTGTCTCTAATTCGATCAACTGCAGAAAGCCGGGCATAACGGCGCTAGACATCTGCTTGCCAACTGCATCGAGGTATCGTTGAGCGTCGTTTGAAAGCACGCGCTGCAATATGAAGGTAAAGTACACCGCAAAAACTGCACAACAGTGAACCTTGAAAATGCACAAGAAGGTTAGAATGTCCTAATTGGATCGTAAAGGTCTAAACAAACATTTAGTGGATGTGTTGAATCAAGACCGTAAAACGAGATTTACTATTATATCAGAGTAGTTACAGATCTCTCAGTATAGATCTCGATTAGCGACCTCTACGACTTCCAAAAAAGGCAAACCTGAAATATTCTGTAGAGAATCATTTTATCATCTCTCGTGAGATCAACCAAGGCCACTTCATTGAAGAATCCCTCTACGAACCGAACAGCATCCCCTGAAGAAATTTTGTATCGAACAAACTGAAATAAAAATCAAAACTAGGTTATAATAGTAAAAAAATATACACATATATAGATGTCCTGCAAAATGTTTGTGAAGTCATAATTGGAAACCTTATACTAGTAGGATACCATGGTATGTAAAGCGCGCATAGCAATCCTGGCGGTTTCAGGGTGATGTCCTTTTAGTTGTGCGACGAAGTAACCCAAAAGCAAGCTAATCTCTGCCTCGGTCAGAAGCCCCGCTGGCAGCTCTCTGTGGGTAACCGAAAGGATCAATCCAAAGGAAGACGGATGGTTAAACTTAATGATTAAAGAATGTATTCCACTACAAACATACGAAACCCTAAAAATCATAAGAAAAATGATTACTACTTGAGTAGCTTTGTAAACGTATAAGAACAGTTCTTGCCAAAAAAATAAACACATTATTATAGTTAGCAGCCTCAAAAATTACTTGAGCAGTTGCGCAAGTGTATCTAACGCTTCTGTGCGTTCCAATAGCTTTTCCGAATTCAACGCTGGTCCCATCGTTTCCACCACGTCGAGAAGACTAGTCGAGCAACCTTTAATCGCTGGAATTCATGACGTAAGACGGGCAAAATAAGATATGCTCTTAGCATAACGAGCAGATTTTTAGCACGTATTCGAAAAATTGTCTTTTTTGATAAAACGACACAAATAACATTTACATTCCGCATTCTGAAAACTATTCCGCGGAAAAACCTGCTCCAGTTTTGAGGGCCTCTTTCGTTAAGTTTTATTATTGAGATTTAGTCGAATATATCCCGATTTAGCTAGGGGTACATCAACGGTACTAATTAAACTGGAAGTTCATGTTCGTCCTTATTTTTGCGTATCGTTGTTGTCGTACCTCGGGCTAATCGAATCGCCTCGGACTTCACCTGCGGCACCCCGCTGGCGTCTCCAGCGTCGCTCACCATTACGACAACTCGTCTTCTCTTTCTTTTACCTCTGCTTTATCAAAAGTGTCAGTCAGCGCAGCAGACAGAACTGAAATGTAACATGAACATTTGTTAGTAATTCTGCCTGATAACCAGTATGCGACCACTGTCCAACTACCAGACTAAATAATCAAGCGTTCTTGCTTGGACAACTGCCTAGATAGAAAAAATCCCCCGCAAAATTGCATTGTTCAATTTGAGCGAACAAGCCCGTTTATTCTACGTTCACGTAAAACGTATAGCCGCTGACTGATCTTCATACTGATTCATTCAACTTTCCCTAAATGCATTAGTCAATTCCTGGATCGCAAACTGTAGTTAGACAAATTGCGCACTGCTTAATTATACATAGTTATCGAGCTTATTAAATACGTATTCTCACTAAAGAAAATCACAACGTTTAAACGTTCCGTATCTGGGGTGGTGAAATTTGACAAACGTGTGATTACCGACCCATTCCAGCTGGACTTCTAGCGCAGATTAACAACGACTGCAGGGCCGTTTTTCTTTCTAAATTTACGCCTGAGAGGCTTTCAACGCTGACTGAATTATAGCACCAGTGCGCAGTTCTCGCATAGAAAAATCTTCGCCCATTGTATCACTTAATCGAACCTCAACGGTTATTTGATCATCTTGACGCCTTCAAAATGTGACGTTTTCATTTAAATACAAATTGCTTATCGTCAATATCTGGCAAGTCGATCATTTTCTCGAAATGTATTGACTTTTGCGTTTCATGAGATTACCGTGCTAACTATTCTCAGGCATTTGTTGTAAACCGCAAAAACAGTTTGTTAACGAAATTAACAGGGAACCCACTTGTTATGACGTTTCTTTACATTCACTGGCTTACGATGAACAAATAGATGACAGTTCTTGCGGTACACCCTTCCTTGTGTATTTCGATACGGCGGTGTGACATAGCCACTTCCAAAACAAATAGAGATGATGAAACAGATACATTACAACACGTTTGATATCCCCATTTGTTCACACTGCTAAAATCTCTCGATAAAAACTTTAGACAATCAAATCATAAATTACGTGGTAAACGTTCCTATCACAAGTCTGCTTTTTGATGCTTAGCGCTAAACAAGAAATTCGTTTCAACATATGATGAAGACTTCACGCGATTAAAGAGATTGCCCTTGCTTACGAAACACGGAACGCTCTCTGAAACGTGTTTGGGTTGCTGGTGAAGTAGTCTGCTAGAAGGCTCATTTTTTGGACGGAAGGTTGATCCGAGTTCACCGGTAACCGAGCAACTGACTACAGAGTAACTAACGCAGCACAACGTGAAAGTTAAATTGTCGTTTCCATAGTTAGATTCACAGTTGGCACCGGCTCATTGAAAGTTATTAGTTCACGGATGGCTGAAACGGTAGCGAGGCGCATATTGTACGGCAATTTTGCGTGAGTCGCGTGGTCGAGTTTGGGTGACCGTATAAAATACTTCTACTGAAAAATTTCTGCTACACGAAATTTTCTCTACAGCACGGAGGACATAAGAAGAAGTCAGAAGGCCACACATGAAGGTTGTACGGCCACGGAGAGGTGGCGCGCGCTTTTCGGTTTCGGTAGTAGTGTCCTGACAGATTTTAGAACGGACGTTATGGGGCAACTTAGGCATTCAACGGTCAACCAAGGAAACAGAACGATTTTGCGAATGATGTTTTCTAGTTGCATAAACTGATTCACTTTGGCTCATTTTTATTTTTCCTACAGTGTCCTCGCATACTATACTTTTTTCATTAGGAAGCACATCTGTGCTAAGCTGAACACAGAATTCATAAAAAAAATCTGTTATTCCTCACAAAAGACGCCGTATGTGTAATACGACGGGGTGCGAATGGATTCTGCTGAAAGATTTTTGCTCTTTGGCTGGCCCTCGATCTAGTTGAGTGCTTGGTAACTTGTACCTACTATAGAGTCGGGCACTGTTTGGAATCAAGCCTTTCAGCCAGAGACATAGGCCCCTTAATCATCGTCTCTGCAAACCTCAGTGGCCCTGGAGCGCATCACTTCCAAAGGGATCAGTTATTCCAAACAGAGACTTATCTCTGAATGAGTCGCGCGTTCATAATATCCAAAGAGCGTCCTTATGTATATTTTTCATAATGAAAATAGAAAGACCGGTAAGTGTGCTTTGCACTTAACAAAGACGATGGTGCGTGCACATTGATTTCTACTATTCAGTTTTCAGCGAAAACTTAAGCCTAAACTTATTTTTCTTCCGTCGTCGATTTTAGCTTGCAAAGTTTTTTTCCTTCAATAATCTATACAATAAATCGATCTGGTACGTTTTCTTTAATTTGAAATAATATTAATGAATACGAACTAACTTGACACACCATGTGTCAACTCTAACAATGATCTTCTAAGCAGACTACCTCAGCATTACATAATATAGAATGTAATCTTTCCGGTCTTTTGATCACTGGTGGCCAATGCAGATTTCGTCGTCAAAAATCTGGCAGTGCCAATCGTCAAAGGCTTCGGTTGCTAGAGTCAGACTTACAATGCGACACTGTAACAATGGAAGATACGATGTTTTGTTGTGGCTCGATAGCGCGCAGAGCTCAAAATGTTTTGTTTCGGTTGATTACTGGTTGTCGTCTGCTTCGTCGGCTGTCGGCTACTCTATGGCCCTCCCCAAACATGCCGGAGCTGACACAGGCCAGCCAGCTTTTTAGCCCACCCACTCTTTCGCACAGTTTGCGCCCGATTCTCCTCCTCCACCTGCCCCCGAGAAGCGTCTCCGGGTCGGCCGGCGCTGTAGTTAGTGCTGGGCACAATGGCCATATACAAAAGGAGTCACCCGTTTGCACGAACCGTTCGACAACTTCATCAGGACAACCCATTGAGAGGCGGGAGTGGCAATAGGTAATTCCTGTGTCATTGTAGGGTAATCAGATACGCTAATATTGTCGATCGCTTTTCGAACAACGTTAATCAGGTTCCATTGTTTATTGACATTGGAGATTTTCTATTATTGAAATTTGTGTACAAATATCCAGTGCTGTGTGGAAACCACTATTGTATACCGACCATAATTGCCAGTAGTCAAATATTACAATGTAGATCATTGTAGTTAGCACTTACCAGAAGCCATGTGTCGGGGTCACCATAAACAAGTTTAGTTAGAAAATTACTGAAATTATTATTAATAATTTTAAAAATTTCATTTGACTCGGAAACATTAATGGAATCTAAAAGGCTAGCGGCGATATTCTCTAGCGTTAGCTATCTCGAAATTCGCAATTCCGAGAATATTTTAAATCTGCAGCTTCAAGCCGAAACATTAGTTTAATTTTTCCGGCGATACATAACGCGTATTTAATCCGAAAAATCACATGAACCCTTTTGGGTTATCTATTTTGGGTATATCGGACTGAGCAGGATGCCGTAGGGCATATAAAGTCATTGATCGACTGGCCCTATTAGGGAGACAGTAGCATTAACGAACACCAACCGTAGAGGCGTGGTGAGGGAGCACTATCAACTGACGGGGCGGGCAACAGCAAGTGCGTGGCCGACTTAAGGCCATATGGAGTATTAGAGGCACTGACAACAGATCTTGAGAATAGCTATAGTTAAAAACTATCATTCAACATCATAGGCAACAAACCAACCAGGAAATATTTTTTTTCTAGTAATGTAATTAACTTTCATTAACGGGCTATCTTATAACGATTTTGAGACATAAATAATGCTCAACGCTAATTGCGACTGCCCTAAACGGTCCATGGGTCTAATGCTAATGTACAAGGACGAATTTAAAAACCGTTTAGATTTTTTAGTCAGCCAACAATCACAAGATACGATGACGTTACCGCATATTGCAATACTAAGGTAATTCGTAAATCTTTAAAAATTCCAAAAACTACTCTGGCTAAATTATTCTCTCACTGGAATTTGGCCGCCTTAATAATGTAACAAAAACAAACATTCACGTGCACGTTGAATCCAACCACTAAAAGGTTCATGTATTTATTTCAGTGATCAATCTTTTGCATAGGTGCGTACTCGCCGATAGAAATTAGTCTTACCATAACACTAGTCCATTCAAAAAGGGATTTCTCAAAACTGCAAGCGAAGGAACCCTGTAGACATGAGAGATTATGGCTACCGCCATCTTGAATGCGTATCATTTGAACCACAATAAATAGCTTCTGCCCATAAATAAAGGACAAACAGATGACGACTGTGCTGACTCATCGTTCGAGCACAAATCTGATTGGCTTGCATGCGGACCTGAGATGGCCAAGGTAAGCTATTAGCTTTCTCACGACTGACCTACGAACAGCCTCAGTATTTCGAGGACCAAATCGCGACAATTTAAATGAAATAAATAATATAAAGGTCCACGTTGGTCACAACCTATCTAATCCTCAGTGTCTACTCCCTATATATGAATATCAGGCTCCACTTGCCTCCTTCTTACATAACTTAGTAACGACCATAACGGGAGTATCTTCTGCAAAGCCTTATTTCAGATCGCATGACATGGCTTACAAATCTCGCAACTGAAACATATTGAAGGATGGGAAGGCGTTTAGGTTTTAGCGGATTATACAGGTTACCCGAATAGCAACACCTCACAAGCATTCGTTTTCTTTATCTACTAAAATAATTAATTACAGCTTCTACTCTACACTATTATTTCTTATGAATTATTTGAGATTTTGAATCAAGCTAAAAATACCGGCTAACTTATCTCGAGGTCTAAACAACGTTATGAGCAAAACTAACACGTATTAGTAATTATACGCTTCTCAAGAGACAAACTTTCGTAATCTCCAATACAGGTTCTTTTTTTAAATACCTGTTTAGTTTCTACGTGGCAAACTTTCACCCTGATGCTATCCGGTGCTATATCTAATATAACAGTGCGCAGAGCAAACACAGCCTGATTTTGATATCATAGACAAGTAAAATATACGTAGCGAGTGGTCGACCAGTCATATGGTTCTACGGTAGTATTCGAAAAGGGGTTGTAACTCGCTACAGAGACACTATTTAAAATGTTCGAAGAAAAGACAAACCTCTTTTTTGCTTTTCTGGAACACAGCAACGATGTCTCTAATGGGGAGTTGGAATCTTTTAAAAATTTGACGACTTCACAAAGCTACACATTTCTGTCAACACTTTATGTAGCGTTTTTATGGCGAGTAGTGTGACTTTTCAAACATTACCCGCATCAAAATAGTTTGATTCCTAGATTTTATATCATTAGACTGTTACAGGCGAATCCGGAGGATTTTCTAATGAAATAACTTTTGAACTACGCGCGGCTAGCAGACACAAATACTTCAGTTTTTTTTGTATAGACTTGAAAAAGGGTTAAGTTTACTCTAGAAGAAATCAGTTCAGATGGAAAAATTATTTTAAAACCAACACTCAGTGCTCAAGTTTTTGTCTTTCAAAGGCCACAGCGCTGCGGAAATTTATCGAAGGCAAATGAAAACTTTAGGTAAGGAGGTTTTGAACGAAAGTACAGTACGTCAATGGTGCCGACGTTTCATAAATAGAAACTGAAATGTTGAGGATAAGCGGAAAGACGACCAGATATCAGGATTCGTTGAACAAGAACACAAATCAATCAGAAATCAAGGGGGCGGAGAAAGAAAGCGGAGTTTCAGGTTCAAAGACTGTGTTGCGTTAAAACTTGCATTTCTCGTATAGTGTGTTACGGAATCTTGAGCCACACATTGAAAATGCGGAAACTGAATAAAAAATGGGTCCCTCGTAAATTGATGCGAATGGCTGGAAATAGCCATGGACGCGGCATGATTAGATTTCTACCGCCCACTGGCGTCGTCCTGGGGGTAGATCGAGGTTGGTGGCAGTCTCGAATAGGTTTAGACGTGAGGTCATTGTAGTACTCGTGATAGACATCAGGGGCATCTACTACTATGATACTCGCCAAGATGAGATAATGAATACATTAAGGTATCTCAATTTTCTCGGTAGATTCACGGATTGTTGGCCATGCCTCAATTACCTTCCTGATTTTGGCAACGGAATTTTCAACACTGACTTCAGCTCGCTTATTACTCCCATTTTGGCTCGTGTGATCGTAAAGTTTTCCACGCTTTAAGAAGGGCAACTGGTGGGCAAGTATATTTCAAGATAGATTTACTAAGAAATATTATATGAAAACGCAAGAGGTGGGTGTATGCCTATCAAAAGATTCCAGGACGCTGGGACTAGAGGCGCGCAAAAAGGAAAGGGGACCACCTCAAACACACGCTAGTAAATTATTATTCTGTCATAAGTAATTAAATTTCAAAGTCTGTTAGGTTTACTTGCAACAGCCTAATATTTTACGAAGCCCATTATCATTTTTTACTTCATTAATTTCGTCATTCATATAGTATACGTGGGTAACTCGGCGTGAATGAGCAAGTTTTTTTCGTTAGGCGAAAGATTTATCATCTCAGGCCAGTATTATGTATGCCAAAAATTTCTTTACAACTTTAGCACGCACATTTATTCCCGTGATAGCGCAAGGGCTAACGTGTTTCCCTACCAAACTACGCAATACGTGAGGCGGTTTCAAACTGAATCCGGGCTTAAGCACACTTCTGTTCTTGCCAGCACGAGCCAGCCGTCTGCCTAACAGCTTAACTGTTGGGCGTAGAAACGAAAAACGTGATACACACGGTGTCTGTTCGATAAAAAAATTCGTGCTCACTATCAACGATATGATTGAAGACAGATGTCCAGAGGTGCAGCTAATAGCTGCGGTAGCTCATCGATTAGGAGAAGACGTTTGCCAGGTTTAAAAAATTTGCAATACTTTTTTAGGGCAAACGCTGTGGCTCGCGCTTCTTTAACCAAAGTGTCTTATTTGCTACTTGAAAGATTTCAATTAATTCTAAAATTCATTAATAATAGAATCAATTTTTGTCAATGTGCTGCAGAACGACATTGTCCAAATCCGTATATGCAACCTTCTAATTTCTAAGTACAGTATATCGATTCTTTGCACAAGTCCAGAGTATTAATGGTTTGTAACTGCATACTTATTAATACGGGAAAGAAGATTTACGTATTGGCTAGATATCATGATAAGAGAAGAGCAATAAAGAAGGAAAAATAACAACTGTATTTCAGGTTCGCCTTTCCTCCTTATACAAATTCGCATCGTGCATGACGACGACGCCATTGTTATCAATACTAACTTAAAAGTACAATTTGACTGAAGGATATTAAAGTTGAACTTCACAAGGTGGCATGGAAAATTTCGCAATGTGTTTTCTACGCTCGTTATTAAAATTTCGATTAGCGTTCCTGTTGTTCATTTAGTATCTCTTTAGACTCCTAAGTAATCAAACAAGATGTTATCCTCAGAGGTTCAATTACTATCTTGCCGTTCCCTAAATGTATTTGTATTCAGGGTACCTATAATGTCTTCGATGGGCTTTATATGATACCTGAAGATCATGTCAAATATCTGCAAAAAAGTCAGGTAACATCAGACGATTTTTTTTGTTGAATGCCTCGTGAATCTTACAGGTGTATCATGTCATTTGAGATAAAATAAAAGAAAGCAACAGCAGTAAAGCATTATTTCGGACGACTGGGTCTTTCCAGTGAGAAAGGCAAAAAACCCACGGTTGGTTTCGAAGCTACTACTCAATTGACTTAAATGATTTTACGTCCTGCCGGCACTACCGTTCGACATTCCGTCGGATTCGAACCTGTTACAGTCGTTCCGTAGCGTACAATCACATTAAGCTGGCGTCCGGTTGCGCGCACACACAGGCGTAGCCTGTGAATGTAGCCCGGCCCCTGGGGATGTACCGCGCCGGCCCTGCCTTCAGAGGCACCGCCACGGCCGCCGCCGCCGCCATCAGTACTTCTACTGCAACTACTCCTTCTACCCCCGCGGCACAAGCAGCGCTGCTATTGCCAACAGCAGCACACACTCGATCGAGCCCGCCCGACAGCGAGAGGGAGAGGTCACGCAGCGGCGCCATAGCGGCAGCGACAACAACAATATGACACCATAAATTTTAAATATATACTAAAACTATTTCTCGCTCGCTTCTTCACTACCTCGTTTATTTCCTAACTCCCAGTAGGTATCATCAGCATCGTGGCTACCGTGGAAGTCGCCAGATGATCAATTTCCCTATACCGTTACTAAGTTATCGGTTGGGCCAAACATTTCAGGCGTTTGATTACTTCATATAGATCCTCGTTAGCTTCCTTCCTTTACCGGCTGCCTCGTACACCTAACTTGCCAACTGGGTCAAACGCTTATTGATGATGATGATGGTGGCAACTTTTCGATAGTGTCTTCTTAGCACGCTTTACCCGGCTTCTAGGCGCGATGGCAACGGCGGCGGCGACAGCGGCACTGTTTTGCTTCGTTCGATGGCGGCAGAGGCGAGGCAAGCAAGCAGGGCGAGGCTGCTGCTGCCGCTGTCGACCGGTCGACTAATCGACCCACCCTGCTGCTACGGACACTAACTCACTCAGTGCCTCTCGCAGTCCCTCCCCTTGAGCGGCAGGCGGCACAGCGACCCCTTACAACTCAACCGAACGCGAAGGCAGGACGAGACGACGACGACTGGCAGACAGAGGCAGCCAAGGAGGAAGGCTCCGCTCAGGGAATAAAATAGCCCAGACCACCAACGCGAAATGCGTACATCCATTCAAGATGATTCCAGTTGGACAAGTCGATCAAAACCCTTTGCCAGCATAGTCCATTGGCATGGATGCATTTTTGTTTGTGTATGTCGCAGTACATAAATCGAACCTGTTTGAACCTTAGTTTCTACTTTGCTACCTACATGTTGCAGATAACAACATGGAGCAAAAATTTTTTCAGCTCCGTCCGAGACTTGATGTCAGTTTGCTAACTTTATCTGTCACAGGCTTTAGTTTATACACGTCGAAATCTTACAACTTCATTTATCAAATAGCACAAGGTTAGTTGATTAGTTCCGCTCAATTTCGAAGCGAACTTGAAGGTTTAACGAAGAGAAAAAGGTCGTTTATTGTGAAACTTTTTTACCCAGATAGTGGTAATATGATCTGCAAATTTAACGAGAACTACTTATTCATAGATTTTAAGAAGCATACTGGTTTCATGACGGCCAGCCAAAAACGGCGAGAGATTCGAGCATCCGCCCCCATTTTAAATGTGCCAAAGTTCGTTGCGAGCGCATGAACCCCAGGAGCGAGTATTAACGTTTAGGGATGGCCCGGTCTCATTCGGTCCTGCCCAGAAGAGCCGGTCCACTCCTTCCTCCTGAGCTGGGCTGGGCTGTTGAGCTGCTGCTGGGCTGCTGCGCTGCTCACTCACTCACTTGCTCAACCGACCAAGCAGACGAGTGAGCGGGGCAGGCCGAGCCAGCCCATTGGAGGCGGTGGTGTTTGGCGCGGGGGAGGCGGAGAGGCGCCGAATCGTGTGCTGCTGTAGGACGACGACGCGGAATAGCCAGTCACGCAGCCAGCCAGCCCCCCTGGAGCTGCCGCTGGAATAACAGCAGCAGCAGCAACACCGTTATCAGCGCACGGAATACTACGCACTATCCGTCACGATACCGTGAGCTTCGTCAAGAGCAGTCCAACCCAACCCAACGCAGTAGTCGATATAGTGAGTGAACGAGACGAACGAACTCTCAGGCGGTGGCGGGCATCGCACGGTGGTGCGCACAGTAAGGTGACTTGATCCTCGGATGGACCGGCCATCGTGGCTCGAGAGGCCGGCCGGAGCATGGAGTAAAGCCTGCCTGATTGCCTGCCTTCCTCCGATGGACCTGCCCGCCGCTTACGAAAAGACCCATCGGCTTTACAAAGCGACTCCAGCCACCAACGACGATTTGAGTAGAGCCGACAGGACCGGACCAAAGAAGAGAGGGAACGCAAAACGGGAACAAACGAGGAATGAACGACGAGCAAAGATGAAAGGAGGAGCAGCCAAAAGCCGAGGCAAACTGTTATAGCGCCAATAGCGGCGATCATCTCTATTGCGCTGCCTGGCCGGCCGCGGTATGTCCTTCGTTGTCTGTGTGTGGGTGCAGCTGTATCGTTGCTGCCTGGCTCATACGAGTCCTTAGTTGTGCTAGCAGCCAGGATGTTTTGAGGCCAACCCCTCCCCGCCGGCTACGCCTCCCTATCAACAGCGTGTTATCACTCCGCCACGACGATGAGCAGACGACGCTCGTCCATAGTAGACAAATACGCACCAACTTCAACTCCTATTCGCGAAACGCAAAGTTGATGTTTCACTAGTATAATTATCGCCTCGCTGGAAGTTTGTCGCACGCCAAGAAGTGCTTGTCCTCATTCCGTATCGTTTTCTCCAGAGACTGTTTAAACACGGGGACTTGGTGACAGCTCGGCGGACCGATGCCAGCTCACTGGGGCGGTAGCGATCGGCGGAGAGGCAGGCTTTGACGAGGGAGGGTGGGAGACCAGGAGGCCGCTTCAGGCGGCCCAACACAGCCAACGCCACTCACTGCTGCGCACACAACCATTGTGGGGTGAAGGCGGCGGCGGCGACGGCAGCAGCAGCGGCGCATCATCGCCAGCACTAGCATACCCGAATATTACATAGCCCCCAGTCAGGCTAACGGCGTAGCATACTCATAGTTTGCTGCCGTGGCAGCAACAGCAGCAGCAGCTGCATAGCGGACAGACAGGCAGAGAGTCGGACACACGGACGGACCGACGAAGGGACAGGCCGCCAGTGACTGCCAGCGCCTCGCCCGCTGCAAGCCACACAAGCCAAGCACGACCCAGCCCAATAGCGGGCGGGCTACTGGTACCATCACAACTACAGCAGCAGCAGGACGGCGGCTGCAGCAGCAGCAGCTGAAGGGGACGGACAACTTCGGAAGAGGGAGTGCTCGTTCACTCGTGCCAGAGTCTACGATTCGTGTGCTGATTCGTGTGTTGCGAATTCGGTGTTCCATCCTATAGCTATTACTACCACCGCGACTAGGACGGCGATAACAACAACGCCAGCGCAAAAGACTTTCCACTTATGAATTTCTTAACGTATTTTGCCAGTTGACCGAAGTGGCTGGTAAACTATTGTAAATGTGCCGACCCCACTTGGCTACCCGTTGTCGACGTCGTCCCTCGTTGGAACTGGAAAGTCTGTCTGTTTGTTTATTTGCGTGTGTGTGTGTGCACTGCTGGAGCTAGTTTGTCTGATGGCACTCACTCGGCCGAACTCAGCTCGTGCTAACTATTTACCCTTTATGTGTGAACAACATCTTCGTGCTACTGTCGCAAGTTCGTACCGCCTGTAGCCGGCAGAGCGGAGAGCGAAATACGTATGGTAGCACGCAAATGCCAACATTTGCAAGAATACCGTAATAACAATAAAACAAATTATAAAACATGAATGAAGATCAAGCGCAGGCTACAGCGCAAGCTGTTCAGACGGCAGCTGGTCATCAGCAGACTGTAGCTGATGTTCAAAATGCCCAGTTGCAGGCACTAATTCAAAACGCGGCTGCCAACGGAGCTCAGATCGTCAATAGTCAAGGTTTGTTCTATTTCCCCATTTATTTCCTATTCTATTCAGGTCTATGTAGTGTATACCTTCCCCGATGACACCTATGTTGCTTTGATATCACAATAGTGTTATGTGTCTTGGTTTAAGTTGACTCATCGTAGATTGCTTCGACCCAGTCAGCTAGCCATCGTCAGTGTTCAAAAACGGAAATAGATAGTCGGACGACAATGATCGCAGAGTGATGGCACCTGAGAATAGGCAAGTACTTCGCCAACGGGAACTAGAATCGTAGCTTGTTGCGGTGGGTGAACTTAATGCTACGTGTAAACAGTGAGGAGTTGGATGGCCTCTTTCGCTGGCAGGCGCACGTCTTCGCTGCGTTTATTGCCACTACAACGACAATGTTGGCTCGTCACCAACACTGCATTGTGTTGGTGTCCCCCGCTGCAGCTGTTGTTTTAGTTTTGGGGGGGGTGTTCGAGTGCTGCTGTTGCGGGGCTGCGTGCATTTACCCGTCAATCAGCCGTCTGCTGACAGTCGCTCATTGCGGCTACTGGAGCTGGCGATGGTGGGTTATTCTCACTTGGCGACTCAGCCGGTACGATAGGTACAGTGTGGCTACCGTTGCCAGTCGAGCACAAAACGCCAGTCGTAGTCTGTGCTAATGGTGTCGGCTGCTGCTTGTGTAGCAGCGACAGCTACGGTGGTGATGGTGATTGTTGCTGTTATGGTCGTTACCGAGGGTGGAGCCTTGGGCGGCCCAGGGGGCGGGGGTGCAGCTTTCACACAACCCACTGACTGACTGACTGAGTGGCCAAGTGGGAGTAGTGTTAGATAGAAGAACAACAGCCACTACGACCACCGCCGCCGCCGCCGCCGTTGTCGTCGTCGTCGTCGTCGTCGCCGCGGCCAGCACTTTAACGGCACATTTCTGTCACCGTAACGGGCAGGGCACATATCACCGCCGACCGCGGGCGAACTCTCCTTCAGCTCATTCGTCGCATTATCGCCCCCTAGCGCTCAATTCGATTATCTACTCGTTATATGCACATACTGATATAAAGACACAGAACTTAGTTGTCCATAGCTAGGCCTAGATTAGTGCAACCCCGTTGCTTTTTCACTGTAATCACTGCCCTATAAAAACGGAGCGATGCATCAACCGGACGACTCTTTGCGGCCAGTTTAGCTGGCACAGAAGAACGCTAAACTGGAAATAAGTAGCACTCTGGAGGACCATACGGAAGCCGTTTCACTTCATTTCTCTGTAACCCATAACAATGATAATGGCAACTGCAGTATTAAAGCAGAATAATAAGCATATATTTCATATACCACCAATTAAGAATACAATAATTATAAAATAATCACAGGTCATTTCTGTGTAACAGTACTAAAGCAAACCTTACTCTAACTGTATAGCTGATATTAACCCCTCTTGTGAAATGGTGAAGGAGCTGTTATTTAAATTTAGCTGACCTTATGCTTATGTAAAGCCAATAATAAGACGTAATTACGTTGTTGAAAAACTGAGCCCATAGCCAAAGTTTCGAATGACATAGAATTAAACACTGTAGAATCACGTAATGCTTCTCGTAACTTCGTTTGATGTTTGTCTTGTGTGGATTATTTTCATTGTTTTGTTGTGAAGGCCTAACATACAATGTGCTTGGAGCGGGTGCCGCTGGAGTCGGTGCTCAAATCCAGAATATACAGATCGATGGGCAGGAAGCAATCTTCATCCCGGCAGCACTTACCGGCGGCGCCACCCATCAGGTCGCTCAGGCCGCCGGACAAATCGTTCGACCCGCAGGCGGCAGTCCACAGACGGCCACAGCCACAGCCTATCAAAATGTCACCATCCGAAACGGTACGTATGTATTCCAGTATTTGGCTCATCGCGACGACCTTGGCGATCAAATTCTATTGCCTTTTGATGTCACCCATATATGGAGCATTATTATTATTTTGTCGGCCATGATTTGTGAGTCGGGTCAATAAATAACCAACGTCACAGGTTGGTCATTGTTGGGCCCATAGGAAATGGTCGCCCTGGAAACGAGAAACTTGATTTCTAACTTTTGCAACAAAACCGTCAACGTTGACTGTTCCAGAAGGTAAGCATGGTGCGGAAACATGATTTCTAGTTGCTTTGCTCACCAATCATTGTGATTACCAACTAAGCCAATTATGATGACTTCAGTTACTATAGCTAATTACTACTTGGTCTTTTGTCAATGGAAATGTTTGAATATTGAATGATTCTGAAATATACCGAAGGCTTAATTTTATAATGCGTCCATCCATAAGGCACGCTATTTAGTCAGTCAGTCAGTATACTTATTTACGTCTCCGCCTTTCTTTTCACTGTGCACTTAGGTAATACGATTCAGACAATCCAAGTGCCGGTTGCCGCTCCGGCCGTTCAACAGACAACGGTCGTCCCGATGCAGGTTCCGGTGCCGACAGCGAGCGGTCAGACTCTTTATCAGACAATACACGTACCGATACAGAGCATCGGTGGCGTTGGTGGACTCGGGCTGGGCAGTGTGGCGACAGGGGTTGGAATGGGCGGGGTTGCTCAGGTAGCTGGAATGCTTGCTCACGCTGGACAACCAGTCGCGTTGCAGCAGCTTGCGGGCTTGACAGCTGCAGCACCCCAGGCGCAGATCGCCCAGATTCAGGTCCAACAGCAACAGTCCAGCCCAACGACACCAAGTTCAGTTGGAGCGACAGTGAGCACGGCGAACGGCAGCACGGCGGCGGCGGCGGCAGCTGCGAGTCAGACACAGGCAGTACAGACCGTAGCGAGCGTAGCGGGCGTTCAACCTGTTACACAGGTACAGCAGGTCGCCAATGTTCAATCGATGCAGCAATGGGCTGCAGATGCAGCAACAGCGGCCGCTTTGGCTCAGGCTCAGGCTCAGGCTCAAGCTGCGCAGGTGGCAGTTCATCAACAGCATCCGACGGTTGCTCTTCAATTGCCAAATGGTCAGATCGTCCAGGGTCAGCAGGTCAACTTGGCCGGCGGTGCAACAATGGTCTACCCCGGTGGTGGCGGAATGAATATGGCCGCTGCTGCTCAATTGGCAGCTGCGGGACTCCGGTCGCCAGGTGTAATCCAGCTGGCGAATCTGAACGGGGTCCCTGTACAGATTCAAGGCGGTGCGAGCCAACAACAACTTCAGCAACTTTTACAGGGAAATGCTGCATTACAAGCTCTAGGCTTACAAACAGCTGGGCCTCTATCACCATTGCAGACGATTCAGATAGCTGGCACCACGGCAGGTGGTCAACAGACGATCGTTGCACAACAATTACAACAAGACCCTAACGATCCGACGCGGTGGCAAGTTGTCCACGTTCCGCAAACGGTTACACAAGCTCAAGCCACAGCGGCCACACATGTTGCTGTATCGCAGGCAGCCACTGCAACGGTGACACCGACGACCGTCACTGTTCAAGCGACGCCCCAACAGCTGCAAGCGGCTGCGGCAACAGTCGCAGCAAACGCAGCAGCTGTCAACGGTGGAGACGCAGCTGCCGCTGCCGCTGGAACGGAAACTGGTCCACAACAGATCGTTCTCGTAGCGACCGGAAGTGGTGAAGTTGTGACAGCTTCGGCTGCCGCCACGCCGACTGTAGCCACAGCTGGCAACGGCACAACTCCTGCGGCAGCGACAATTGCTCCTGTTACATCTGCGACGGGAACTCCGTTGGCGACAGGTGAGAGGCGGTTGCGCCGCGTCGCGTGCACCTGCCCCAACTGTCGAGACGGAGACGGGCACAGGACAATTCGGCCTAACGGCGAAGGACCCGGTCGGAGACAGCACATCTGTCACATCGCAGGCTGCCATAAAGTTTATGGCAAGACGTCACACTTGAGAGCCCATCTCAGGTAAACTGAAAAAAATTTCAATATCGACTAGGCGAGGTTTTGAGAAAAGCATTTGCTGAATTAGCTCAGTTATTTGTCTCGTTATTTTCTCGAATCGTTGTAAGTGAAAGGGGTGAAACGTACTCTCCATCGAAGTAGTGTTTCTTACATTGTGTTTACACAGGTGATTACACTAAGTAATCATATCTACTTTAGTGCTCATCGAAGGCCAGAGAATATACATACCGGGGCGAATAACAGATGTCCGTTGGTAATAGGTTGGAATTTCTTTAGTGCAGGTTAGTTTACTGCTTATTTGATTTAGTAATAAAAAAAAAAGTTATTGTTTCCTTGTTTGACAGGTGGCACGCAGGCGAGCGACCATTTGTATGCGACTGGCTGTTTTGTGGAAAGGGTTTTACGCGCTCTGACGAGCTGCAACGACATAAAAGGACCCATACAGGCGAAAAGCGTTTCCAATGTGCTGAATGTCGCAAGGGTTTCATGCGATCAGATCATCTCAGCAAACATCTCAAGACCCACCTTGCGAGCAGAAATGGCCTTACGTTTGAGGGAGGAGATTCTGACATGGAAACCATTGATCATATGGACGCCAACGGAAACGGCGTTGTCGAGGCGAATGGTTTGTTTACCATTATCTATGAAAAAGTATATTGTATATATTGAAAGCGAGTATTTTTGAATGCGAAATATTCAGGGCAATTAAAACTAAGAAGCTTAAGAAGTTAGAAAGCTGTAACGTTAGCTATTGTCATCCAGAATCCTATAGGTACCAATTCTGGTCTTCCGAACGGTATAATGATGCACACACTTTGTTTTAATGGTGTTCTTATGGTATTGGAGGCTTAGAAATAATCCTTTCATTATGTGTTTCGTTTCTGCGTTTGCTTTAGGCGCAGGAAGTGCGGGCGCCGCCGGCGGACATACGTCAATTGTAACGCTCAACGCCGACGGAACCACGGAAACAACGACGGTTCCTGTAGGTCAAGCGGTCCAAGTTGCTGGAAGTGTCACAATCTCTGGAGCGATGGGGGTCACTGCGCATGATGTAGGTACAGCTGGACCAACGGCGACGATTATGCACGTAGTGAAGCACGAGGACGGCCAGCCACTGCAGATCAGCGACGGGACCCGTATACATGATGTTGTTCAGATTCGCGCGGAGGACGGGACCACGCAGCTGCAGATTGTGCAGACGACCGCGGCTTAAATCAACGTAATCAACTATTAAATATGTATATATAGACAGCAAACATCATGAACCATTTTTTGATCACCAATTGTTCTCTCACCGAAAAACTATAACAGGTCATCTCTGATATTACACACTGTAGATATTCACATATCGATGTTGAAAGGGAACATCTCGAACTTTCAACTTGAACGCGTTAATACGCTAACGGGCATATGCTTCATCTTGGACACGAGGAGAATAATTATGCATCGGTCTGTTCAGTCTTTGGTATGCATGGATCAATCTCCTGGAAGAAGCGTTACGATGATTCAACGGAACCACCCGTCACATGAGAATCCTGAGAGACCTGGCTCAGTCCACATAGAGGAAATGGCAATCTGTAAAGATAGATGAAACCTCAACACCTGAAATGCCTATAGTATGTACCAGCTTTGGACCGAAAGTGCAGTCCTACCGCGCTCAGAACGGTAGCCACTTTAGCTGAGTATCAATTAATTTATTATCATTATGGAACGTTTTCTGTATGTACGTAAATCTTGTATTACCTAAAAGATATATTAAGCCCGAACACTGCCACGTGTATGATTCAGTAGAAGTGTATGTAAATGACTATCGATAGGCCTAGGCCGAGATGTCATGGTACAAAGTTTGGGTTGGAATTTTTCGAATCTGCTGTCCTAAGTTTTCCCTTTCGACGATGTTGTTGTTTATCTAGCTGTTGTATAATAGGGACGACAATGTTACGCGCTGATTAATCAATGTACTGGGTACAGAATTCTCTGCCTATTTCATGTAAAGATGGTACACGGTATCCGTAACACAATGAGGTCAGTAATGGGCCAGACAGTAGAGACTTTTAACGTTTGAGTGGGCCAAGGGACCCTGAAACTTTTGTGTTAACAATTTTTCTAACCGCGACGTGTATTCTCAAATGTATATACGTAGTCTCCTTTCTGCTTCGTTGTCACTTTTAAGGATAACTAGGCCCAGGCTTTCGCTAGCGAGGAACACACCATCGCTTTAGCATATTAATTCGACATGCCTCTATATCGATACTGACTTCGTTGGGAAAGTACATTCATTGTGTAAAAACTTTTCTAGGACTAGGGAAAAGATGGAAAAATTACTACAACCGAATCCTTTCGATTGTGAAATAAACTCATGAATTATTTATAGATAAGATAAGCACAACGTATCGTTCAGACAGTATCGAACGACAAAAGCGGCTGTTTCTTAGGGTACGAAAGGCACCAGATAGTCGGCTAGCATTAGCTCGAGTGATAGATAGTTTTTTGGCAACTACTCGATGCAGCCTTTACGAATTCGTAGCATTTTATTCGAGGAAATCTGGAATAATCAACTCAACGTACACTTAGCCCCTGTAGTGACAGTGTGTGTCTTCTCTAAACAGCCATTGTCGTTGTAGGAAGAATCAGGAAAAAAGTAGGCTTACAAAATGAATGGATTTGGATTTTTCCAAGGTTTACTGTAACGGCATTTAATAATCACAGATTTCTGAAAAAGTGGAAACGTTTTGAGGACGCGAAGCGATAGCTATCTTTATGGGTGCAAACTTGCGTGTTCAGCTTTCTGTTTGTTGTTATGCGATCAATGTTGAAGCATGACAAGCGAAGGATACAAATGAAAGAATTAGACAGGTAAGATAGCGGATTTATTATTATAGATTTTTTCCGACGGACAGTCGCAGCTTTCGAAACAAAATTAGGTAAACAAGCGCTACATTTAACAAAGTAATTATTAATTTAAAACGGATGCGAAGAGAGTGTATAACAGGCAATTTGAAGCCCTTAGTCCGATGAAGACATAGTCGCTGGCCATACGTCGGACAGAGCCTGGTTATGTTATATCTCATAACTATTTAGCCTTTCATTTTTATGATTATCTAAATGCGGTTATTACCGCTATTGTTATTCATCTATATTTATATACTATATATATATATATATATATATATATCTATATAGTATGCAAAAAAGAACATACGATGTAATAAGTTGAATGTTGTAAATTGTATAGTGTAAGATGTATAGGAGACGTATGATGACTGAATGTGTCTCTGAATTGTACATGACTATGACGTTTGTTACCTATAATGCTACATAAAATATAATAAGGTTATTATTTATTCTGAGCGGAAAGTCTGCGATAAATGAAGAGTGTGACTTTCGATACAAATGAAGCTAGAACAAGCAATCGGTAGTGGTTGTTTTTGTTAAATACACATACATATAGGTTTCTTTATTCCTACAAATTTTTTAGTAGGCATATGCCGTGGATGTTGTATTGTTTTCAATTACAGCCCAAGAAAATAGTGGATCTATTTTTAATGTACATTATTCCTTAGCCATATGCTGCTTATCAAAATTATTTGCGTCGTTCTAGACATCGAAATTCAAGAACATTCTGAATTCTGCCGAGGTTTGCCCGGAACAACTCTTCTTCGGCGAGGACGAAGCTGAGTAGCTTCGTCCTCGCCAAAACTTCAACATTAACCTCTCTAGTCGTGCGGAGGTGTTTTAACTTAAATGCAACCCATTCTGGTACATTTTACAACTCTGCCTACGATCATGCCGTTCTATGTTTTTTTTTTTCTTAAGCCTATCTTCAGCCTATCGCATTACGTGATGACATACCCCTGCCATCACACGGTTACAGGATGCTGCCAGGTGAATGGATACGAAGTAATTCTGCCAGTGTCAGCCATAATTGGTTCATTTGGAGTCATTGATTTTTGTTCAAGTTTCATTTATGGTTTTTGCCTACGTAACGCTGAAGTTGAGGTGAAGAAAAGCCTCCTGTGACCTCGCCTTTGCAATTTTGGAAGCTATGGTAGTTCTTTATACGATCCTGACTAATTGTTCGAACTTGCGGAACATGTCCGGCAGTTTTAGTGGTTACACTGACGCGTGGCAACGAGCTTAGTGTGGCGCTTATCATCATTTAAGACCGGCTTACTTACCATATGAAGTTTGTCACATTTATATGACCCTGTCCGTCCCCTCGCACGATTTGCTTTAGGAAATACATGTGATCCGATAACACATGATCGCACTGGCTAAAGCGTATCCCTCTACAAACAATAGCGATGTTGAACGGCATAAAATGGAAAGAGTTCTATCTATCCCATAGGATTGAAGGCCAGCTCTTAAAACTTTGTTAAAGAATACCATTCTTATATCAGGCTTTTTTACAGTTTCCAGCTACCTGCCAAGACCAATACTGATTCATTCAATGACTCATCTAGTCCTTTATACGTCCTGTCAATTTACTCCTTATGATATGTCGGCAATGATTTAACCGTTTCGAGGGGCGTAAATAGCAGTAATCGAATGAACTCATGGACACCTCTTATAAAATTGTCTAGTGTTACTATTACCTTATGGAACTCTGTTTTTCAGAGCTTAAACGATTCATTAATGTCAAATTAAGTTAGACTTGTGCAAAGTTAGTGAGATGTCTTTTTCGTCTTCTAAGCGATATCACCACCATTCCATCGTAATTCCAACGAACCAAAAATCTCGTTTCTCGACCCATTTGAAGTATCTTCGCGCAATGTTTAGCCATATTAGAACCTTTACTATAGATCTATTTGATGGTTCCTTCCCACATCCTTCCCAAATAGTCCAAATACGTACTGAATATTTGGACCTTTTTGATACAGTCCATTTTACGTATTTGGTCAATACTTGTATAGTCATTATCAGTGTGCTAAATAACTTTATTAACGATGATTTTTACTGATTGTGTGAGATACCCCCTCAATATGTATCGAGTGCACCACAATTGCGTATTCAATTTCTATTATTTTGGATAGTTTCTACGAAGTCTCATACGAGTAACGGCCTAAACGCAAACTAGTAGAAAATATATTACCCAGTAAATAATTTCCAAGAAATAAAAGAGGCAGTTGAGAACGAGCGTAATTATCAGGTACGATCAAATAATGGCTGAACAATAGCTGGATACTTATTCTAATTAAATTTATTGATAAAAAAAAATTGTAAGGACATTTTTTCTTAGCGGTGAAATTTCAATTTCAAGGTCCGGGTGTCAGGCACTTTAACAAAAGATAAGATGAAGATTTTTGTCCAATAAAAGTCCAGCACAAAACCTAGCTGCACCAGCAGATGCGTTTTAATGAAAAATTATATTTCTCTTTAACGTTTCTCGAAAAACCCATATTTATGTCGAAGAACGAATCTCGAGATTCGAACAGAAAGACTCTATAAATTGGTTCTTCGAATTGTGACAGCGCAGCAGCTTTGATGTCTTCTGCCGTTAACTTTATTCACCTGAAACGTTTATGATGGCCTCATTGAACATATTTTTCCGTAGTAAAATTGGAAGCATGCCGAAATGTTCCACTAAACAATTTATCGCAAGTTATTTTTTCATAAATAGATATTGTTTATAGGTCATTTTTTTAAATATTATTTACATAACTAAATAATCACACTTTGTGATTTATGCTGAATACGTTTCGATGCCTTCGAAATTGCAAACTATTATTAATCTTCTCATAAATGATCATTTATTTTTAAGATTTCTACGGCAAATCTTCGTGGCATGCTTATTCAGCACGTAATTAAAAGCAACGGGGAAACCATTAAAAACATGCAGCAGTTTCTTGCGACCCCATCTTAGATAAATTGGCCTTTAGTTTTCATTGACTTCGAAAAGAGCTATCGAATAGGATAAAACATTTTCAAGGTGATTTGCTTATTGTTTTAGCCTGACTAAGAAATCGTGGCAAGGTCCTTTTTTCAGAAGCGCAGACCGAGATTGTGGCAATACACCGTGATGGGATACGTAAACACATACACCTTGCCATAGTTTCCGGTGCCTTTGCCGGTCGTTTATAAACTTACCAACCAGAATTGCATACGAACAGTAAAAACTTGAAGGTCACGAGACCGTTATGACCAGCTGATAGGCGACTATTTCGGTATCTGCCTATACGCCTATGCATAATAACAGCTTGTCGAAACTCCGCTGTTAACTAACTTGCTTTTATGTATCGCTTTTCGTGCCAGAAATACTTCCATAGTTTTTTCACCGTGGCATGCATACGGTGTTAAACTTCAACCCATTTTATTTCGCGAAAAGGATTTTCCCAAACAACCGAGACATTACCAGCACTAGCCGTCCTGTGTCAATGGACGTCCTGTTTAGGTTCAATGAACGGACTAGGTGAATAGCTCTACGTTACGCTGAGGAAAAAGTATGAAGATTATGCTATCTTTCCAAGCTGGCTTTATCGTTCGTCTATCTAACGCGGCAAAAAAATCTACGCTACCGTAACATTATCGGAAGAAACACACAGTGTACGCATGGTTGTTTTTAATAAAATTAGTATGAGCTTTTTATTACTTTTAATAATATAATAATGAAATGTATGTATTTAAGCGCCGTTCGTTCTTTGTCTTATTCTTCTGTTTTTGTTGTCTTTCCCGTGAAGCCTTCTTCCTTGTCCTTCTGTTTATACCATCATCATCATCGTCACCGTGTTTACTTGTGGTTCGTTAGCTTCGAGCTCGCTTTCATTATCGTTCTAATCTACCGCTCCAATAGATTGTGCCTTTGTTTCACCTGTCATGTGACTATGGTCAGTCGGGCAGAAGTATTACTATCGTTATCTGCGGAGCGATTTGCTATTTAGTCCGTCGTGCTTCAATGACCACAGAATACCTTCAAATCTAATAGGCTATAATGTAGAACTAAAACAAAATCTCACATTTCGATCATACGACGTTCGGTACGGCATCACATTCGTTTACATTTAGCTCGGTTTGCAATTGCTGACCTTCGCCTGTCCTGCAAAAAGGACCGTCCTCATAATGGGTGGCGATGCGCCTGCTTGCTATATAATAGACAGGTATTTTCCGTCCCGTAAGGCCAGCCGCCCGATGTGACGCAGTCCCGAGTATACACGTGTATATTTGTTTTTGTTTCAAGTTTCACCTCTTAGCAGAAACGGCAGTATTCGTCAGCGCGTAAATGTACCATCATATTATCGCAAAGCTATAAAATAGCCGTCAAGAATACCACCGATTTTCACCGGTCGGGTGTTTCGATTCTAGGGCAATTCGATTTCTTTCTTCTTACGGTTTATATTCGCTTCCGCACATGATGAACTGAGCAAATCCTATTATCGACAAGATGCCTGTATTTATAATATTAATCACATACGAAATGCCAAATTTTGATTTGTCTAAAATATGTCACATACACTATTTACAGCAGATTGAAATTTAGGAACTGCGATCCTACTACCCATCGAGACGTCACAATGCCGAAGATTTTTCATTTTTCAATTTCTAAGAGATATTTTTTCAGGCAGCAACGATTCTCATCGGCCGAAAATTAGCCGTCTTTTGTGCTATGAATCACATGGTCTTTTTTATATGTTCAGCGCAACTGATTAGGCAATAGTAGGCTCGCTAAGTCGTCGGATAAAGCAAGCACCCGATCTACTTAGGTCAATGGGCAGGCAGGCAGACAGGCAGACAGACAATTCCGTTTCAGATTTCCGGCACTATGCTTTTATCTGCGCTAGCAAGCACAGCTTGAAGGTGAGGTGAAAACAATTTCAAGTAGAGAAGTGAGGGCTTAGAGGCAGGCTGGTTCTCACTTCTCGCAAGTCAAAATTGGTTCCCTCTGTAGCGTTGGAAATAATCTCTCATGAAGCACTCCATCTCTAACCACCAGAGAATACGCGTGATAAGCAAACTTCTGCAAGACTGGAGACTAGGGTCCACGCAGTTGTTTCATCGCTCCGAATAGAAAGAACAAGGAGAAAAAATTGTTTACCGATTCATCTTGTAGGGATGTAACTGTACAAACGACGCAAACATCGATAATCCAGTGCATGGAAACGCCGAGATATAACTGTGTGCCGACGCCAATCGGTTGTCTAGCAGTCGATCCACAGACAAATGAACAACAACAATAATAAACCATCGTCTGACTTTGTTTCAAGGTTCTGTAACAATAGTCGTCATAGATTTCGGTAATAATAGTAACAACTGTTTGATGCTGTTTTGCTTTTCGGCATTACTTTCTTCCTGATCCGCTATTCGTTTTAGTGTCAGTCACACAGTGTTGTCACCGTTATATTGTCATTAACTCATCACATAACATTATTTTAGCATTCGTCTATGTCAGAATCCGACAGTCAATAGGTAAACAACACATTACGCTGAACTGAATTGTCCACTGTTCTAGCCAGGCACACTTGAATATAGCTCTGCCATCATTGTGACAACACTTTTCTCATTCTTATTATTATTATTAGTCGTCACTCTTGCTAGTTAGGCATTGTAATAAATCATTTCCAGTGCTTTTTTTTTTTTGTGTTTGTTTTTTGTTTTTTTTTTCACCTCTGTTCAACACCCTGCCACATCGCACGGAACAAATATACAAAGCCGTTTACTGGCCTGTTATCTACTAACTAATCCCATTGATACGATTAGTTTCCACTCGATATTTTAGTCATTGCGTACCATCACGTTTGCGCTTCAGTCTAAAATACACATGGATAACTAGAATAATAACTTTGTTTTGTCTCGTTAACTATTAGTTATGTGAGCCCGTAGCTCGTTTGCATATCATGTGGAAAATTCGTTCGAGTGTTATTTTCAAATGACACTGTCTCTCGACATAAATGAGTGTGCGTGTGTGTATGTGTATGTGTGTGTGTGTGTGTGTGTGTGTGTGTGTGTGTGTGTGTGCGTACGTGCGTACGTACGTGCGTGCGTGCGTGCGTGCGTGCATGTGAACGTTTAAAACGCCAGTCAAGCAGCGACAAAGCGTTCGTCCCCAGTCACGCTCTCCTCTTTACTCATTTCAGAACTCCCACCGCGGAACAGAATACGTCTTTTTTCTGTATTTGTTAAACAACATTTGAACTCGATGGCCTGTTAACGCCCGATGACAACTGTCGCTGTTTCTCGTTTGTCCTTTCTGATTAACGCATTCGTTCACTCATGCACCAGCTTCGCGCGTTCACATAAAAGGTGATGCTTTGACGTCACTTCTCATTCACCACATGCCTTTCTTTACAAACCTCACGTACAAGCGCTTATAAGAAATTGCCCCTCTTTGCAATACATATAATCCACTCATGATAATTATATATATATATATATATATATATATATGGTGCGTGTGTGTTCTAACTTAAAGCCCCGTTATGACAAGGACGTGTGTTTGTCCACTCGATGAAGACACGACAGAAACACCAGCAGAGACAGAACGAGCACTGACGGAGACAGCATAAACAAACATATTGCCATCGTGGTACGCCGTGATCTTCGTTATGTCGTTATATATATATATATATATATATATATATATGTTCTTCATTTTCTTCACATCATATACATACGTTTCTGTATATATATATATATATACATACAAAAACCTTGTCTGCTTCCTATACTTCTGCTGTCTTCTACATTTTAGCACATATAATATATCCAAAAATTGTTCGACCTATTATAATTGTCATTCTCTATAATTGCACACCCGCATACATCCATCCATACGCAGTATTAATCCTGTAATAATAGTTGTAGAAGTAGTAATTGTTGTTGTTGCTGTTTTTATTGTTATTATTATTATTGTTATTATCTGTACAATCAAAGCCGAGGCGTTCGTCTTATCGTACACAGTTCGTTTAGCTTAGCTTTTCCCCTTCTTAAGCCTACTTACATACATCAAATCGCTTTGTCTTTTCATTCTTCTTTATGTTAAAGCGCTTCATTGCAACTCATCTGAGATGTGGAGCTGGCTACTTCAGGAGCGAACTGTTCCCGTGGTTAGAGCTGCTGATGTTATTTGTCCTAGCACTCCTTACCGCTTTTGCGACTGTTTAGAAAAAAGGCGAAAGGGGGCACATTCGATTAGTTACTTCCGGCTGTTTTTTTTTCGGGCGTTTGAGTAAGAAGCTGGCCATGTTACGGGGTAGAGCAACCAGTTAGTCGTCCTTCGTCTTTCGCCACCGGGAGTTCGCTCGACCCAGCCAACAAATCACTGATCGACAGATTCAAGTGACTATGAATTTCCTACAGATGAATCATTTGGCCGCCAATGTATTTCTCGTTCGAATTGGAAGGCGGGCAAAAGTCGTAACGTTATTTGATTTATTAATAGTCGATCTTCATGTCCAATATCCATGTTGTGAATTCGATCTTCATCCTACATTAGTTGGGTGCATTATTTTGCTAGGCGTCAATCAGATATGACTGCGCTGAAGAGTGTCGCACAGGCAACGACCTCACACAACAAACGTACGGGTGACGTGCGACCGAAACTTCTGCGTCTGACTACCCATATTCTTTCGGCTTAATTAATGATGAATATAATTTTATCATCAGATTGTTACGCACGAGCCGAAAACCCGCCCTCACGAATACTGTGTCGTTGTGGGTGTAGCCTGACCGTTGTTCGTCGTTGTTGTCGTCGTCGTTGTCGTCGTCGTCGTCGTCGTCGTCTGTTGTTTTCCTGTTACTGTTGTCGCCGTTGTCGTCGTTGTTGTTATTACTATTGTCGTCGTCGCTGCTGCCGTAGGGCTCACTATGGCCGGGTGCATCGTTCCGGTTTGTGAAAGACCTCCGACCTGCGGTTGTTGTTGCTGTCTTAATAGTCCATACACCTCCTGGATCAGTCGACAAAAAATGCATCAATCCACGTTCATCATTGCAGAGAATTTGCTCATGGTATGCGACAGCGGAAAACGTTGAAATACAGCTAGTGCGGTTAAGTGCATAACAAGTACATTGAACGATCAGCGAACCCGCTTTTTTTTCAGCTTGTAAAAGTGTATCGTTACGAAGCATCTTTTAAGGCACCGCAATGCGTTTCTCTTAAGAAGCCTTACCTGTGGTGGTGCATGTGCTAACCGGTCAAAGAACGGAATAAGGTCGCGCAGTTCGGTGTCAGCCATATCATCGAACCACGAACCCACTGGGACCTATTTGAGAGAATACGATAGGTAGGTATGAGGAGCGCACAAATGCTGAATCCTAATAGCTGAATACTATCGTACGTTGATAATCGAACAGACAACTCTCGACTGAAAGTCCGACTCAGCTCCCTCTATGATTAGGTTAAACAAGTAACTGAGTTGCTGATAATAGACGAATTACCCAGGTTCTGTTTCGCGTACGTGTGGGCCGTAGTTAGCGCTAGGCATATCGGCATTTACGAATGATATGGGTCGCGACTGCGAAGGTGCAATGAACCAGCGGTTAAAGATATACCAACAACTAAGATAATCCCTAATATGTTCGTTGTTCCCTTTACTAGGTGGACGTTGGCAAATTCATTTTAAACTATACTAATTAGATTAACCGTGCGTGCCCATTAGAATACGAAAAAATAGCCTACGGCGTTATCCGGATGGAACATGTAACTGGCCGGCGAATTGTCTATGATGACGACCCGGTGAACTTCTCGCCCCAACCGATTTAAGTCTTTAACGTAGTTTCCTCTGTAGAACGCACATGACTCCCGGAATAGTCGGCCTCTGTAACCCAAAACGAGCAAACTCTAAGCATGTTACACAAAATCACAAATAGACAAGTTCTCAAATAGACGTAACTTGGATAGTTGCGTATAAAGAATGTAGTGAGTAGGCGCATAACAGATTCGAATATCTTTCACTGGAAGCTAATAAAGTGCCCATAGTCAATGAACTGATGGATTTCAGAAGCTTACCGAAAAACGTTCCACTTATCGAGTAGGTCTGCGACCGGGTCTGCATATTTGGATAATGACGCTGTAAAAAGAACGCACTCGTAGAGCGCGCCGACGCGTTCCAGAAATTCATCAACAAAGGGACGTTTCAGCACATAAACCTAAAAAAAACGTACTCACATTTATTATTTAGAGGAATAGCCGTTTACAGGCACTGTTGTATTCCAGTAAATATGTGTCCTGAATACTATGCATCATGTCGCTCAGTCCTTGAAATCTGATGTATACTGATCTCGCAAGGAGTTAACTGATATGACCTCAACATTGGTACAAAACACTGATCCTACTTTGGTAGTTCTGCCTCAAAATATACGTTTCCATTTTATACAGTCGTATGGTAGCGTCATATGTAATTGATGGTTGGGCTTATCCCGTGATTGTTATGCGATTTATGACATTTTGAGAGAAACTCCTTGAATATATATATATATATATATATATATATATATATATATATAAGAATTAATGAATTGTTTGTTCTAGATATAAGTATTTACTTAATGGCCCCAATTTAAGTTGATAGACATAACACACTTATGCCACCGTTCTTTCCGGTTCTCGAAAACCTTTACAAATTTTATCCTCAGGGTAGCGCTTAGCTTGGTGCGCAATTTTCTCTCTCTTTTTTTTTTTTTTTTATTGGAAATGCTTCTCTTGAGACTGTTCTTTTGTTGTTGTGTCTTTTTTGAGAATCAGAAAGAGTCGCAGGGGGGACAGGTCCGATGAATACCGGATACGCACGAGCAGTGAAGCGCGGTCCAGTGCATTGTCGTGATGGAGTACCCAGAACATGTTATGCCACAATTCTGATCTTTTGCATAGGGAAGGCTTGCATATTTCCTTCGCATTTACTGACAGTATTTCTTGGCGAACATGGAGCCGGACGACATAATTAACAATCTCCCGACGTTCGAAGGAAACCGTCAGGAGAACACTGGTTTCGCATGTGGATCTACGATTCAGATCTAGCGGCTTTCTTCGGTCGAAGTTTCTTTTTTGAAATCACACTGCATTTTGGTAGTTTCATGGACACTATACGCCCGCGTCTGGCCACCCGTAATGCCGTGTTCAAAAAAGTTTGGCTCTTCTAGAAGTGCCATATGTTTTTTTTAATATCGTTCTTCACGGGTATTCATACCCTGACCAGTCACTTATTTCGGCACAAAATATGGCGTAAGCCCTCTGAGACCCGAGAGGTTGATTCGAGTAGCCTACCATAAGCTTATTGAGATCTCTATTTGTCCTGGTAGCTCTCTTATGGTGATCCGGCGGCAAGGACAAGTTATGCCACTCTTTTCAGAATCCCGTTCGCAATTATTCCTACAAGTCACCAAGCTCGTCACCAAAAATCGTCCTAAATGAACTCCTGCCCGTTTTCAAAGTTCTTGAACCTTCTTTTTACTTGAGTCTTCCTCAGTGTCTGGGCTCTAAAGGCATTCTATAAGTTCTGCGAAGTGTCTGAAAGGTTAGTTTTACTTTTTGCACAGAACAAGCTCATTGCTCCATTTGGAAAAATTGCAAAAGTTCAAAACATAGACTTACTCAATCTCACTGGATTATACTGTTCTGATATTTTACCATTGTATAACAGAAGTCCTACTGGTTTTTCTAAAATGCACGATTACTAGCGACAAACTAGTAGCGCGAGAAATTTAAACAATTCAGGCTCAAATATGTACAGAATACGGCACTTGAATTCGGACATACTTGACGGGCTCGTCCGCTGTTTTAAAAGAAATCTGTTTTTTCTAGAACAAATTCGTGGTGGTAAAAAAACAGTGTGCCGTTTTGATAAGTTCAGCAAAAATAGGTTATTATCCAGTTTCTTTACTCTAAACCAACATCCGGTATGATTAAAAGCTTCCTTTTTTGTCCGAAACCGAGAGTCTACCTCGCTGCCAATTTTCATGAAGCGTCTGAAAAACGACTAAGGTTTGCGTGAGGCAAGCCGGAAAGTCTTTAACAGACTTAGATTTAGAGGGCACAGCAATTGATCAGAATGGCCCAAAGGTCTAGTTTTAATACACCTGGATTTTTGATACAAAAGTTAATGGCCGTTTTGAAGCTGAAAATATCAATCGTCTATTAAGCCGTCCAGATAAGCTCCAAAACGGTAGGTTTATTTGAGTTTTGTCGCGCCTTTCAGACAACCTAGCAGTTTTGAGCCTCATTGGCCTAAATTTTCACTCCGCTATAATGACTTCTAACCAGAGTAATCGGGCAACACTTCTGCTAGAGGATGTCCACTAATATCACTATATATATACTATCCGTCAATCATATGAAGCTTGGAACATTCTGTTATCATCAGAACATACCTGATGTACTGAACCTTCAATCTCGACGGGTACCACAAAGTCGGGATTACTGACAGGCTTGAACGAAGAGTGTACAAGAGTTTCATCGAGATCGATTACCAAGCACATCTTGCCCTGATCCGACGGCCGTAAGGGTGGTAACAAACTCAGCTGCAATTCACGAAAACAACATCGTTAAGTGCACAGACGGGTGTATGGCAGTAAATTTGCTTATCGATTCGGACCGCGGGCAAAGCCGTCCATAAACTCATGCGAAAGAAAACTATCATGACAGGTAGCAAAGATTCAATATTTACCAAATATGCGGCAAATCAAATCCATGCGGAGCCGTTACAATTAATGGAGCCGAATATAACAATAAGTACTTCTGCTTTGTTGTACAGCTAAGAAATTTCAGTTCTTATTAAATTAGGACTTGTCTTGGTGAGGCGGAAGGAGAGCAAACTAACGGAGCATAGGAGTTATTCCTATATAGGTTTACGAACGAAATTGATATATTTGTTTCTTTGAGGTAAATAATATCTAGCGTTAGGTGTTTCCATTTTGGAGATGAAAAACAATGCTAAAAAATTAGCCAAACTTAAAAAGCATATCAAAAAGTTATTTAGACCGCCGTATGATGACGAAGCTTGTTTGTCGATAAATTCCGCTTCCTCTAGTCCATAGTTTCTAGAGGTCAACAAGCAATCCAAATAGTTATCAGCGTATCTATTTGATCCTTTGAACTGAAAACATCCCACCAGTGCAACGTATTATCTTGAAATAATCATAAAAAATAAGTGAAGTTGAACTACACATAAATTAACTGTACGAGCGCAAAACATTTTTTGAGCAACCTCCCCTCTAGCACCTCCCCTCGTAACTTGATCATCCCCTCCCTAGAAGCGGTTTCCAAATTATATCGTTCAGATCTTTCATTGAACTACACGCTCACAGAACACAGGCCCACGGCTTGCCATCTCCGCGTCTGCCATTTGCTTAGAAGTTACATAACATATTGAATAAAATCAGCCGGCTTCGCGCGAAAACTGTCTTCTGGTAATTAAAGTTGTTTTTGTGCTACTATGTGGAAATCTGTCGCGTCCTGTTCGATGGTTTTTTTCACGCTTGCAAAAAATGTCTACAAGAGCGCTTGACGACCCGACGCATGTGTTGCATCGGAAACCAACGCGCACATCCTGATCGAACGCAATTACTAAATCAATATAAATTCAACCAGCCAATAGTGTTTTATCATCATGCCATAGCATTCATCGGACTTAACATGATCGGCCATGTTAAACCCGTTTTAGGATAATTCGTCAAGACGGCGTATGGGTTAGCATCGGCGAGTATGTCCTTGGAGGGTATGGGGAAAGTGCGATGTCGGGAACATCGAGGAACATTTTGGACCCGAATATACTTGATACACAATTATTATAGGCTAAAACGGCACGAAATCCGCAACATGTTGCGAAATGGGTGCAAGAGTAAATTTCCCGCATCAATTAACCGCTATTTTTAAATGGCTTTGCGTTTCTACTTGCTCAACGACGCTGATCTAATTTGAGTTTTGGTGCACCATTACATGACAAGACATGGGCAAAGGCGATCGTACCACGGAGAGAGCGGTAATTATCTCTCGCTCAAACCTATGTATATATGACGAAGTTAATCGCTCATTATCTGTTTAAACACGCGTCTGACCACAGCTGCTGTTTTGAACTGATCGCCTATAGATGTAATCGAAATTTGTCCTGTTTTTATAACGGCCACACCCCGTTGATATGCCTCTCCCACCTCTTATAGACTGAACAACACTATCTAATGTTTTTGTGGCATGCCTCAAAAGGCCTATTCGTCGATAATTTCGCCGCCATTCGGAAGCGATGTGAGGAAGAACCGGAGAAAGAAGAATCGGACGGTCGACGGGCGGCCAGCAAAGAAACGGGGTCTAGAGCGTGACATAACAGAATGTGAGGTTACAGGACTCACTTACGTCATCATGATAGTACTACAAGATAATAACGAATAGAAAACCAAGATGTGTATTTCATAATTTCCCAATACGTCCTCTTTTGACAATTCCGGTCCCGGTGATAGTTTAGCTGGTAACGCAATTGCGTATTGATCCTGAGGCGCATGGTCGCATTGGTTCAAATACGGCCATAGACACGGTTCATTTCGTGCTAGCAATTTGCCGTCTGATGGAATACCGAATAGTGGTGCCGGTTAAATACCAAGATATGGTCTAGTAAAGTAGTATTATAGAAAATGTTATTTTTCCGACCACTGCGACCATATCTTATCGATCCTATCGTAATTCACTAAAATATGCTATTTGAAAGCGCGACAAGGCCACGAGCATTGGTACAACCAGACAACATGTATAATTCAGCAATAAGCTGTGATCCGAAGCTACAAAAACTACAAGCAAAAAACTCAATACAGTTCCAACACTGCCCGTTTGCAATTTATTAAATCAATAAAACGTATTCATGTTGCTCGAACAGCGCATAATTTAACCTAGAAACAAATGCTTTTGTTATGGTTGTATCGAAACGGATGAGTAGCTTGATTCGTGTAGCTTTGGGAAAGCTAACGCGTTTTTCAATTGCTTCAGGTAATTTTGCCACACAAAATAGAACGTTTAGTTGCCTTCTTTAGTTGTAAAATGAAAACGCATTACTTTGGGTTAAATCTTAGTCTTGACACAATGTAACGAGCACGAGTATGACAAAAGAAATCATGCCCTCTAAAAACGTGATCACTTTTCCATCATTCCGGCAATCAGTGATGATGAGGAATTTCTTGAGACCCTTCAATTCGAGCGGCGTGTAACTGAAACAAACGTTTCAGTTACACGCAGTCTCTCTCTCTCCAAAAAGTTATTAGCAAAGCCTTTACTGCTGGGGTCGAAATATAATGATTTATGCTTCATAATTTAGAGTTTGAGCTTGTCAGTTAGTGTTAACAAATAAAAAAAAATAGTATAAAACAAAGGGGACATCCGTTACGCGTCGTTCTGAGTGGAAGCTCTACTGTGTATCTAAAGAATCCTTAACGGGCACCCATGATTAATGGTTGAAATCCCGGCAATATTATTTTCCGGTAAAAGCGTGCCATCGATTTCGTCACGCAGATTACACAAGTCCTAGCTGATCCTATATATTGTAGGATTTAATGCTGAGCGATTTCTGTTAGAGTTGACTCATTGACAAAACGTAAAATTAGCAATTTCGCGTCAGTCGAGCAGCTTCGCCATTAGAATTTCAGGACCCAAGTAGCTCTTACTTTGAGCCTAATCTTTATTTGCAAAATTATTTGTACAGGCTTGCATACTGTGGGTTACTCGAAAGGAGTTCGGAAACATTTTGGCAGGCGATTAGTGGCAGCGGGAATTCTTCGCGTTTACTATAAGGGCAAAATGGTTCTTTCCAGGACGAATCCATAACCGTATCATCGTGTACGCCCTTCTTCGGATCATAAGCTACTGAAGATCAATTATATTTCTATGGCTCTACGTTGGAAGCATCGCACTCTCACCTTTAATTCTCTGTGGCTACCTGAAATAGGCTACCGGTGACCAGCCGAGGCGCTTCATAATTTTTGAAAGGCCTGCGAAAGATACCCATATGCTCAGGCAAGATATCCGCAACAAAAGATTGCCTTGAAGGAGCCGCTTGCAAAGGTGCGAATCTAACGACACGGTATACCGAAAGCTATTTTTTCCGGAAACGAGTGTCTCGCATACAAAACAAAAATTAAAAGAGGTTTTGTATAAGCTTCGGAAAGACCACCAGCAACACTCGTTGAACAAAAAATTATACGTTTTTCAGCAAGACGGAACATCGGTATAGAAGCGCCATTGAATGGAAAACTAGGTTTCTAATAATTTGAATCCTCACTTTTAGGTGAGTAGAACAACATTTTTAATACGTTGCACATTTGAATGAGACTCTCATATATCCTGTCGTCCCCCAGATCGTGTACTACGAAAAACTTATTTGCGAATATACAGATAGAAGCTTTGAGCATGAGTTGCGAGCGTGTTAAGTGTAGAATTCAGACCTGATTAAACACCTCCACCAGAGATGTGCTTGTCTATATATGTAACACATATTATCCAAACATCTGCTTTCATTAGTACGCAGATCAGAAAAAACGACATCATGATTGTGCCAATTTATCCGGAATAGTATGCACATTGCTCCTTTATATGGATAACGAAGCTTTCCATTAGTATTATGTTCGATGAGAAAAGGGTAGGAGTTGACATGGAAGAAATGGTTGCCCTGATACGTGTAGAATAATCGCGCTCACTTAAAGGCTTGTGACACCTTGCGAAGTTATAAAAAACTTAAACCCTGCTTCTGAACCTCCGTCCAACGCCCGTTAAGACTGATTTAAGTTAACAGATCTTCCTCACATCTTTGTCCGAAGCAGCTTCCGATACAGTGCGTAACCTAGATAATGCAGACTTCTACCGTCTTATTTTCTAGCAGCATTATTGAAAAAAGCGGCAGCCAAAAAAATTTAGCTAAAAAAGCCTTGTTACACATTTCGTTGTTGATTAACGCTTGCTAGTGATATGCCCAGTAATCAACGGCTGTTAATTTGTTTTTTGTTCTAGTCATTCATCTACAAGGACAAAGGCGATGATAGTGTCGGCGCTTATATTTCTCCATAATTATCATACTCGATTTTCGAGGAGCACGGAAGATGATGTTATCGAGGCAGACCATGAGGCGCAAATGGTGCTGGGGACTCCCAAGGGACTGCCCACACCGCCCAGCTTCCCCCCTGACTCTTCCTGAAACTTTGGAACACATCATAGACAACACAAGTCCGATGATGGATCAACGTCTTGCGGTTGGTCATTAGGGACTCATCGCAAGGTGGCTCAAGCAATTGCGTGTCGCCACTTAAATCTTAGAACTCGATCGAACTTTGAGGATAAAAATGCTTTCGATTCCTCTATCGAATAGTCTACACAAGAAAGATGCTTAATCGCTATAAACAAATTGACGAATGAAAAGTATATTCTTATGTAAGTCCTGCTTCTGCGCTGATCACATCGAGGGTGACTGTTCACTATCTGTGGCCTGCAGAGATTGACGAGCTATATCAACTATGTATAATATAGTCGTAGTGTTACTTGTAATCTTTGTTAAATTGAAATAGTAGCAACGTCCGTGCTAGCACAAAGAAACTGAAATGATAGTAGATCCTCATTCTTTAAGGGACTATATAGAATATGAAAAGGATGTAAGATTTTTTTCATACTGGTGTAAAAATAAATTAAAACGAAGATGTGGTGAGATAGATATCCTCGATCATATTCTGCATTGGATTAGCTCACCTTGTTGGCTCCATCATGGTGACCTTGCAGGGTTGCTGAGTTGCCCGTATTTATCGTGTGCGTTCCGGTCTGCCCTTGATGATTGTGCCCTCCGCCCTGGTCGCCCTGATCGGCCTGGTCGCCATTTCCTGCCCCACGCAAACGGCCGCTTCCTGACCGACGCCGCCAGCAGCACAGCAGGCTATGCAATAAACCTCCTTTTCGAGGTTTAGATGCTGAAATAAATATATTTAGGGTTAAGAATCACGTAATAGACAATTAAGCAGGCATGGATCTCGTACGCCCTGGAGGTCAGGCTTCGTGTCATGCTATGATACTCAGTCTGATTTCTAGAAGGCTAACGAGATGAGAAATTAACACCGAACGCATCTGTTACTGCCGATACAAAGTTGCTGGGTTAAGGTTGATGGCATGACAAATTTTGGAAAAAAAAATACTTACAGATTAACTAAAGAGACGACTTCCAGGTCTGCAGTGCAGTTTTTGATTACTGTGGAATGTTCCTGATATTGCAAATGGTAAAAGTTTCGAGTTTTGCCTTATTTATGGCCTCAGTAAAACGTTGCGATCCTAGACGTCTATGCTTTTCCAGCACGACTAATAATGTAACCTATAAGTGGAGGCCAACTATCTAAAGTGGCAATGCTTAACTCCGTCCTGCTTCAAATTGTATGTCCACCTCGTATGTCCCTAGCATTCGTAGAAAAAGGCCTTAGTATTACACTATTACGAGGATTATGATAGTGTCTGTACTTTGGAGTTGCAAACAGACAAAAATAGTCTCGGCCACTTTACCCCCAAAACCGACTTGGGTCAGCGTGACTGACAGTTTTCAGCATCTTTCCCCAGCACTCTACACGTTAGTTATTTAGAGCATGTTTGGGAACACTGCATTGATCGATGAATAGACTTTTGTGAATTATCGCTGTGTCATTTATTACCCTGCGCCTTTTTTCACGCGAAGGTTTAAAGGATGTTTTCATTACCTGTATATAGAAGTGTTTACATGCGAATATTAAAATTCTGCGCTACATTAAGATCAATGTATCAGTTCGAATGACGCCTCATGTTCCAACAGAAAGAGATCAGTAGACGAATTTCGCCAAAGGGTCAGTCTAGCGTGTCTGTACTGCTTATTATATATATAAGCACCGCTGCTTTATAAAACTGAGAAAGTTGGTCTGATTTTTAAAATGGACGACTGGGAATTCTGCCGAAGGGAAGTTGCTATGGGCAGATAAGACGAGAAATTTTCCATCCTCCAGACGACTTCTGAAGCTTGTATTGAGGTGTCATCTTCGTAAGAAATTCGATGAAAATTTTAAACGGAACTTAAATAACAAGTTTGTCTTTCGATTGACCTTGTTTAAGATCCCCGACTATACACTATAGGCTTGTCTTTGCCAGTGTTCCGTAAGGTGCATTATGTCAAAAATTGATATTTCGCGTTTCATTCAATGAAACTGAAGTAGTGCCTTAAAAAGCTTCAAAAAATCATATCGCTGAACGTCTCAAGTCTTTAAAAATTTAGTTGACACAATAGATTACATCGGAACAATTCTATCGATTATACAATTGCTACCCGAGGACATATGGCTATGATCCGAAAGAGTTTAAGGTTTGTCAACTTCAGTTGTCTAGCTACTTTAGTTTTCGTTGCTTTTTTAAGATTTTATCAAAAGCCCGCATCGCTTATGTGTTCAAAAAGCTAAATAACGGTTCGAGAGTTTTGTTGCAAGGAAGACGTAGGTTAGGAATACTCATGAGCGGTTCTAAAAAAGGCATCTTTAACGAGTTTCTGCATATTTTTTTGCGCCATCTAAGCTCAATGATTATAAACTAACGAACACTGATGTCAATAGTTTAGCAAGAAAAAAGATTCTGAATGCTATAAAGAGGAAAGCAATTTGCCCAATGTAAGTTTTTTTGGTAACGCACTATCGAGAATCACTATTGCTCGCTGATCATCTTGGCGATTTCCTAACGGCTAAGAATGAATCATCGTCGCCATAGTTGTCTGAAAGCTTACAGAGCACAACTGCAACAAGCTGTTGCTGACAGTGAAACTTATGTTCAATGTAAACCTTCTCCATTTTGAAAGATTGAATGAAGTTGCTGCTATGATAGAACACCCTAGGTTTTTTAGGATTCAGCGACCTTCTACTTGAACTACACGTTTTAAATGAAAGATGGCTTTTCCGAGCAATAGCGAGGCCATGGACGATCATAACTCCGTGATACAGTCATTTTGACAATGTTTAGCATTTCTTTCTAGCGAAGTATGCTTGAGGGCTTCCGTTTCATCCAGACGGAATACCGAATTAAATTCTATTAGCAATATTGCCAAGGCTTTTGTACAGGCATGTATGTCACCGATGTAGCAACAAAGTTGTTTTTTACTGTTCGTCAAAAACTTGTTTCACAACTACCATACTGGCATATAAGTGGCAATATTTATCTTATCAGTTTTCATAAAAGTCACATGATAGGTATACGTATATTCAAGATTGGGACTAATTGTCGTGCACAGCTTTTAGGTTCGTTTCTGTAGTTGGTTCTTATCACACTGATTAGTGGTTCTTCTGAGCCACGAAATAATTTTTCAAAAAATGGTTTTCTTAAACACACATAAACCATGTATATGATCAGATCTAGATTAAGGATATTGTTGCTATAAGCACAAATAGCTTGTTTTGACATAGATTTATGTATATATATATATATGCACGCACATACTACATATATAATGGTACTGATGAGTAGGTCGGCTCTGCATTTCTGCGTGTAGCAGCCTCACCGTAGCGGTGACGGCAGCAGCCGTCGTGGCGGCAAGGCGATTAGTGGCCGAAGCAGCTGCAGTGACCGTAGTAGCGTGAGCAGCGAGCAAGCCCAGCATCCCCAATGTCGCCGTCGCCGTCAAGGCTGCGATCGGGTAACGAAGGGAGATCAAACAATCTCGTGTGGCAATTGTAGCGCCGAATAAAAAGGCCCAGAACACCAGTAGATAATTGCTGCTTGTCGTTCGTATCGCATAGGACTGGCAGCAATGGCCGCTACTAGCGTACAAGCATCACTGCCTACATGGCCGTGGTTCACCCGTTGAATCTCAGCCAATCGTATGCCAGTCATCTATGTAGAAGTCAACCAACCAGTCAATTGGCCGCTAGAGGGACCTATACAGAAACTTCTACTACAGTAACATTGCATTTTTGGGAGTTGTCATCATTGTTATTGTAGTCACCTAGGCGTAGTACGCTTTTGTCGTCGTCGTCGTACTCTGCCTACAGTTAGTGCTGCCTCGTGCCTTTGGCGCTGTTGCTGCTATAGAAGATACAACTGCCGACTGGTTCGTCCGTCACTTCGCTTGCTTGGCTATGTTTGTGTTACTCCTGACACCGCTTTGGGCAGGGCGTCACTTGTAGGTATTGGCAATAACCTTGTCCTTTTTCTCTCTCTCTCTCTCTCTCTTTATCTGAGTCTGTGTCTTTGGCACTATGCAACAGCGGCAGAAACAGCAGCGACTCGTCCTAACTCCTGTTTCTGCGCATTTTTTTGAACTGAAGTAGAAAGTCGATCTAAAGCAAGAACGGTCAAAATTTTTAGAGTAACGTGAACCCGGCACCGATGGTAAGTGACCAGTAATTCATGTTAACTGGCCTGCTTCAGATCGACAAACTACTTCTAACATAGTACGTCTAAGCTGTCCCTACCGACCGATCCGTATGTCGTAACGACGTACACTATACATTTAAAATAAGCGGTAATCAATCTTACCTGCGGACAATTATGTAGTTTAGGAAGTCTGAGTTTGCGGCTAGATAAAAACTTGACGTGTCTCAGTCCAAGCGAGGCTAACTGAATCAATTCATTGTGAGAGTTTTGTACATTGAGAACCGTTTGTAAATAGACGGCAAGCAACCAGAGAAATGCATCTACATTTTGGCCAGCAGGACAACAAACAGATGCCGAAATCAACTACATATTCAGATATCCTTGATTAGATAACCTCTACTGTTGCGTTTTATGGCTTCCATTCGTTTTGCATAGAACTAGAATACCTGCTGTAAATAATTGGCCGTATGCATAATACTCTATGTATACGCGTCACATATTAGAATTGTACCTACACTTTTGTGCATGCCCCCCGATTGGCGGGGAGCAGTTTGCAATGGGGAACTATCGTTAACGTTATGCACGCGTACGTATGCAGAGCGGAGCAAACCAGGCCCGTTTATGTTTACTGTGTTATTACAATTGCACAGAGGGCGAATTACTGCGGCTGTTTATTGAGGACTGACTCTGGCAGCTTCTACCTAAAATGACAGTACGTTTCAGATGGGTTTAGCCTTGAAATGACACTGCAAAACTGGCCCACCTCGTCCTCAAAATGTCGCAGACAAACCGTATATCAAAACAACTTAGCCATATCTATTTGAAACGAAATTTTTTACAAATTAATCATTACAAAATAATTTTACAAAGTATTAACAAAGAATGTTTTTTGGCACTTCCCGTCTATCGTTCGAGTACTGCAGAGGACACAATTTTCTAACAAAAACATAACGCAGTATCGATTCTCACACCGACAGTAACACGGCATTACGATTCAACCATGTGGCTTAACCGTGTACTTTGTCTAAGGCGCTCGATTGTCCTTCGCATTTGTTCGAGTAACTTCGATGACGTAAGTTTTTCACTCGGGAAAGGAAATACTAACAATTGTCGTCCTGTCTAAGTACTTGTCCGCGTTTTCGATGTCTTCATATTCAAACTATGATGCGATATTATTGGCATGTTCACCTTTAGGCATATCCTTACTTTCTAAAGTAACGTGTCTCACAAATTATTTGTCGTATTTTTCAATCATCGACTTCGACGACCGACCGACCGTCCGTCCGTCAATTTGCCTGTCTCTGGCGTATGTCATCGCCGAGCCAACGAAGTATGACCGCATTGCACCGTGACAAAATAATGATAACGGCCAAGTATTTCAGGAAACTGGGTGAGTTCTATATTGATAAGTGCTTGATGCCGTTGAAACACACGACTACGCACTCAGCTCTTTTACCCGTAGGTCCAGACTCACGAGCCACTGGAATTTTTGATACACGAAAACCGTCATTAGAAAACGTTTCATTCATATCATTTACATTACCCACTACACAAAGCGCATCATGGGTCATGTGCAGCACGCCCAGGAGCAACTGCTTGCTATTGAGCCTTGACTAATTAACGGCACCGAGATAATTGGCACTCTCATATTCAAGTTCGTCACATTCGTTCAACTGAACCGTGTAAATAGAACTTAGAAAATGTTCGATTACTAAGTAGCATCTCGGATTTATTTCACAGGAGTGACCCGATACCATACTTCGTGAGCGAAGCTCAAATCAGGTAAGATTTTAACCTTAACCGCTGCTTTCTTTTTTCTTTCGTACGGGTAATAAGTGTGACATAGTCGAACTTTTTCGGATAAATTTGCCACTACGTTTGTGCAATGGAAGTAAAAAAAAAAAAACGATTAACACCACGCGAAGTACGGAACGGTCGTTTACTGCAAAATCCAGCCTACACAGGGTAGCATGGTACAGTCAAAAAATGACAGAATAATCGTCAAAAAAAGCCCTAAAATAAGAGGCATTTGATGCGTTACTATGACGAATGACCTCGCGGCGACAACCATGCCCCACAGTGTACATATATAGGAATAACGTTATCAACAGAGCCGCAATAATCGCTCTATTGTCGCTAAAGGCAATAAATCGAAGTCGTTTGTTTCCCTCTCCAGCGACAGCGATAGCAAAAACAGCAACAGGAGATGCTGTATCTATATTGGCCTTGTCACAGTGATGCTATATGGCTTTCCTTCGTCGCTTGCATCGCAAACAAGCATCAATAACGACGATAGCGTATACTAATTGTAAACGGTCATCGCTACCAGACGCTACAGCTGCCCTATCGGCAAAAAAAAAAAAAAACGTACATAAGCGTTATTCATGATCATCGTCATTACGGTTGCTATATTAACGTTTGTCATTATTATTATATAAAATATGTATGGTTTAGATTCAGTCAGCCCTTGCGTACATTGAAGATGATGGCATGTCCCAATAGGTAGCAGCTGCACAGAATGATGCACAATGTGTACGCTCACGTGTACAATTGACGATAGTACAAGAGTGCTACTGCTGTTGCAGTCGCAACCTTGATATTAAAGCTTGTCTATGTTGACCTAATCATTTCTGAGACGATTTTGTGCAAAAATGTATTCGTCCCTAAAGCTTCGAGCGGTTTGCGTGTATTATACGTTCCTGCTTTAAGAACACCTTTCGCGGTCAAAACTAATCACTGGAAGCTGGTGCGCCAAACACAGTGTCTACTGAACGTATTTAGGTCAGCGAAAGACCTTTTATCTAACCAGATATCAGTCAGTCTTATGTAATGCAACTATAAAAAACACTTGTACAGCGTTGTGGCATATATGAGTACGTCTTCTTGCAAGATCGTCAAGGATGAGCACCATCCGATTGCGAACCTGAGAACATCACGGCAACTGACAGATGAAATACACTCTTCATCACGAACAGGCACATCTATGATTTTTCCGCCAACATTTATCTTTTAACAAATCCGAAATTTTAACCAGCTCGAATACGTTTGTCTCTTTAAGTAGACCTTTATTTGTATAGTATAATACCTTACTACATCATTACCACCTGCACATATATATATTTTAAATCTGCTTATTTATTTACTTCTGATAACGGCGTATTTGCATTTTTTATAATTATAATAGAAAGAAATAACACTTGGCCTTTAGCTGGTTATGCGAAGACGTCTACTTAAATTCGTGATAAAATCCAGGGTTCAATCGACTGTTTTTAGTGAATTAACGAAAAAATACTGTGAATTAAGTAGCTGTTAATCAATCAATCTACTTTTTATTGATAGAGAAACTTGTAGTCGCAGCTATCGTGGCCATGGCTACTTCTACAATTATACAGGCAGCAGTAGCAATAGGTATCTAATAGCGATAGTTATAGAAAACTATCGCTGAATATCACGCGGTATAGTGATACACAAGAAATAACAGCCATTTGGTGACCATCTCATCTGGACGCGCCACGCAATTTAAGTGATGTGTTTTCACGCTGTCACGTATATATGTACTGATTTAAAGCTGATTAGAATTATATGTAAATGTCGGCCACTTCCAGGTAGACTATGCGTTCATCCAATGTGAAGCTAAAGGTAAATACTTACAGTAATACACTAAATGAGATAAATCAAGTGTTATCTTTATCTCTGAATAAACAGGATCCTAAGCTCGTTCTTTTAACGATAGCCATAACCATTGTTGTTGCATCATGTGGAAAATTAGAGCTCTCATCTCACTAGCCGATTGTAAGCAAAACTAAGGTTTTACAGACCACCAAGACTGGCTGCTCTGCAACCTCAGGACTACAGCCCCCAAGCCAAATAGATAAAGTCAAAGTCAGTTTAACAATAGTCATCCGTATTGTTGCCCTATTATACCTAGCTAAAAAATGTCTAAAGTTTACGACCATTTGGCATACAGTGGCCGGACTCACTTCCAGAGTTCACACGTTCCAGAAAGGGTCTTATTTTTGCATTACGTATATTTTTCCATTTCTCTAAGGGCCGATTGAGCTAAATAGGGAATTCATCTTGAATTACATACGCTTCCCTAATAGGTTTGCTGCTGGGTGGCCGACAAAAACTGAAACAGATTCTGCTAAACCCAATTTAAAGCGATGCTTTTTTCTGAATTTGAGCTCTTAAGTAAATTAGTAATGGAAAGGCCCAGGTACAATGAAATTACTAAAACCAAACAGAGCATATAAAAAAAAAAAAGACTTTTCTGTATGTATGCCTAGCTATGTCTGTTTAAAGATAGATCTTGTGAGATTTACTACATCCAAAAAAATACTAGAGGTACGGCTTTGAAAAATTCCATTATACGATATGTACCAGAAACCCATTACCAACAGCTAAATTTGAATGTATTACAGTAAACGCAGCTCCAGTTAACCTAATGTTTGAGAACAGTTGTAGCTAAAATCACTGCTTGACAGAGGCGTAGTTTGCGGTACCCAGTACAACTGGTAAATAGTATGTGTAATTAATAGCTCTCAGGAACAAGTAAGTCTATTGTTAAGTCTTCCAAACATTGCGTCTGCTTGCCACTTCTAAATCTATTTAATATAAAATTGAATGGACTTGACTAGCCAGCTCTAGATGCCTGCCTCTTTCTGTTTATTTGTATAGTGCGACTATATCCTATTTGTAGAATTAGGTAGTTGCCATCGACTTGGGCCGGAGTTTTGCTGGCCGTCACCGTCGTGTTGCCAAACAGCTGCCCTTGACTGCCGATTAGTACCAAAAAATCCACCTGGAGCCCGATAACGTACGCACAGACATGCGCAATTTCACATGGTATCAATAGCTGACAGAACGGTATGAACCTGTTCATAGCGTTCATTGTCGTTCACTGTTGTGTTTGCTGGAATAGCTTTTGATTCTTGCTACGAACGATGGAAAATCGTGCCATTAAAATGTAGAGTATATTGAGGCGTGTGCGTGGCTATCATCGTACGGGAGCGTTCGACAACAGCGTAGCGACGGCAACGGCATCTTTAAATGTCGTCGGCGGGAACAGGGAGAAATCTGTTCACTATCGTATTCTTCTCTTTTCTAACTCTAAAAATATAATTATAAGAACTTCTATTTAACTTTTGATTAGTACCAAAATTGATTCGTCCAATATAGGTTTCCCTGGGAAAGAAATTCGGTCTGAGTAACAAGATCTGCACCAGAATATAGCTTGCCCCAACAGCTGCAACACGCACATCCCTAACAAATAAAGAACAAAAATCCGTCTCGAAATAAACAGACAAAACGGGCCCACGTCAAACATGTACTACCAGCGCTGACAGATACAGTGGGTAGATGGATTTGTTTCTGAAACTCAGTTCCAGAGAAAAAGAACTTCGACTGAGAGTTAGACAGCTTACGGTAACCTTTCAAGAGTATTCTCTGCAGAGCCTTTTTCCATCATTTTTAGCATCAATTATAATACTAGCAATGATTGTTGTAATAATACTAGGTATTGCTGCAACTACTAACCTTTGGTTGTGACAGCAGCAGCAGCAGCAGCAGCTGCAGCTGGGGGAGGGGGAAAGGTCGCAAGAGGTTCCTCGTCCCTCTGCACCTGAGTTATCACTCCACTGGGATCCATTTTTTCTTTTTTGCTGTCACAAAATATCTGATATCGCTGGCCCCCCCCCCCGTATTCGTAAGGGGTGGCGACAGCGGCAGGTACAACAGCAGCCGCGATGGCAGCACCAGCAGCAGCTGCTGCTATCCTCAACAGCACACCAGCACAATAATAAGAACAGCAATAAAACCGAATCCCTCCCGTCACTACTTTGATCCCTGCTCACAGCGAACGGCACCAGCAACACATCCGTAAGGGAAGCACTCTTAAGCACTCTTCCAATGCACTCTACACCATGCCACCGTTAAAACAATCACCATTACTGGACGATGACAACAACGTCAATAACAACAACAGCAACAACAACAACAGCACCACCGCTACGAAGAGCAATGTACGACGACGCCGGCGCCGATGCTGATAATGGCACTCGATAAATACTAAGTACTATTCAGTCTAGCCCGTTACAGTGGACGTGGTGCTACCCTACAATATTGTAGTTGTTGTTGTTGTTGCCAACATTGTTGAAGTTGATCTTCACGGCGCCATTAGACACTTCAAGCGACTTCCGTTCTGTTTTCGAAATCTGGAATTCAATGAAAACATCCACCAAAACACAATTCAGCCTATATTCTATGACATCGTTTCGTTTTCAAGTAATCGTCTACTGTGACATGCTGACAATAAATACATAAAATCTTCGTGACGAACGCTAATTGGATTTTTGTATCACATAGAAAAGTACTCAACGAGAACAGACTCTGTTTCTGGAAAGCTATCAACAATGAAAATCAGAGCCTCTGAGCTTATCGAGAGTGTTGCAAGCCGGATATGTCAGATAGCTAACTTAGCCAATAGAGAAAAATCTGAAGTTCGTTTGTGAAGAACACGCAGGCCAGTACACCGGCAAAATTTCACTTCAGTGGTTATCGTGTTGCTAAACAGTGAAATTCAAGTTCGAGAGCACGTTATACTCAATCAACTTACATTAACTTAAATGTAATGACTTTCTTAATGCCACTTAATTGGAAATTATTTATGTAGTTCGTATGATTACAAGCAAATACCGAAGCAGCTGCGTAGGATAATACAAACAGAATGAGATAGGTGGTGAAGATATATGTGTTGCTATTAGTGTAAGAAGGATAAAATTGACACTCTAGTCGAAAAATCGCTGATTGTCACTGGAGTCGTTATCGCTACGATCGTCGCCGCGTTATCAATTGTGCATCATTAGCACGGTACCATTTGCTCCTTTTTCACTCGCACACCGTTTAACCAGTGGAGCACTGCGACTGCGGCGTTTGTCGGTACCGCCGACGCTGGTTTAGGACGAACGAACGAACGAACGAACGAACTCAACATGGCAACGACGACATCATAATCATCAGCCTCGTTTTCCCAATCAGTATCGGCATTACGTTAGATGTTATTATGATATTACTAAGGCTGTGCCGCCGATGATTCATTTTGGGTGGCCCTTGAAATGGAAGGAATTTTTCTGTAGATAACAGCGTACTTTCGCTGGTGCCTCAAATCAATAGCGATGAAGTGAGCAAATGATTAGTTACCGATGGAAAAAGTCATAACGATAACGGCTAACTTTTCAGAGAAAAGAGTATTTGAGTTAGGATTCGTGCTCTCTCTCTCTCTCTCTCTCTCTCTCTCTCTCGCCAGATATACAAGCTTTGACCATCTATGATCAAAGTTTGCAAATGAAACTCCAGATCGAGTGCTAAACGACCCTTCCTAGCGTTAGCGTAATTTTCTTCGGATGGATGGCATCAATGGACGACATTACAAACTTTCGGATGAAGTATTCGTTTGGATCGTCATAATCTGTTTTTTATATTGAAACAGTTTGTTGTTGGCGAACATCGACTGCTTATTACCGCATTATACCGCTCAAAAAAGGTAGATGGGCAAGTGCCGGTTGGAGCGGTCGCGAGCGACTGACTGTGTCGGTGGGTAAGTAATAATTGCAGTAGTAGTAGTACTAGAAGTAGAAGTGAGCGACAGGACGACACTGGCCTTTAACCAAGCGCCTCACCGCCTGACGCTGTATGCAGCCTAACAGACCAGTAGGTGGTCAAAATCAATGCATTGACCGATAGTCCAGTTGAGCAATTGTTGATAGAAAGGTGAATGCGTCTTTGTTGGGGCAGCCGCGCAGTCGCTATGATACACTGTCAATGGAACAAGCAGCAGCTCCAGCAGTAGCTGCTGACTAACTAAACTTTGTTGTTGTAGTTGTAGCATTGACGTAAATAGCCTTTGGGGCAACGAAGCCTGCTTCCGTCCGACGCTCGCCTTCCGGCTCTCTGTTTTTCACTTTACCTTGACGCTGCCGTTGTTGCTAATCTTCTTTTTCGAGGGTTTGCCTCTCGAATCGAGGAGTTCGAGTGAGTCGATCGGCGTTTACATTAATTAACTCGCTGTTTCCTGTCACGCCACAGCCGATGGCTGTCCGACCGAAGCCGTTTCGTAGCCAATCAGCTAACAAACTGACGAAAAAAATGTGGAACCAAACAAACAAACCACGGACAAAGAAGCCGAACGAGCAATGAACCAGAGAACAAAGAAACAAATCGAACGTATGAGTAACGTTCTAGACGTAGCGCTGTTGCTCAATGGTATTGTTTTTACTGACTGAGCTAACAGCAGCAGCAGCAGCAGCAGCAGCAGCAGCAGCAGCAGCAGCAGCAGCAGATGAAACCGGCCATGGGGTTGCAATGAGCACTGTAGTAAATGAATAGAGGAGCTCCACAGACACCCACTTCAAGGCGGAGCTCGTGAACGAACTTTTTAAACAGGGAGCACATTTTTGCCACATAATACACTCACTATTTTGATCGTTTGAAGAAACTCGGTAAGCTCTTTAAGTCGGTCCCCCCTTCACAGTCACTGGGTCGTTATTAACACCGGTCGCAATTGTGGTTCTCCATTCGAAATTCCTTCTCAAGGCGAAATGAACTGAATGTAACTGGGAACGCCTGACGCCGCATGTGGCGCTGACATTTTCGCGATGGTATAGCTTCCTTTGTGTTGTGCTTTTGCCGTCGTTGTAGACAATTATTCAATGAATATATTTGTAGTAGTAGCTCTACTAGTGATAATAATTAATTAGCTTGACTAGTTTCTATTCTAACCGACATCCCTTTTTATCCTGGTGCAGCAGACCATCGGTGACGAATTTCCAAGCGTCTACTATCGCACGTCTGCAGGTACTTCACTCGTCGTCGAGTTGTTGTTGTCGTCGATACTGTATAACTTGCAGCTGAAGCGGTAACGGCCATGCAACCTGGTTCGTGTAACGATACAACAAACATTGGCCATATATCGATGCATATATGCACACACGGCACAGGCACACTCAGACTAAACTCCGTGATAATATGTCTATATGTATGTACGGAGTTTCTTCCTTTTATCTTTCTTCTGCCCTATCCACTGCCCCTTCCGGATGTCTCAAACACAAGGCAACGACGACGACGACGATGATTGGCTCAGGCGATATCTAAACCAGCAAAAACAATCCCTTGATTTGATATCATGCAATACCTTATGGTGCGGATACTGACACCAACAATCGGTGTTTAATAATGATGATCGTTATGGCGATGATGATGAAAAAGTGAAGAAGGAGGAACAAACAGAGAACGGGATTGCTGCGGTAGGGCTAGTCATCACTGCCGCCGTCGTCGTCGTCATCGCTGTTGTTGTTGTTGTTGTTGCTGCTGCTGCTGCTTCTGTTGTTGTTGTTGTTGCTGTTGTCGTCGCCGCCGTCTTCGTAGTGAAAGTGGTTTCTGGGCAGAAGGGGTTGGTGATGACAGTAGCTGCAGGGGAAGAATGATTCCTCGACGGCGTCATATAGCGGCGATATGCGTTGTTCACCGCGGTCATCCTCTGTATCATATATCGTTAATAATGAAAATATCGAATTTGCTAGTTGCTCTGATGCCGCCTCCGTCACCGCGTCTGCTACCTTCGATGCTGTTGTCGCTGTTGATTATGATAGTAATGATTACGGTGTTATTGTTGCTTTTTTTCCAGCTGTTGTTGTTGTTGTTGTTCGAAATGCTACTATTGGTGCCGCTCCCGCAATTGTTCTTCTTTTTCGCATATCCTCGACGAGGGAACAGCGTGACATTCTGACGTCGCTTTGCCGCTAGTGAGAAACAACAGAGTGAGTTGCCGCTGGTTTACTGTCGTTGCTGTGGTGATCGCAGGTTCAAGTGTCATAGTTCAGTTATAAAGGGATGGACATCGGGAGGTCGCTAACGGCGAGCGTGAAAAAGGAAGAGGGGGAGGAGGAGAAGGAGGAGGAGGAGTAGTAGGAGGAGAAGAAGAAGAGGGCGACGTTCGCACACAGGGAACCATGAGGGCAGACAGTGACCGAAGGGGCGAAACACCTCACATAACTAGCATGACCAAACGCATCATCATTTGTCGTTGATATTGTTTACCGCGGCAGCGTCCCACTCAATTGCATTTGGAAGTCGATTATTTTTTGAGGCGAACACGGTTAGAAGAAAACTGCGGCGGCGGCGGCGGCGGCGGCGACGACGACGACGACGACGACGACGACGACGACGACGATGACGACGACGACGGAGAACAACAACACCATCATTCTACACAGTTGTAGTAGTTAATATTGCCTTTGTACTGGAAGTGGCTTGGGCAGCGTACGAGTAGCTAATTTTTGCTTTTGGTGTTTTGCGTCTTGTTATTGCTGTTGTTGTTGCTGCTGCTGCTGCTGCTGCTGCTGCTGCTGCTGCTGCTGTACCGATAAATGGTGTACAACACGGTGAAATTTACGGCAATGACTAATGCTCAACGGAACCCCAACTGCTCCTTGTCTCGTAGTAGGCGGCGACGATGACGACGACGGCGGCGATAAATCAATTGCGACTCGATTGAATTAGAGCTGTAGCAGCATCAGCAGCGCTGCTGTCGATCGCTTGTACTCGTTCAGCGAGCCAGTACTGGTTGCGGCAGCGGCAAATGTAGCAGACACAATTCTACTTAGAATGTATTCTGGCAATGGTTGTAGTGGAATAGCAGTTGCAGTTGTCGCCGTTGTGAGTAGTAGCAGCAACAGCAGCAGCAGCAGCAGCAGCAGCAGCAGCAGCAGCACACGACCTACCAGCGTAAACAAATCCTTTGGCAACGACGTTCTTTGCCCACTGCCGTCTTTGTGTTCCGTCTCGTCCCTCCGTTCGGATACTGAGACGAATGAAGGCATTGTTTATTTACGCCCTTGAGGCGCGGGCGATGTGACTGCCGGAGGAGAGGGTGAATACAATTGTCAGCTACAGAAAACAAACGACGACGACGACGACGACGACGACGACGAAAAGCAGCAAGAGAAAAAGCTGGAGGTATCACGGGCTAGCGTGAGCTACCATCGCCGTTGAAGCACGCCACACCGTTTGCCATGACCTAGGTAACGATGACGGCAAAACATACCGTCACAAAAGCAACATTTTGTTTCTACTGTTGTATGACTGAAGTAGCATTTTGTTCGCTATGTGGCTTATTAACACAGCGATAATCGATGAAATTATTTTAGCCAAGAACCTATGACGAAGATTAGCAGAAAACAAAACTCTTCTGCAACATATACTGCTAGGACAGAAAATGGACGCTACCATCACGTCGAACACCACCACCCTGATCAAATTTGCCTAGTCGCTAAGCTTGGCCTGTAACACTAGTCATGGTTACGCAAGGTTTAGGCTTAGGGGGTTAGAAGAAGATGTGGCTTTTAGCCATCAGCCCAGTCGGGTTTGATAAATTAATGAAATAAAATCTATATTAAGATACAGTACCGTTTTGAATTTTTAAATAAGCTAGATTCAAAGTCTATCATCTCTGCAATTTTTATCGAGATAAACAATATTCTTGCTTTCACAGAATGTGTATATATATACATATATACACACATTCTGTGAGTAAGTCATAAAATTTTCATAAGTCCTAGCATTTTCCTTCAGAAAAGACACGTTTATTTGAAATTTTGATTCTATCTCACTGTCACAACATGCACAGGGGTCGGAAAGTCAGACCCTCAGCTTTATAGCAATGTGTAAATGTGTACGTCAACTAAAACTAAGCCATCTTATTGTCACATGTTGTTGTTAATAACGTGTTACATGTGGATGTTCTTTAAAAAAAACTGACAATTTTTTTTCAGCACTTTTCGGATGAAACATGGTGTCGACATATGCACAACATTGGGCATTCATGCTATAGTTTTAATAGGATAGATTATATGCGTCAACGGCATGACTGTCTTCAGTCGATCTTTTATCGTAAATGAAAAAATTGTGCTGAGCCCATTTCGGCTGCATGATATAAGTTTTTATCCGCAGTGGCAATGGTTCTTTTCGACGGTAGCTATAAGTGGATTTGAACTCATATTTCCTAAATATGCATAAACGTAAACTCATTTTCCTATCAATATTTTCTGCTTATGTCCTTGAAGGTAATTCCAAGAATTAAAACGAATATGATTTCAAATTTTAGCGGGATAATTTTGGGAACGCTCTCCTTGAGACGTCGTTTATGTATTACACACATATACTTGTATTTAGTTATTCACTCTCTTTACCTGATGCACGCCTCATTAAACCTCCGTAGCACTTTTAATTATCTCCTATTGATTATATTTCGCTCATATTTTGTTCTTGCCTAAAGCTACAACTAAAAACAAAACACAATAGATTCGAGTCCGCAATCATTTACTAAAATTTATTCGATGAAACGAAGGGCCGAAGCACAGACCCGCCGGACGTCTAGACGACAAGTATGTGTATATAAGTCAGATGCAGTAAAGCCGGCCTTATCGTATATCATGAGGCCGATCGCAATACGGCTGATCGACGCAAGCTGCTTTGCCGTCTGCACATCCACGTTAGTTGGATCTAACTCTTCCTCCAATTGTCGCTTGTCACGTCGGAGGAAGGCGCAAAACTTCGGTTATCTCTGCGTCCATCCCTGTCGCGTTCACGGTCTCTATCTTGTCCTCCTCTTGTGTCCTGTCGACCCTGACCAACGCCCCCACTCCTTCTCCAGTAGGACTCACTAACACCGCCACCACGATCCATAGTACCTCCCCTATTACCTCCGCGGCCGAAGTCCCCTCTATCGATATCTCGGTTGTCTCTACGTTGTCCCGTAAGAGGTCCTGTCTTCTCGCGCCAGTTGCTGCTGAGTGAAGCATCATTCCGCGCTCCGAGTGCGGAACCGCTGCCGGTCCCGCTCCCTGAAGTCCAGCGTCCGCCGTCTCTGTCCCGATCCCTGTCTGCTCGAGATCCGTCGGTGAGAGAAATAGGTCGTCGCCAGTGCTGTTGTTGCTGTGCTCTTGACGAAGGTCCATCTCCTTCCCGAGAACGTCCTCCGGCAGCAGCTCCAGCAGCTGCAGCAATCGCCTGAATCTTTTCTTGTCTTTCACGTTCGCGCTGCTCTTGTTCTTCCTGTTCCTGTTTCTTCTGCTGAGCCATTTTCTCTTCAATTTCAAGTTCGCGTTGACGTTGTTTAAGTTCAGCAGCTTTACGGGCGGCCCTCTCTTCCTCTTCAATTCTGCGCAGTTCGGCCTCCTCAGCCTCTTTACGCTTCCGTTCCTTTTCGGCGCGATACTTTTCGCGACGTTCCTGAATACGTTGTTGCTGTAAATGAACAAAACAAAGATCAAGCAGCTGCGTAAAGACGGGTACTCGTAAGCTATTCGTCAGGTCCTAAGAACGTAGTTAGTTCCAAGTCTGAAATATTATGCCTTTAAACTGGCCTTATGTTTGACCTAGGTCACATAACGGGCCAGTTACTACGACGCTGGAAATACTTGAAGACTGATCGAGATAACTTGATATTGGTAAAGACAACTACCGCGTAGCTTCCTCCATATTTTTGTTTCCTTTACGTAGTCTTATGCGATATAAGCTCATTTTCACATACCTTTGACTTATCGCTGTAACTGATATTCTAAGGGATTCTTTACCGACACGGATAGCAAACTATAAACATAACCTATAGCCCAACCCTTTTTTAAAATCTGTAGAGTTCAGTCATACACGGTGTACCTTTCTTTCGGCTAGCCGTTTAGCTTTCTCGCTCGCAAGCCTGGCATCGAATTCCTGCTTAAGTTTCTTGTACTCTTCGTAACGTTCAGCCTGCAGCTTCTGTATGAAGCGCTCCTTGTCCTCGGCCATGCGGCTCAGCCTTCGCTTCTGCTCCATGGCCAAGTGACGTTCGGCAATAGCGCGCTCCACCCTTTCATGCTCCAGCTCATCCCAAAGCTTACGTCTTTCCGCGTCGCGACGGGCAAACTCCTTTTCCAAGAGAGGAATCTCTTCTAAACGCTTGGCACGTTCCATATGATCAATCTGCAACACAGTGATTTGTAAATAAATACAATAATCGGTCTATTACATTAGTTTTTCGTTCAACGAACTAATTTTGAATGATACACATCTACAATATTATTGTTGAAGTCTCTAGATAGAAAGATTTCTGAATAAGTACACTACGACTGAACTCTAATTTGTCTCAAACCTTGCGTTCTTGTTTGTGCATGCGCTGTTGCAGCTCGCGACGCTCCTTGGTCCAGTGATCGAGCTGAATCTGCTGTATATCTTCGGTGTTCATACGTTCCAGCATTTGCTCTTCAATACTTTCGATCATTTTAGCACCAAACTCAGTACGCTTGAGCGCTTCTATTTTTTCTGCCATCATTTTTTTACGTCGCTCCTCTTCTTCGCGTGCCATACGTAGGCCTTCACGTTCCTCCGCCTCCTTCTTAAGGCGTGCCGCTTCGGCCTCCCGAAGCCGCAGCTGGCGACGTTCCTCTTCTTGGCGTTCGGCCTCTTCACGCGCGAGACTCTTGTTCTCAAGTTCTTCTTTGCGTTTTTCAATTTTCGATTGCCTTTCGAGAATTTTGCGCTGTTCGCGTTTCCATCCAGCCAGATAAGCTTTGTGCAACTCCTGACGGAGGCTTTTGCGCTCAGCCTGAATACGCTCTGGCTGAATGACGTCAACGCTTTGACGCAATACCCGATATAGCTTCTCGAGTTGTGAACGAATAAGGTCCGATGGCATGGCCTGCAGATAAGGCCCTCCTTGGTCAATTGTCTCTTCGCGTTGCGAAATCGAAAGCTCAGTGCCGAAGTGCAGGGCTTGCCGCTTATGGTCGATACGCACCTGTAGGCTGTGTCTCCGTACAGCATCAACGACAGCCGCCTCCAGTTCAAAAGCATCAATCATCGGGCAAAGCTCGAGCACGCGAGTGATTGAAATCGACTCGTACACCTGAGCAATCTCACGCAGCAAACGACAGACCATCATTGCCTTGAGGCCCTTAAGATAAACGGTGAGCTCATCGCAAGGAGGTGTGGTAGCGCCTTCTTTTAAGCCGTCTTTACCGGCTTCGCCTACCGCTGGCGCAGTTGAGGTCGACCATTCGTTGATGAACTCGAAAACCTTACTGACCCCCGCGCACAGTTTAAGCGGATCGAAATCGGTTTCAAACAGTGCATACAGTTTTTGAATTTCTTTCGGGGCCAGACTGACGATATTTAACCGCTGTAGATCTCTAACGAGTGTGTGCCTTGATGGCGGATTAGCTAATCCAAGTAGGTTGGCTAAAACCCGCACATTCTTGTCCATCACTGCCTCATCGGTTTCGACGAGGTTATCCATCTCGGGGCGTGTTGCTGGCAGAGGAGTTGCCAGAGTAGCGAGAACAGCGCGTGCAGCCAAACGTCGTAATTCTTCACTTGTAATACTCTTTTTCAGATCCTGCACAAAGTATAAAGAAAAATACATTTTGATAGACTGTAAATTGGACTTTTACTTTACAAAGAATGGCTTTACGACTTATGTTCTAGAATTTAGGGCACCAGCGCAAAGAAATAATGCATAAGTACTGTTTCAGACAGCTTTACTATGTAGTAGTCTAGTACTAAGCATTAATTACTCTGTCTTAATGAAATCTCCAACGTGTAAAAAGTCGATTTATACCTTGACGAGGTTAAGGTGCTTAAGCAAAGCTGAAGCATGGAAAAGTCCATTGCCGGCCTTCAGAAAAACGAGAGCCAAGCGCTGGTAATAACCGGCCATCAACGGGGGCTTTGTGGACTTCTTTGAAAGACACATCATAGCATGAATGTCTTCAGCCGCTTTGTATGCTTCCTGCCACAGTTCCATCTTAATGGCCATATCAAGCTGGGTCAGACGGGTTTCCAAGTGCATCTGTTGAGTCTCTGCCGCCTACAAAAGTTCAGTTTGTCACACATGTTTGTTCATTGGGTTCTACGCTTGTAAGAACAGCATAACAATACGTGGTTGCAATACGTGGTCTTTTTTATATGCACGAAACAACTTGTAAAATAGACAAACCGTGGGTTAATTGGTGCTAGCTCTAGGATAATACGTTGCTCAATATACCTGGAGGTTGATTGCTGTCGCTTGTTGCGGGAAACGGTGAATATGGGCTAGATGACCACGGAGATTGTCGCACAGCTTTCGGAACTCGGTCTTGCGAGCATAGTTGACGCAGAACCGAAACGCTGCCTGAGCGATATCGTGATAGAGACGTTCAACACGCGAGTTGTTTCTCAGGAGTTCTAAACATTGGCGATACGATTCCCATAGAAACTTTACCCACGGCGTCAGAAGGACTCGATCACTGCGCTCCTGGTTGCCCTCACTCGAAACTGCCGATAGGAGGAGATTCTCAGGAGTTGCCACCTAATGGAAAAGGAGTGTGTGACCAAGCGCCCATGCATCGAACTTACCACGTGTAGTTCCGCAAGCATTCTTGACGAAAAAAAGATTATGATTTTGATTTTCTGTTTTTCTATAAGTCTACTATACCAGTACAATACTAAAGTAGATTTATCGGGTTATCGAGCAGTTATGGCTATATTTATTAATATGTATATGTAAATAGAGAACAGATTGATTTATTTATCAAGTTAGTACAAACCTGGTCAAGATCGTCAACCATCGTGGTCTCCAGAACAGCCTGAGCGCTTTCCTTTCGAGCAGCCTCGGTTTTAGCTTCTGCTAGAGCAAGATATTCCTTTACGACTTGTTCTAATGACGCGATGTTCACCTAAACGGTGCCACGGCGTTGAAGTAGATTACCACGTAAGATATTGGTATAATAGGACGTCCCCGTTTACAGGCACTGTCGTTCTGTAGAAGTATTGTCGGCAGACTTGCGAGACCGGCGTAACTTTTTAACTGTTTCGCCGGCAACTGGAATGCCGTTTTGTATTTATTCTACCTGGACAATTCACTTCACCAATTATTAGAATCTGACCGGCAAAGAAAGCGCCCAGGATAAAGTGATTCCTCTTTTCACTAACCATTGTCCCCACCGCCAACAAAATCATCCCGATTTCTTTCTATTATCTATAAATACAAATAAATTTAGCGTATATATATATTCATGGTTTGCGCAACGAACATATCAGACATCTCATCTCCACGTTAGTATATTGTAAGCATGATTATTTTACCTGTTGGCAGATGATTCGATATTGAAAAAGTCCCTCCTTCGCAAGATGACTTTTCTTGAGATCGACACATAGCTCCAGGTACAGTTTCATAATTGGTTCGTGGACCTGCAATGTTATTATTCATCAGTGTTGTTAATATTTTTCTCAGAGGCTTCGCTTTGATAGTTTGACAACACTTGATAAAAGTGCTATCTTTTGATGTAAATCTTTCATAAATAAACAGATACTTCATTTCAAACCATATAATCCATTACTAGAGTGATAATAAATTATTACTCCAAAACAATAATATGCCAGCCGGTGAAATCGGATGAATTGAACGTGATAAGTAAGCCTGTCCGATAACGAGAATGTTTCTTCTACCTTTTGCCATGTTCGGTGCTTGCGTGACTTGATAACATCGTAAAGCGCATCAAGCGCCGATGCTTTTTTGCCAACATCAATGAACTCTGAAGATAGAAGAGAAAAACAACATCGATTAGAGAGCTAGAATCCAACTCATTTGTGTTATTCAAGCCAAAGGCTGACACCTCCTGGGTTAGAGGTGCGAAATCTACAATGCCATTCAGATCCGCCGATATTTAATTTGAGTAAATTAAGCATGTAAACTTAATTAATTGTATATGATTTTGCGAGCAGTCGTTCACGAACAAACATCATATTTTAGCTGAAACGGCACTCTTAGGCTTTTTTTTTTTTTTTTTTTCTTTTTCGAAATTGTGAGACAACGGACAGAAACATAGAGGCAATTACAAAGATCCACATGTGCTATGTTTTGTTATACTTTGAATTAGTGTTGCAAATACTATTGCAGAACGGGCATTTAGCCCGTGAGTATTACCAAATGTTCACCAAGTTATACTACGAAACGAAAAAGTAAGTCATCATAATTCTCGTGCGTCAGATAACATGACTAGACTGAACTACCTTTGCTTAGCTTGATTGCCCTTTTTTGTATGTATTTTAATTTTGTTATTAATTATTTGCACAGTCTTTAATTAAAACGACAATTGGCATAGTTTCGGCTAGTGTACTTTATGTCTCTCGACTTAACTCATATAACAGACAGACGGAAAAGCTGGCATAAAGCCAGAAACCGTTTTGGCCCTGCTGCTTTACTACTGCCAAGCGCACATACATACCTAGACAACAGTATTTACTACAGGCTAGTCGCGTACGCAAAGATAAGTCACCATCATTAATATTCCTTAAGTTAGTAATTGCGGAATATGAAAAATACACTAAACTGAGATATCAACTCGGACTGAAATTGACCCCCGATCGATACGAAATTCGCGTCACCGTTTATTGCTAATTGTAGCAAGGCGGTAGAGTTTTTACCGGCTGTTATTGTTGCTTTTGTGTTTTGTTACAATGGGCGTGTGTAACGTATCTACGTACACATGGTTACAACTCAAGCCGAGTCCTCTTATTTTAGTGGGTATTAATTTATATTCATGTAGTTTTTCAATATGCAGTTAGAATGAGTAGAGTACTTAACTAGATCGAGGCGTTTGGCAAAAGTTTTCTACTGACACCAAACAGCGGAAATGGTCTTTTGGACATTAGTCAAGCGAATAATTCGTGTAGCTTGTCAAAGCTTTCTCGGTTCGATGTCTAAAATCTCAGAATTTTCAAGTTAATTAAATTCGACTCAATTTTAGGATCGTATTGGAACCAGCTGAAATGTCGTCCTCTGAGTTTCACTATACCATAGACTGCTTGTTAGTTATTTAATTAGCAGAAAGGGCGAAAGGGAGTTTCGGGAAAAATCATTTCGATGTGTTGTAGAATACCGTATTCACCACATTTACAGTCAATGCCGCGTCAGACTTAGGATAGTACTTCATTGAATTATATCACGGCACAGTTAACGTTCTTTCCATATGAGCTAAATATATATTATTGTGTCTATATGAGAACATATTGACGAAACGTGGCGAAGCCGGCAGCCGCTCGTGTTGGCATCCCAGCTAGGGCAACTGTATGGGGCTGTCTGTGTACAAGGAGATTTTTAATCACGGTAGTGTCTACCTTGTGCCCTTTTTAGGGCATTCTCCGGCCGTTGAAAATAAATCGGCATTTTGACGCCGTCGCCACTTTAGTAGGCGTCGCACACAAGTGAATCGAACGGTGCCTGTTTGCACCGGATTCGCAAGAAAAATTACGTTCAACACACGCTCACTGCCGCTGCACACCAACGAGGTACAAGATGGCGGAAAAAATAACATTCATTAGCGCCAATGTTTTACATGGAAGCTTCACGTCAGTTACCGAGACATAACGATATCATAGAAGCTTAGCGCCTATTCCAGCTGGCGGAAAACGCTCGACCAAAGCGGACACTCAAACGATTTTGCACCCGATTGTATTTTTACGTGAAGATCTCTTCGATTTTCTACTCGATCGTCGTCCGCTTCAGTCAAAACAATTGTACAAAGGCAACATCTGATATTGATTTCTAATTCACGAGTATTTTTAAGTATTGTTCGTTCTACTTTCGACAAGATGGCGGTCGCCGGTGAGACAGATACATGGGCGATGGCTCAAGAGTCATCATTTGGCGGCGGTGGAGAGAGTAGTTACTGCATTCGCGGAACTCTACACTCCGCTAATCTAAATCATCGTGCAGGCATCAGCCGTACAACCGAGGAGTGTGCAGTTCTATGTCCTCGATTGTATGTTGCTTTCTAACAATATCTGAGACGATATAGATTATGAAGTAATAATTTTAACTTAGCCAATACAAAAATTGGAGAAACCGAACAAAGCAGCTCATCTCCTTTCTATTACATTTAAGTGTTGCTCAATTGGACCAGGCTCAAAATCAAGGTATATTATACAGTATAAAAGTGGCATAAGAAGCAGTTCTCTACTCTTATTTGTATTTCACAGATTGTTTAAAGACTGCTAAAAAAATTTAATTCATATTTCAACACAAATAATCAATATTTCGACACAAATATATGGGAACTTCCAAACTTTCATGATTGTTTTTCAAGCTTCTTCCGCGATTACTAATAAGAAATAACTATGAAATAATTTTTAAATTATGGATTTTGCGAGGCGCAGACTGACGAAGGTTTGGAACAACAAACGTTGCTTGGAAAGTACGCAAGCTCTACAAAGGCGTTTTATTTCAGTACTTCACTGTTTTACTAACTCGCAAATAATGTGTCACCTCTGCATAAAGGAACGAGACGAGGTGACAACACATTTTGACAAAAAACATTTGTCACACTTGCAAATGCCGTCGACGCTTAATTTGTACTTTTAAATTGTAGTGTACTCCAACTAGTCTCAGACGCATCATGGGGCCTTCCTAGTTACTGCCGACTGCCAGCTCGAACTTTCTAAAGCCGGTTTTTGCGATTTAACAGAGTCCAAGATAGCGTAGTATTATATACAGTATTCTAATCTAGCAAGAAAAATTTTATTACGAAAACTTATGCACCGAAAAAGAAACGATATTTTATATCCGACTAATACGATATACAAAAAAGATAGCCAAATCCCGTCAATCAGTTGTTGCCATCGTTGTCGTGTTAAAGGCTTTCCGTGTCGGCACTATGATCTGTAGTGCCAATCGATCAAATGGCTTTTCCGTCCGCGCGGCCGCGCCCCAATGCAACGGCCATAGCGGGAACCGCCCCTGCTGTTGCGGTCGCAGAATCGGTCAATCAGGGCGGAAGGGAGGGAGGCTACTGCTGCTGCTCGTTGTATCTACACCTATATACTCTTTCCTGCTAAGTTTTGTGTCTGGGTGTGCGTGCGTGCGTGCGTGTCTGTCTGTGAGAGCCGCCTGCGTCTGAGCGTGCGTTGGACTCCTGACTGTTTTGATCAACTGAGCCTGGCCGACTGGGAGGCTCGTTGGCAGGCAAAAGGCAGCAGCCGCCGCCGCCGCCGCCGCAGCCGCCGCCGCCGCCGCCGCCGCAGTCGTCGTCACCGCCGCTGCCGTGCGGCTGCACCGACCAGCCGACCGATTGACCGACGGCAGAGCTAGCATAGGGCACAGAGCGCGGTGCCGGCAGCATCAGCAGGCACAAAAAGCCAGTCGCAGCCTCCACGGTGAACAGACGCACCAAGGAGTGAGGACTGCCTGTTACTGCTGTCGCTACCAGGAGCAGCAGTAGCAGCAGCAGCAGCGTGAGTTTAGTGAACAAGCCAGTGAGCGAGTGAGTGGTAGTGCTGCTGCTGCCGCCGCCGGTCGTCGCCGTCGTCGTCGTCGTCGTCCAGCCCAAACGAACGGAGCCAGCTAGACGGACCGACCGACCGACCGACGGACGGATAGGCTATCGTTGCCAACATCCAGCTGCATTTTGTTGCAGTACAAAGCGCCACCCTTTCGAGTGTTTTGTCGTTAAACAATACGCAACGACATAGAATACGCGACCGTTCAAACTGTCCTTGATGTAAACAAATTTGTCCTGCTATTAGCACCTAGTACGACGACAGGAACCGCTTTTATTTGTGCCCCCCGGCAGCAGCAGCAGCAGCAGCAGCAGCAGTAGGACGACGGCCAACTAGATTGATTGCTCGATTGAATAGAAACTAAATTGCAGGAACGTAACCTTTGTACATACCCGCGTTATTTACATGCGTTGCATTGTTACGGAGGGAGTGAGTATTGTGAGCACCCGTGTTTAAAACAGGTTCAATAAGTGAGTGTCCTGGATCCGACCGAGTCAGTGTTGACGTGCACAGCGAGTGTTGCCTGCTCTTAACCAAACCCGGTAAGCCGTGTGTGTTGGCAAGCTGCCGATATCGCCAACTATAGCTTAACACCTACTGATCCGGACCAGAGTAGTAGAATCACAACAGGCCAGGGGAGGTACGACCAAGGATATCTATAGCCGCCACCATTAACGACGCCCAAAAATTAAAAAAGCCACCACCTCGAGCGAAGTAGAGAAGAGGGACGCATTGCCGACTGGGCGCCGCTCTCACGGTGTCATCACAAACAACAGTTTCCGGTAAGTGTTAGCGTTAACGAGACGAAGAGGAACGTGAACGGATTGCTTGCGATGTAGTTCTGCTACTGCGGCCGTCGCTGTGTCATCGTTCTTTAGTCTCCGATAATTTTTGGGAAGATACTACGTGCATTCCAATGCTATGCGTTCTCATTGGTATCTTCCGCACCGAAATCGCACCCCGTTATTGTTGCTATCGGCCATATCGTCGAGTTCGATAATAGGATGACCCATAATTGCAGCGGCCGTGTCCGATGCGTTAGTGTACATTGTTTACCAATACAAACTCGGCAGTTGTAATTCTCGCGTCTTGATCAGGAGTCCTAATAAATTCGGAGCCGTTCGCAACAAAGACGAAAGGCAATATTGCTGAGTTCAGTTGGTGTCCTCTCTTAGCGACCTGAAACAGCGCGGTGCCGTAGTGTGCGCTATGATAAGCTGTTGCTGTCGCTGCCGCTGTAAGGCTCGTCGTCCGTTTTTATGGCGACAGCAGCACTGTAGTGAGCTGTGTTTTGTTGCATTGGCCTGATGGAGACGGCAGTAGGGTCGAGCCGGACCGGGCGCCGGTCATCCACCGCTCAACATTGCCTTCTGTTGGCCACCAGCCCTATTATCAGCACCGCCACTGCCATCATCATTGTCGGCGCAGCAGCAACAGCCTCTTTTGCCTCAGGTGCTTACCGTCGGCCTACGTCCGGCTACTGCTGCTGCTGCTGTCAACGGCAGCAGCAGCAGCAGCAAAAAACCTCACCCAGTATGTCAAGCGCCCGAATGGCGACTGCTGGTGTTGCCGTTGCTGTGCCGCCAGCGGCGGCGGCGGCGGCGGCGGCGGCGGCGGCGGCATGTGTCGCCGTCGTCGTGATGCTGTCGAGGTCAATACAATGAACGAGGAGCATCGTAATTTAACGTATGATTAACTGAATGGGAAATTCTTCCTCACTTCTTTTGCCACTCGGTAACGATAATATGGATGGCAGCCGCTAACGCGTATATGGCACCGCCTATTTTAGCCAGAATAGAAGTAGGGCTGCACAACGATGGGTCGATTTCAGGCGGAAGTTATTGGATACATCGACTAGACTGTGAGAGGTTGCGGTGCTTATATGTTTGCCTACTGAACTGAATTGTAGTAGGCGAAGTCGTCGGGTTAGACTCGTAACCGGGCATCGACAGACCGCCGTCGTTAGTTTCATTCTGGAGGCGATCGTCGGCCGTCCAGGCTACAGTCAACGTTAGGTATTGGACGTTTGCTACATCTGCAAAATGCCAAAGATAAATCCCATGCTAGCAGTACCATTCTTGTCGGGAAGATGTCGCATACACTCATTCGTATTAAACTAGTTGTTACTTATACGCAATAGGAGCATAGGGTAATTTCAAGCTGACCTATTAACTGCATAGACACAATTTAGTAATTTCTTGTCAGTCATTCATCCATCCATCCATCGGACCGGTTATTGATCATTTCAGAAGATCTCAAACAGAACAGCAATGGACGCTGCTCATACACGGACACGCCCAAATCGGGATGACATAGGTCCCGATAAAAGCTAGTGTAACATTGAATCGTTACTCCATTACTGATAACTGTGGGACACTGTTGCCACGATGGCAAATAAGTAGGACCGAATGGAGAATAGGTGGACAGAAAATTCGTGGCCACATCGTCCATTTATCAGGCACGCTACTGACGAATGATAGAAATTAACAAAATACTAGGCAATGAAAATAGTTACGATGACAGGAGAAGAATTGCTGCTGAGGGCTTATTGATTACATCGCTGATGATGACTTCGGCAGCGAACGACTGAAAGGGGAAGGTAAGGGAGCCAAATAAAGGTTCTGAGTTGATCAGAATCAAGACCTAGGTGATACAGTGCGTCGGATCAAAATAGAGTGAATACAGAAAACGAGCGAATTACACTTGTGACGAAGGAGCAGTGAACGAAAGTCTGTTTCCTGTTGTTGTTGTTGTTGTTGTTATAATATGCTTTTCGGGCGCAGTCATTACGAGCAAGAGCGTCGACGACGTCGATGGCTGCAACAACGCTGAGTGGAACCGCTGCTGTCGCTTCTACAGATCTCTGATTGAAGTTGGCGATTTTTAGTTGTGGCGGACGTGACGGCCCATTGAATTCGCTTTCGTAGGCACGTTATCGAAACCACCAGGTGTCTAAAGTGCGTTCGTATGTGTGTCTAGCGGCTTCACGCCGGCGACGCCTCTACTACGATGCTAGGAGCAGCGCGCACAATAACTAGGCTCAGTTTGCCTACTGCACAGCACTGCTCGTCGTTGTCGTCGTCGCTGGCATCAAGCACCAAGCGTTTGCTGCTGTCGTTCGAGAGGCACCGCGATACAGGATGGCGCGCTACTATCCACAGCATTGGCAACGATGTACAACGCCTGCTACTGCTTCGACGAGCAACAAAACTAGTGGCCCTTTTCCTATTCCCTTCTCGGTCCCAAGTAACGGTGCAGTTGCTTATGCTGTTCCGATGACGTTAGCTGCCGCGGTTGGTCGTCATAGTTGTGACGGTAACCAACGACAACAATGACTGCGGCAGTCGTAGACAGCTCGTGGCGGGCGGCAGCGGCGTTGTCGTATTGAAAAACGAAAAAAGAATTTGTGTCACGTTATCCTACTAAAAAGAATGAAAAATAAGCAGAATCTAAACCAAAGGTGTATACACGGGTCAATCATAGAAGAAGTATTGCTGAAAACTAGTGCCATTGCTCATTTTTGTATGAGCAGGTAGCCGTTTGTAGGTATCCGAACTGGCCGACAAGGTAGTCATTTACAGATTTTAGACAAAAACGAGACAATCTTTAAATCCAACAATTATAAACAATGAGCAAATAATCTGTAGCTACCTATAGGGGCTTTTCGACACTGAAGAAAACCAACCATAACTGTAGATGTGAACACATTGGGCTTCAATGTAATGTAATAGAAGTTGCATAACTTATATCGGTTTCAAAATCTGCCCTGCGCTTTATCCCAAAGATATCCACTAATATCTTTGTAGCAATGAGCAGATACCAGTTCTGAATTCTTTTAGAGAAACCGGCGTCACGGTAATACCAACAATTGGCTATCTGTGGCTTGTAATTCTTGTCATGATTATTCAGTCAACCCTGCTCTGCTGATCTGTAAAGCCTTTTTATGGTATTATATAGCATAGATGCTGGAATTTTATACAGGCCCCTATAGAAACCTAATTGCTAAACGTATTTACTGTTGTAAATTTAACGAGTCTACCTTGGGCAGCGTAAGTACTGAGCCAATCGGATATGTCCAGCGTAATGTAGGCGCCAAACGTATTAGTATAAATTTAGTGTTACATTTCCCTCTGCCTCCCCCATCCCTTCTAAAGATTTCAACAGTTCTACAGGGATGGGGGTTGTACAACCACGTTTCTCGGTCAGGTAGATGATCGAAGTATCCCAATATTTGATCTAATAACTTTTGGGATGGTCAAAAAATCCCTGTGCTATTAAAAAAATTTTCAACGGTATCAATATTCGTCCGTAATGGTGTCCGCCTTCCGTGCACGCGAAAAAATATTCGACTTCTTTACTCTCAGCCCACCGCAGTTTGTTGCCTGCCTCATCCAGCCGCTGCCACCAATTGGTCTGATCACAGAGACAACTATCCACTGAGTTTCATACAGCCCTTGTTTTGCCAACATGTAACACTTTCACTCTAACATCCTGCATATAACAGCTGTGCATATTTCACTATTATATATATGCACAGAGATAACACTGCCCTATCGCGGGGTCCTTTGGGTTTGATAACAATCACTGGATAGTCCGTTGTCCGTCGGTCGTCGATGACCTCGTAAAGACCTTCATTTATCGTTCCGTATAAATGGCTCTCTAAGTGGATAATTCTTTCGTTTGATGAACACCGCCAACCTATGGAATAGGCTGGAAAAGAAAATTCCGTGACGAGAACTCGACGGAACGATGTTCGTGTTATATTGCCCTGTTTACTTTTCCATGTATACCTTAAGCGTGTTTCATTGAAACAACTTTCCGTCTAGCATAACGGTATAGTTCTTTCTCTTCACTGATCGAAATAACGAGTAATAGAAGATTTCATTGGGTATGTGTCATGTTGACTAAAGCCCACCGTATGTTGGGGGAGGATCTAAATAACAAAATGAAAATTATAAAAGCGGTTAGTATTCAGTCGTCTAAATGAGAAATAGTCTAGAAATCGGCGGCATATCAGGGCGTGGCGTGTGTTTTAACGCGAGCGGTTCATCGGCCTCTAACCTCCTTTGCCCTTTCCCGTTAGGGACCTCCGCAGGCCGTCGCACATGATGTAATCTGGTCTGTCCAGTCCATGATGAACAGTGCAGCGACGCTCCAAAATGTACGCTACCTTTTCTAAGATGCTTCAGCTATTACCGCGTGCGGTCGATAACAAGCTGTTCACTTCTATGAAGATTTGTCCAGTTAAGTTCGTTTAACGAACTTGTGGAACAATGATAGTATTAAGCCAGTAAAGAAGGGATTATTGCCATCGCCAGACCATACTTTTTTTTTTTTTTTTTTTTTTTTTTTTTTTACTACTACGTTATTCATTCCTAACTACTCTTTTGTTTTTTTTTTTGTTGTGTATCGCTGTTCGCCATTGTTCAAAGAAGTGGTTTTGATCTTACACTGATCTAGAGAACGTCAAAAGTTAGCTATAAGGTAACAATAACCTTATAGCTAACGTCGATGACAGGGTGTATACTTTGTGAAAGTATGCATATTTATGGTGAATCGCATTGAACGAAAAGAAAAATTAATTCACTCGATAATTTGCAATGAAGCTAGAAGTTTAGTAGAACTCTAGAAAGAAACCAAGGAAGTGGAAAAATCCATTGTAAAACGATTGATTGTATGAAGATGATTTGACTATCTCCAGAAGATTGACTATCTTCTTATACTACTGCTAGTATAACTGTTATCATTATATATTTTTATTGTGAATTGAATAAGCGTTCTA